CTCATCATCTAGTCTATCCTGCCTTTAGTCAACTCGTCATCTAGTCTATCCTGCCTTTAGTCAACTCATCATCTAGTCTATCCTGCCTTTAGTCAACTCGTCATCTAGTCTATCCTGCCTTTAGTCAACTCATCATCTAGTCTATCCTGCCTTTTTAGTCAACTCGTCATCTAGTCTATCCTGCCTTTAGTCAACTCATCATCTAGTCTATCCTGCCTTTAGTCAACTCGTCATCTAGTCTATCCTGCCTTTAGTCAACTCATCATCTAGTCTATCCTGCCTTTAGTCAACTCGTCATCTAGTATATCCTGCCTTTAGTCAACTCATCATCTAGTCTATCCTGCCTTTAGTCAACTCATCATCTAGTCTATCCTGCCTTTAGTCAACTCATCATCTAGTCTATCCTGCCTTTAGTCAACTCGTCATCTAGTCTATCCTGCCTTTAGTCAACTCGTCATCTAGTCTATCCTGCCTTTAGTCAACTCATCATCAATACTCCGTCCAGTGGTAGTCCCCCCTGCCTAGAACTGGAACCCATGCTTGTCGTAACTTACTGGACTGGGTGGTCTGTTGCCTGGGGCGCTTATGACCATCACGGAATTGTCTGATCCAGGGCCCCGTTTCACAAAGCTCTCGTAGCGCTACGACTATCGTAAGTCAATGTTACAGTATAGGAAGTACGAATGGTACGAGAAAAGTTACGAGATCTTAGGCTTACGAGATTATGCAACTCTTCATGATGCAGGCACTGACAGACCTGAGTATAGTTTTACGAGATCATCATGGCACACATCCTCGATAATCTCCAGGGTATACGTTACGATCACTCTCCACTATACCCTGGATGTGTCCACGGCTTGGCCCAATGATTTTATTACCTCCCTCTGCTGGCTTGTTATCCAATCAGGTGTCTACGCTGGGGAAGTTGAGCGAACCAATCACAACTCACATTCGCTTCTTAAATTATCTAACCGATTAAACTTCGCAACACAATCGAGTGAGTGAGTGAGTTATTATCTAATGTCACATCGGCAATATTGCAGCCATATCGTGACGAGAACATATTTGACATTGAAATGGAATATATGTATTATTATAAAAACCTGTCAACGAAGGACAGTAAAACAACTAGAATATCACAATTAGAATTAAAACTAGTGTGGAAAGTTAAAATTAATAGCACTATTTGGACGATACAATATAAACACAGGCTATAGATCGCCAACAACAGAAGGTAGATCACCATACTAGGGACCATGGGAACTTACAGTACCTTGGCTACCTGCATGGACCCTAGCTGGATTTACACCAGCCCTTCAGCTGCTGGCGATTGTAAGAAATGTTAGCCAAAATTAAAATAACAAGAATATTACGTTTAAAAATCCTGGTAAGTTCAAATTGACTTTGAAAAGTTTTGTTTGGGACTTACGTACCCTCTCAGGAGGACAATTTTACAATACTTCAACCCCCCTTGAGGGTATAGCCACTAACAATCTTAGTTACTAATTTAAACTTCCATTCATAAAATATTTATCTATTTACAAATCATTTAACAAATCTAATTCTTTTAAAAATGCAATAATTAAATGAGAACTGATATTGTTAAAAAGATCCTTCATAGTTCGTGATTTGAAATAGTTATCCCTTGTGATGGAGTATTCAAAACAGCCAAGCAAGACATGTTTCACCGTGATTCTCTCATCACAAGGGATACAAAACGGAGGATCCTCACCTTTCAATAGGTATTCATGAGTATATCTTGTGTGGCCAATACGACATCGTCGCATAATGACCTCTTCAAATCTGGACTGACAACCCAAGTTGGCGTAACCAATATAGGGTTTTATTCCATGTAATTTGTTGATACCTACTTGGGCGTCCAACTTCTTTTGCATCAGATCACGGATGTAGGTTCTAATGCTAGCTTTGTAATCAGAGTATGGGATAAGAAGTGGTGTCACAGATTTATTGAGTGCTGCCTTGGCAGCAAGATCAGCCATTGTATTCCCAGAAATGCCAACGTGGCTGGGTAACCAACAAAAGACGATGTCCGATTGGCCAGTAGCAATCTCATTATACAATTCAACAATTTCTAATAAAAGTGGATGTTTACAAGAAAGATTTTTAATAGCCTGAAGACACGCAAGAGAATCGGAAAAGATAATGTATTGTTTATATGTACGGTGTTCATTAATATACATCTGTGCATTAAATAAGCACCACCCTGTATTTTTACCAATTAAATTTGTCTGAAAGGAAATTCTAAACTCTTTCCAAAAACTAATCTTATAATTTGATAGAGCAAGCATTTAACATTTCAAAAACGAAAACATCATTGAAATTACCATGTATTTTAATTATGATAATTGCCTATATTTAAAACATGTGTTTTTCTGTCCTAAAACAAGTTACCTTATTTTGAAAAGTGAAAGTAATAATTGATTATTGTGTGGCCTATAAATTCGTTATTTATTGTGAATGGATGAAAGTTTGTAAACTAAGATTTAGGAAAAGTTACAGTCAAACTAAAGAAAAGGAAAATTTTAAAATGCAGTAAAAGTTGCTTTACAAATAAAACAAACAGATTTTAGCTGTAATTATCAGTATCCGGCAAGGAGAAGTGTGTATTCATTACAATAAACTCAAAATCATAAAAACTTATTCCAAAATCTTATCAAATGTGGTCTTTTTCAGTTTTTGTCAATTAGTAATCTGAATTGTTGGAAAAAAGTCTGAATCTTTGACATTCGGTTTCTTCCCGATTATGCATAATTAAAGCTTACTTGATGTGTAAATGTCATCTTGGTATATAACAGAATTGTTATTTTTAGTCAAAACTTAATTTAATTGTGTAGTTTGAGCATGAGAGGAATAGTTATTTTGGACGAAAATTCAGTCCCATCACATTTTCATCAACATGTTCTTTCATAAAAAATAGAAAAAGTTATGGTATTCGTAAAACTGTCAGTGAATAAAGCTTCTTTAATTATAGGTTGATTAAATTGATGGCGATACCCTAACTTTTCTGAAGCATCACATCTTATTTTCAAAATAGGGTGGTGCTTAATTAATGCACAGGTGTATATATTTAAGAGCTGTTAATATAGCATTAGCTTCTGCTATGAAAATAGAGCTGTTATTTGGTAGTCGAGAAGATATTGTTCTGGATCCAATGACAGTGGCACATGCCACCGCGCCACCATCCTTGGATCCATCTGTAAATAAGGATTTGTATGTATCATAATTAGTTTTTAATTGATTATATTCTTGTTTATATTGTAATTCATTAGTTTCTGATTTCTTAAACTTTGTCAGAGTTAGGTCAACTTCAGGCCTCACCAGTTGCCAAGGAGGAGAAGAAAGAAGACGGGAAGGAGATATATTTTGCAGCTCAATGCCGGCAGCAGAAATGAATGGTTTAATTCTTAGCCCATGAGGCGGAACAAGAGAAGACTTTTTGTTGTATAAATCCCCATAAAGAGGATTGAAAACACAGTATACGATGGAGCCATAATCAAGTTTCGAGCAGACCAATGATTAATATAGGTGTCGGAGGGTAGCAACACAATTGATGCAGAGGTACTCTGAAAGAGGTAGGAGTTCTTTCATATTTTTTTATAAACAGATCTGTCAATTTGTCTGTATAATTTCCCACAAAATCTGAGTGGCACTGCGAACAAACCTTCGCGACCACAATCTTTGTTGACACTGGCAAGCTCGGATGTAACGGCGGCTTAGCTGATTGGCTACTGTGAGAATGTGGAGCCAACCAAGGGAGGTAATAAAATTATCGGGCTAAGCCGTGGATGCATCCACGGTATAGTGGAGAGTTATCGTAACGTATACCCTGGAGATTATCGAGGATGCATGGCACAGAGCAACAGTGGGCTTGAAACATTGTACAACTATGGGGAATCAAGCCAGGGCCCTCAGTTTGACAAGCAAACACCTGATGTACTAGGCTAGCCTGTCTATACTGTTGCATGATAATTAGCAGAAAAACGAAATGTAGTTTCAAAACCTGTATGACAACTATAAGGATGATCAAGTACTTAAATTTGTTGTTCATGCCAGAAAACAGTAGCTTGTTCTAGACTCAATTATTGACCTAAAGAGACCTCAGGAAATTAGCTGAATACTGACACAAAACATGTTTTCTAATAAAGTTGTATTTAACAACCTATAACCTAAACAAAATGCTCTTTCGAACCTCTGGGATCCTGAACTTTCGTTTCGAAGTTTTGTAAAAGGATGACACATTGTTATGGCAAGACAAAAGTTGAAGGAAAATGAATGCAGAAGGAAGACAGAATATTTGGCAAAGATGACAATAATCTCATTAAATAAAATCTTTCACTCCACTTAAATACCTATCGGGGTGAAGATCTGACAACACTTCCACACAAGTCTCAGGTGTCAGGTGAATACGGATCCCACAATAACAGCCCAATTGAAACGTAAGATGTCCACTTTGACTTTCAACAAAAGAAACCCCTCACACAAATATTCCCTTGATGGAACTCATTTTTTTCCACGTTTAGAAAAGATGGTGTATAAAACATTGCAAAAAGATAGTTGCATGGCCTCAGTTACTGAAATCCAGAAATGTGATGTGCATGTCTGAATGTTTCTCTCACCTGTACAGCACAATGACAAGTTTCTCTAAGAATTTTCTCAATAAGAAATCCACCTGACACCCCCTCCTGTATAGGTCTTCACACAGAGTATCAACCTAAATCAAGATCTAATTTGAGTGAGTTTATTTTTCCACCACTTTAGTAATATTCCAGCAATATCCCAAAGGAGACAACAGAAATGGGCTTGACACATTGTTCCCATGTGGGGAATCGAACCCGGGTCTTCGGTCATAACGAGTGAATCCACCAGGCTACCCCACTGCCACCGAGATCTGATTTGATTGAGATTGTGTAAACATTGTGAGAAGTTGTCTCAAACAACCCTAAGGGCCATTTGAGTTGAAAACACCACAGAACGCAACATTCATGATTCATATACATTTTACATCTGCTAAAACATACTATGATACAAATGCAGAGAAGTTTGCAAGTCCATAGTCCCTGATAGTTGAATCAGCTATCAACACGGTGAGAAACATGATGTGATTCATACACAATGAGCCATGAGAATTTCTTTCAATAAAGCTATCCACCACTGCGATCTCGTAATATACATAAACACTCAGTATACAAGTCATCCGATGGTGGGTACAAGCGTAGGACTGTTTGTTCCTTGTAACCATGGTTACAAACCAATGTTGTAAAAAGAAATGGGGCAGTCTCAGCACTCTCAGAAACAGATTTAATCTAACAAACAAAACATCACTGAACAAAATGATGAAGAGACCAGGTGTGAAGAAACGCAGTGAACAGTGGCCACACAGGGATTAGCAGAGACACATCCCATTCATCATTCACATCAGGGGCAGCTTCAATTGGCAGGTTGTGATCGTACAGTAATCACAATCCTTTCTGTCTATGGAACTTTCTGGTTGAGCACAAAACTGCCTTCTCTTGCATACCAGAAAACATCCAGGCCAACCTTGTACGAAGAAACGAGTCTGTTGATATGGGTCCAGCATCCCTTTCAGTAAATGTCTTTGATGTGATGATAGGGTACAAATGTATTAGAATAATGATGGATGAAAAATATATATGGGGATGGATGTGACCCATCAAGAATTGAAATTCATTTTCACAATCATGCCACTGTGAAGGGAGATAATCCAAAGGCGACATTGGGAGATAATCCAAACAAGATAAGGGGAGATAATCCAAAGACTGTATGGGGAGATAATCCAAACAAAATAAGGGGAGATAATCCAAAGGCTGCACGTGCGAGTTAATTACTGTATATGAAGACATTTCAATGGCCGTATGCATGGTAAAAAGACAATTGTCCAACAACAGTATGGGGGATGATAGTGATGACTGTCCACTCAGACCACTGTACAAGCATGACATTCAATAGGATCACACTGGAGAGAATCATAGCTAATTCCATCACAGTCCTCGGAAGATATACACATATGACACCTAGGTTGTGTTCAAGGAGACAAAACATGTTGCAGTTCAGTGACAGTAGGAAATTGTAAACATCAGTAGTAATTATGGCGTAGATAATAAGAAAGTATTCAGACAGATATGTTGAAGGTAAACAAGCCAAAACAAACATAGGGACCAACATTCAATACCGACTCTTGGGATGCAACCCAAGTGATTTTAGTTCATCATAGTAAGCGTATACACAAGTTGACGCGTATACACAAGTTGACGCTTGTCACATAACTCGACTCTATACCTGCAGCATAACAAAATGACAGACCGATTCATTGAAACTAAGAGCTCACAGAGCTCGCACACCTAATGCCCCCTGAAGGGCCTTTTGTTCATTAACATGAAATATGAATACTGCCTTAGATTTTCAAGATTAATACCAGCTGCTCTGTATCCTAAAACACAACCTGGTCAACTCTCATCCTCCTTTATCTAACATCCTGACATTATCAATTACATCTTCACGATGGTTATTCTCGTTATGAAACGACGATGAATCACGTGATGGGTTTTGATATTACTTGAAATCTTCAAGTAGTTCACTAGTCAGCACTGTCACAAACAGTCTGTGTGTAGCACACAAAGATGAATGAATTTTGCGTAGTTTCCTTTGTCATACAGTACTTCATTCAAGGTCTTGTCATTCCCAAGTCTCATCCAAACGTAATAAAGCAGCACCTGTTATACTTGGTATACACGGTAGGTAAGATGTTGAAGCATTCTCATCACCTAACTTGGTCCAGACCAATGTTTTATCATGGTAGGCATCTACATTAAAAATCGACACATGATCCTCTCAAGCAGTCATACAGGTGGATGATTTGAGGAAGGTTTGGATTTAACTGCTATACATGGTTGTTAGGATAGCAGTAGTTCATGTTTAGACTTGTCCACAATGTAAATGAAGTTGGTGCATGTGTACTGATACACATCTATAGATAGCTGCCACAGGGACATTCATCCTCAGTTCAGATTATCTCCCATTCCTGAAGGTCATCAGCCTTTGTCAAGACTGGAATGTGGAGACGAGTGACCATACCAAATGTGGTTCAGTAGACATTAACAATTCATTGTCAATCACGGGGCAAATCTTCAAACAGTATCGTAAGACATGTTCCTGGTCTAATCGTCTCTGGTTCACAGAAGTCCATTATCTGGCATTGCTCCAACACTGGTAGGCACAGACAGATGTTCTAAGTTTCCATCCATATGATCGTCAAGACTTTCAGTCACTGTCGTCCTCTAATGGGGCCGCTGCCTTCTTCCGCTTCTTAGCCTTTGGCTTCATTTCTTCATCCTTCAATAGACACAATCATGTTAGACACAATCATGTTAGACAAACACTTAAGAAGAACAGGGATGAGAATGGGTATGACTGAAAAAGAGGAAATTGAGTGAGAGGTCTTGGTCCCCATGCCAGATCCCATGACCTCAACGCGATCAAATCCGCAAAATTCCACGGAAAATTTTCATCCATGGAAGAAGCAATGGCGTCAATTATCACAAAACAGTATCTCATGGTTGTGCTTTCAGTTCAAGATCATGGTTCTGACCTTCTCGTCATGGCTAAAATATTGCCATTGTGACATTAGATATTAACTCTCTCACTAGTTCTGACCTACATGCTCTTAGCAATCTGAACGCTACATATACTGCAAGTGATGATGGTTTTAAGCCAGTTTTAGCAATAATACAGCAATATTCCAACAATATCACAGCTTCACACATTGTAGCCAGTAGGCTACCACAACTATGGCATGTTTGTGTTGAGCTATATAAGAGTTAAAATAGTCTTCGTCTTTATCACTCTACACAAACCAACCTGGTAATATAACTGAATATAACACATTAAGCCTCAAATCCAATGTTTATATAGTTACCAATCAAGGCCATATTCTACAAAGCAAAGTTAGTGTTAAGGTATGATAAAGGCCCTTATTGGCCCACAAAATTTCATGATATTCAAAGTTCTATTAACATGATAATTTTAGCATAAAAATGCTAAATAAATTGTTGAAATTACCTCCATATGTTTTTATATGTTTTAGTACTGTTTTTTCTTCTTTGAAGACCTCAAAGTTAACCTATTTTACAATATCTTCGAAAACCTGCATTTTCATATTTTCAGAGTGATAAAAAGTGTGAGCAAAAAGCTTGACCCATTCCAATTTTTTCACCACACATGAAGAGAGTAAATTAGAATGCACTCCTAAAATATTGTGGTGGGTCACGCTTTTGCTCATATCAAAATGTTTAAAAAGTACATTTTTTCTGTTGTATGAAATTGCCCCATACAACATCTCAAAATAAACATTGGCGTAATGTAATATCTCTGAAAACTATCCGTCACATTTACACAACTATACCATGATTCATTACTATTTTGAATGTTTAAGAGCACTAAAATGAACTTATCAAACATGTTTATTAAAAATTTCAATATCGTAAGGGACTCTCAAGGCTGATTACTTTGAGGTAAACAAGGGTAGTTTTAGAGACCCTGTTGATCACTGCTGGAAAAATAAGAAGACATCAGAAGATTTTTCAAAATATGATCAGGCAGCATTCTAAAGGTGAGAATCTTTGTAATTATGCAAGAATGTAATTTCACCTGAAATAGGCCCCTTTGAGGTCAAGACCTGTGCTTTTTAGTGCAACATGATTGGTTATTATAACATGTTGAGAATGAGATGTTTACTGTATATATTTGCAAGAATGTTGTAAATACTGACTTTTAACACTTACATGGTGTTAAATCAAGCTGTGCCAAGAATATAATTTCACCTGAAATAGGCCCCTTTGAGGTCAAGACCTGTGCTTTTTAGTGCAACATGATTGGTTATTATAACAACATGTTGAGAATGAGATGTTTACTGTATATATTTGCAAGAATGTTGTAAATACTGACTTTTAACACTTACATGGTGTTAAAATCAAGCTGTGCCAAGAATGTAATTTCACCCAAAATGGCCCCCTTTGAGGTCAAGACCTGTGATATTTAGGGAAGCATGGTTGGTTATTGTAATAACATGTTGTGAATGAGATGTTTACTGTATATATTTGCAAGAATGTTGTAAATACTGACTTTTAACACTTACATGGTGTTAAATCAAGCTGTGCCAAGAATGTAATTTCACCTGAAATAGGCCCCTTTGAGGTCAAGACCTGTGATTTTTAGTGCAACATGATTGGTTATTGTAATAACATGTTGTGAATGAGATGTTTACTGTATATTTGCTAAAACCGGTTGTGAATACTGACTTTTAACACTTACTTGTTAAAATCAAGCTGTGCCCAAAATGTAATTAGACCTAAAATGGGCCCCCTGTGATATTTTGTGGGACATGATTGGTTATCATAAGTACATGTTGTAAAATTGACCTATAGTTTATGTTTGCAAAGAAAGTTGTGAATAATGAGCTTTTTTGTAATCAATTGGCAAGTAATTGAATTACTGTCCACAATGGATTGCAACCCTAATTGGGCCCCTTGAAGTTAAAACCTTATGATTGATGTTGACATGTTTCTTCATCATGAATACCTGTTGCAAAACTGATACTGTTTGTATGTAAATAAACTGATAGTTGTATATAAGTCATTATGGCACACTGATATTTCAGATTTCTTGTTATTTTTTCATGGGAACTGATAAAACCCATTTTTGGCCCCTTTGCATTGAAATTATGGCCTCAGATCATTTAAAAATAGCTTTTTTATGCAAAGCCATCTTGTCTCTAAACAAATAACATGTGTTCAGCCAATTCTGTTTGTGGGCCAAAACCACCCTTATCATACCTTGTCCTTTAGTGTTAAGACTATCCTCACTGTACCACTTTAACATAGACTTCATAGATAATCTTAAGATTCCTATGTGGTACAATGTATAGTACTCGTACAAACTCCAGATCCTACCTCGCTGCTAAGAGATTCACTTTCTGATTCATCAACCACTGCCTTCCTGTACTTGTTGGCCTTGGGACTAGCGTTGGATGCCTTCCGTCCTCCCCTCAACACACGGGTTGTCTTGATGTCTTCAATATCTTCCGCTAACGCAAGAAGATCACTGTATCTGTGACAAAAATCATTCAAAATGATTATGAAACTCTGGTGAAATGAAGACAAAGTATGGTCAAAATATGTTCTTTCTTTAGGATCATTTGCATTTGTACAACAGGCCCACATGACAATGTACCACATGTTCTTTTGGTGGTCATCCAAATTAAAGTCCTTGTTCTGCCTAAAGCCCCACATCATGTGAAAGTACAAAACTACATGCATTTGGATCTTCCTGATATTGTCTACTTATCCTTACACAACACACTGTAATTTCTTTCTTAACTTTGATCCTAAATCCTTTGCCCTTGGTTACCAACTGGAGTTATCTGTCCCAAATCCCTAAACTTTTCTCATCTTCACTCAACTCGATCACCAGGTGTCAGGTATACCAATATCAGGCAGTGTGGGAAATAATCTCAACATCTTATTGGCCAGGGATGCTAGCAGGCCTTGAAAGTTACAGGCCAACATCAAATTTCACTCGCTGGATACTGCAGTTGACTGAGATGTACGTAGCAAGGGGTTCCAGTGAACATGGTAAGTTGTTGGTTTAGGAGTTCTGCTGGTCCTATGGACCCCCAGTTTTTCAAGTCAGGGTAGTACACCATCCGTGTGAATCATGCCAAGTCATAGCTATGATTGCTTAATGGTCATATGATGAACATATCATTAGTACAGTAGAACATGGATATAGCGAACACGGATATAGCGTACAAACGGATATAGCGAACAAATTTAAAAGTCCCGTCAGTAGTCCTTTATAATATCATTAAAATTATACACGAATAACGAACTCGTGAGTAGCGAATTAACGGCTATAGCGAACTGATTTACTACCCCCAAGACCCAATTAACGACGTGATTAGCGAAACTCACTCAGTGTCAGCTCAGTGTGAGCTCAGCCACTTAGCGGTATACATCAACCTTGTTGGCGGCGAATCAACATTGTTTGATGGTCATTAATTAATTAACAAAACAAACATGTCGTGTTTAAAAGCTTGACTGGTATACTGGTGGACTTTGTTAAACGTAATTAAGTTATATACATGTATTGTTGAGATTGTTGTGATTGTTAAACTTGTTCTAGCTAATGTCTTTGAATGATAAATTCAGAATTTTAATGTTATGTCAATGTACATGTACAAGAATAAAGATTTGTAGCCTCAGCATATACATGTCTCTACATCTCTACAATCCAAGATGGCGGTCAAATGTGAATAAAGAACAACGGATATAGCGAACTAAATTTCTTGGTCCCTTGGAGTTCGTTATATCCGTGTTCTACTGTAATTAGAATATTCTTCTGACTCAGTGATGTACTTGTTTGTCCTTTAAGAAACCCTGTCTCACTTTGTTTTCTGTGATTCTGTAGCAAAGGACTGTACTTGCTGCAAGGCATGCTGAACACTTTCATTGTTGAGAACTGAAACAGAAGTATATATCATGATTATTAGCTGTCTTGCAAATAAAAAATAAAAAATAACATCCTCACAAAGCAACACACACATACAGGAACTAACCCATTTCAGCCATGATATTCACCATTTTAGTTATGTGACCTCAATTTGAGCTAGGTAACCTCCATTTTAACTTTGATGTGGCTTATGTGACCTCCATTTTACCTATGTGGTCTCAATTTTAGCTGTGATGTAGCTATGTGACCTCCATTTTGCTACGCAATCACCATTCTCGTCTATGATCTCCAATGAAGCTGTGATCTAGCTATGTGACCTCCATTCTAGCTATATGATCTCCAATGAAGCTGTGATCTAGCTATGTGACCTCCATTCTAGCTATATGATGTCCAATGAAGCTGTGATGTAGCTATGTGACGTCCATTCTAGCTATATGATCTCCAATGAAGCTGTGATGTAGCTATGTGACCTCCATTCTAGCTATATGATCTCCAATGAAGCTGTGATCTAGCTATGTGACCTCCATTCTAGCTATATGATCTCCAATGAAGCTGTGATCTAGCTATGTGACCTCCATTCTAGCTATATGATCTCCAATGAAGCTGTGATGTAGCTGTGACCTCCATTCTAGCTATATGATCTCCAATGAAGCTGTGATGTAGCTGTGACCTCCATTCTAGCTATATGATCTCCAATGAAGCTGTGATGTAGCTATGTGACGCCCATTCTAGCTATATGATCTCCAATGAAGCTGTGATGTAGCTATGTGACCTCCATTCTAGCTATATGATCTCCAATGAAGCTGTGATGTAGCTATGTGACCTCCATTCTAGCTATATGATCTCCAATGAAGCTGTGATCTAGCTATGTGACGTCCATTCTAGCTATATGATCTCCAATGAAGCTGTGATGTAGCTATGTGACCTCCATTCTAGCTATATGATGTCCAATGAAGCTGTGATGTAGCTATGTGGCGTCCATTCTAGCTATATGATCTCCAATGAAGCTGTGATGTAGCTATGTGACCTCCATTCTAGCTATATGATCTCCAATGAAGCTGTGATGTAGCTATGTGACCTCCATTCTAGCTATATGATCTCCAATGAAGCTGTGATCTAGCTATGTGACCTCCATTCTAGCTATATGATCTCCAATGAAGCTGTGATGTAGCTGTGACCTCCATTCTAGCTATATGATCTCCAATGAAGCTGTGATGTAGCTGTGACCTCCATTCTAGCTATATGATGTCCAATGAAGCTGTGATGTAGCTATGTGACGTCCATTCTAGCTATATGATCTCCAATGAAGCTGTGATGTAGCTATGTGACCTCCATTCTAGCTATATGATCTCCAATGAAGCTGTGATCTAGCTATGTGACCTCCATTCTAGCTATATGATCTCCAATGAAGCTGTGATCTAGCTATGTGACGTCCATTCTAGCTATATGATCTCCAATGAAGCTGTGATGTAGCTATGTGACCTCCATTCTAGCTATATGATCTCCAATGAAGCTGTGATGTAGCTCTGTGACGTCCATTCTAGCTATATGATCTCCAATGAAGCTGTGATGTAGCTATGTGACCTCCATTCTAGCTATATGATCTCCAATGAAGCTGTGATCTAGCTCTGTGACCTCTATTTTGCTGTGCAATCTCTATTTTAGCTATGTTACCTCCACTTTAGCTACGTGATCTCAATTTTAGCTGTGATCTAGCTCTCTGACCTCTATTTTGCTGTGCAATCTATCTTAGCTATGTTACCTTCATTTTAGCTATGTGATCTCATTTTGAGCTACATGTAAAAAATAGACCCCTAGGCTAAAACAATCTTTTAATTGAAAAGTACCGGTGTGAGAGAATGTCTACTCACATGATATGTTGCGACACACTTGCCGCATGTGGTCTAAATGGGACAACACCTGGTCCACTGAGGGATTGTCCTTCTTCAGTGCTGATCCAGTTCTGTTAAAAAAAGTCAATATCCATTTTGCTACTGGTCATATTTGAATTATAGAAATGTTCGACTTATCGGTATATTTTCTTACACAAACGAAAAAGTCAATAGCCCACAATATACTTGTCTAAGACACCTGATATGTGCTATGAATTCTGAACTCACCTTTGGTACATTTTACAAAACACATCTGTATTTCAATAACACGACACACCAGTATTTCAATAACAAGACACACCAAGATCTTAATAATATGATACACCTGTAATTCAATAACAAGACACACCTGTAATTCAATAACAAGACACACCTGTATCTCAATAACAAGACACACCTGTATCTCAATAACAAGACACACCTGTATCTCAATAACAAGACACACCTGTATCTCAATAACAAGACACACCTGTATCTCAATAACAAGACACGCCTGTATCTCAATAACAAGACACACCTGTATCTCAATAACAAGACACACCTGTATCTCAATAACAAGACACACCTGTATCTCAATAACAAGACACATGTATCTCTGTATCTCTATAATAACAAGACACACCTGTATCTCAATAACATGAAGGTAGTCATTTCATTAGTGGGGTCAAGCTGTTCTCAATAGGGTTAGAAAATCTGCTCTATTCACATGTTACCTTTGTCTTTTCTTTGGGGTTCCATTGAACTTTGTAAGTTGTTGGTTTATGAGTTCTGCTAGCCTGTCTTCATGTTCCTGGGCCCAATACTTCAGTATTGATACTGTGAAGAAGTCATTCTTCTTACACTCTCGAACCAGTATTGGTCTCAACAAGTCCACTGCTGGGCTGAAATAGTACACAGGTCAGTGATATAGTCTTCATAAAACATGCAGGTCCACATGACATCTTAAGGTGACTACTGTAGGTTGAAATAGTACACAGGTCATTCATATAGTCTTCATAAAACATGCAGGTCCACATGACATCTTAAGGTGTCTACTGTAGGTTGAAATAGTACACAGGTCATTCATATAGTCTTCATAAAACATGCAGGTCCACATGACATCTTAAGGTGTCTACTGTAGGTTGAAATAGTACACAGGTCATTCATATAGTCTTCATAAAAACATGCAGGTCCACATGACATCTTAAGGTGTCTACTGTAGGTTGAAATAGTACACAGGTCATTCATATAGTCTTCATAAAACATGTAGGTCCACATGACATCTTAAGGTGTCTACTGTAGGTTGAAATAGTACACAGGTCATTCATATAGTCTTCATAAAACATGCAGGTCCACATGACATCTTAAGGTGTCTACTGTAGGTTGAAATAGTACACAGGTCATTCATATAGTCTTCATAAAACATGCAGGTCCACATGACATCTTAAGGTGTCTACTGTAGGTTGAAATAGTACACAGGTCATTCATATAGTCTTCATAAAACATGCAGGTCCACATGACATGGTAACAAGAATACTGTGGGCCTGAGATATGGCAGCTGCCTGTAAATACTTGTATGTGGCCTTGTCAGTCCAGTGATTGATGGTCGGCCGACAAGAATGACTTGACCAACTGTGTCGTACCATGAGCAGACGCATTAAGTCACCTCTACTCAATGGCATCAGTTGCTGCAGAACTACTCTAAACCAGAATCTAAACTGGGTCGTATTTTTAATGAGTGGCATAATTTATACTGTACCAACCGCAAAGAGTTGACTTCAGTTACTGGATTAAATATGAGACAACTGCATAGAGTTGACTTCAGTTACTGGATTAAATATGAGACAACCGCAAAGAGTTGACTTCAGTTACTGGATTAAATATGAGACAACCGCAAAGAGTTGACTTCAGTTACTGGATTAAATATGAGACAACTGCATAGAGTTGACTTCAGTTACTGGATTAAATATGAGACAACTGCATAGAGTTGACTTCAGTTACTGGATTAAATATGAGACAACCGCAAAGAGTTCACTTCAGTTACTGGATTAAATATGAGACAACTGCATAGAGTTGACTTCAGTTACTGGATTAAATATGAGACAACTGCATAGAGTTGACTTCAGTTACTGGATTAAATATGAGACAACCGCAAAGAGTTGACTTCAGTTACTGGATTAAATATGAGACAACCGCAAAGAGTTGACTTCAGTTACTGGATTAAATATGAGACAACCGCAAAGAGTTGACTTCAGTTACTGGATTAAATATGAGACAACCGCAAAGAGTTGACTTCAGTTACTGGATTAAATATGAGACAACTGCATAGAGTTGACTTCAGTTACTGGATTAAATATGAGACAACTGCAAAGAGTTGACTTCAGTTACTGGATTAAACATGAGACAACCGCGCAAAGAGTTGACTTCAGTTACTGGATTAAATATGAGACAACTGCATAGAGTTGACTTCAGTTACTGGATTAAATATGAGACAACCGCAAAGAGTTCACTTCAGTTACTGGATTAAATATGAGACAACCTCAAAGAGTTGACTTCAGTTACTGGATTAAATATGAGACAACTGCATAGAGTTGACTTCAGTTACTGGATTAAATATGAGACAACTGCATAGAGTTGACTTCAGTTACTGGATTAAATATGAGACAACCGCATAGAGTTGACTTCAGTTACTGGATTAAATATGAGACAACTGCATAGAGTTGACTTCAGTTACTGGAATAAATATGAGACAATTTCACTCACCTTTCTTGCTTAAGTAACACTAATATACTTGTCATTGCCTCGGCATGAGCTGCAACAAACAGTCCGATATATATTTCTCATTAATATAGTCAAATCACATGTTAACTTTCAGCACAGGAAGTTGACATCATAGATGTCAAGGTCTTACAAATCTTCACAGTTTAATCTAGCGGAACACAATCTTTGCCAACACAATTGCCAGAGAAATAATGCTCCATCTGAGACCTCAGAAGAAAATCAACCTGGTTTATTATTACAGGTTTCCATGTAATCTATGAATGTCTAAAAACACAGAATAGAGGAAGAATTCAGCCTCACCTCCAAATTCTAGTTTGGGTAATATTGGAAGGATGTGTTCGATCTGTATGTTGTGAGACATGATCAGCTGCCACAGGAAGTACTGCTCGATTGTTTCCCAGTCCAGACTTTCATCTGTAGAAGATACAGACATCATCAAGTATCTCTCAACACATACAGCTCACTTAAATGCTGCCATAACTTCAATTTCAGTAAAGATTGATGTTGGAGGCAGCCCAGAGATCCAGAATACCACAAGCACAGGTAGTGAGGTGACTAAGGGATGTTACTGTTCGGGAAATCTTTCTATCATTTTCTGCCCTTTAACCAGACTTTTTTTGTCTTCATTTTTATCTTTTCTGGATAACGCATTTTGAAATCAAAGGCTAGCAGTCAATAATGCAAGATTTAACATCATGTTTATAATTTGTCAATTCATGGAAGCCTTTTTGGAGTAAATTAACCTCAAAGAAACTCAATGTTATTATCTGTTATACAGCCTCCTTGGCATTGTCACCAAACAGGATACAAAAGATACTACTCCAAGAGCTACGGACACAATGCTGCTGTAACTGGTTCTGCCACAATGTGTTGGACTTACTGAGCACAGAGAGGAAGGTCTCCTTGTTGTTGAACATGATGAGATGACCTTGAAGTATCTGACAAATCAAATCCTGGAGCTGAAACCAACAGTAAGTCATCAGTCACATTACTAACAACACATCAATAGTTTACTAATACTGTGAACCTTACTTTATTTCAAATCCCTCAGCTAATTACTACCATTTCTAATTACCTAAATCCAAATTAATTACCAATTTTAAGGGTTGAGGAGATTCCTACCTGAGTTCCATCTATGCAGGAGACCAACACATGGAGGAGTTCTGCATTACCAACAGCAATGGCAGGAAACTGAGGAAAAGATACATAATTGTTGTTGTCACCATGACAATGTGAGTGTTGGACATACTAGTGAGTCAGTTTAGTTTTACTCCACGCTAAGCAATATTCCGGCTATATGGTGGCAGTCTGTAAATAATCGAATCTGGGACAGACAATCCAGTGATCAACAGCATGAGCATAGATTGACGCAACTGGGAGATGATGACATGTGTCAATCAAGTCAGCGAGCCTGACCACCTGATCCCGTTAGTTGCCTCTTACGACAAGCATGGGTCACTGAAGACCAGTTCCAACCCGGATCTTCATGGGTGTTGGACATACTAAAACAGGGAGTGGGTATTTTAAGTTGGATAACTTGTCCCCAATCCCACTCACATTTGTGAATAAAATATGTTTAAATCACTAAAACATTTCATTCAATTTTGACAGACTATCTTCTCTACAACTACCAAACATCGAGATCGATGAAACCAAGCCCTCAAGTTCAATAATGTCAAATGTGGAACATTCCTGTACTAGTTATCTCATCTCTGACACCAAGTCAGTGCTCCAATCATTATCTCATCTCTAACACCAAGTCAGTGCTCCAATCATTATCTCATCTCTAACACCAAGTCAGTGCTCCAATCATTATCTCATCTCTAACACCAAGTCAGTGCTCCAATCATTATCTCATCTCTAACACCAAGTCAGTGCTCCAATCATTATCTCATCTCTAACACCAAGTCAGTGCTCCAATCATTATCTCATCTCTGACACCAAGTCAGTGCTCCAATCATTATTCATCATCTCTAACACCAAGTCAGTGCTCCAATCATTATCTCATCTCTGACACCAAGTCAGTGCTCCAATCATTATCTCATCTCTAACACCAAGTCAGTGCTCCAATCATTATCTCATCTCCGACACACAAGTCAGTGCTCCAATCATTATCTCATCTCTGACACCAAGTCAGTGCTTAATCATTATCTCATCTCTCTGACACCAAGTCAGTGCTCCAATCATTATCTCATCTCTAACACACCAAGTCAGTGCTCAATCATTATCTCATCTCTCTCTAACACCAAGTCAGTGCTCCAATCATTATCTCATCTCTGACACCAAGTCAGTGCTAATCATTATCTCATCTCTGACACCAAGTCAGTGCTCCAATCATTATCTCATCTCTAACACCAAGTCAGTGCTCCAATCATTATCTCATCTCTGACACCAAGTCAGTGCTCCAATCATTATCTCATCTCTGACACCAAGTCAGTGCTCCAATCATTATCTCATCATCTCTAACACCAAGTCAGTGCTCCAATCATTATCTCATCTCTGACACCAAGTCAGTGCTCCAATCATTATCTCATCTCTGACACCAAGTCAGTGCTCCAATCATTATCTCATCTCTAACACCAAGTCAGTGCTCCAATCATTATCTCATCTCTGACACCAAGTCAGTGCTCCAATCATTATCTCATCTCTGACACCAAGTCAGTGCTCCAATCATTATCTCATCTCTGACACCAAGTCAGTGCTCCAATCATTATCTCATCTCTGACACCAAGTCAGTGCTCCAATCATTATCTCATCTCTAACACCAAGCCAGTGCTCCAATCATATATTCATTTGACCCTATCAACCTTAGCACAAGATAAAGGGTAATTGAAAGATGACAACAGGACAATTTAAACTAGCAACACAGCTGAAGCAACGGAACTAAAACCCATATCAAGCATAATTGGGGCCCATCACAAAGTGTATCTGTGTTCAACAAAGGGACATTACTCTGTTCAAATCTATTTAAACAGGAAGTGGTACATCATTAAATAAAAGGGTGAGACTAAAATGAGGACCTGCTTTGTTAGCTGGAAAGGACAAACTAGTGGTTGATAGTATGAACATTGATATGAAATATGTTAGTGAGATTATATAACATACGTGTGTGTAGACATCGGGTATGAGATATGTAAATAATCGGACATCATCTTCTTGACATTGCTGCAAAGAAACAAACAGATCAACTTTATCACTGAACATTTGTCATGGAAGACTACAAGTGGACACTTCTAGATTATACCTTAAATGCACCTACATAAAAGAAAGACCCATGTTAAGTTATTTTTCAGAGCATCTAAGATGTTGAGTGAATGACATAGATATTGAGTTCATAAAACCTGAAGACAAATTACAGGAATCTTTTTATTCTGTACATGTTTTCCTGCTATGACGAAAGAGAAAACAGCTTGCTAGAACACATCCTGGAAGTCGGTCACCAACAGAGTCCTGCACATGATCTTCCCACACCATCAAACACATCCTGGAAGTCGGTCACCAACAGAGTCCTGCACATGATCTTCCCACACCATCAAACACATCCTGGAAGTCGGTCACCAACAGTCCTGCACATGATCTTCCCATACCATCAAACACATCCTGGAAGTCGGTCACCAACAGTCCTGCACATGATCTTCCCACACCATCAAACACATCCTGGAAGTCGGTCACCAACAGTCCTGCACATGATCTTCCAACAGTATCAAACACATCCTGGAAGTCGGTCACCAACAGAGTCCTGCACATGATCTTCCCACAGCATCAAACACATCCTGGAAGTCGGTCACCAACAGTCCTGCACATGATCTTCCCACAGCATCAAACACATCCTGGAAGTCGGTCACCAACAGTCCTGCACATGATCTTCCAACAGTATCAAACACATCCTGGAAGTCGGTCACCAACAGTCCTGCACATGATCTTCCCACACCATCAAACACATCCTGGAAGTCGGTCACCAACAGTCCTGCACATGATCTTTCCACACCATCAAACACATCCTGGAAGTCGGTCACCAACAGAGTCCTGCACATGATCTTCCCACAGCATCAACTGTACATGGGAACACTTGACAGCATGAGTGCTTCTTGGTAGGTGTAACAGGTCTCATAGCAGGCCAAATAGATAACAGGCAGAAGACTCCAAGTACTATCCAGCTGTGACTCTGTGAATTATTCCACAATGCAGTTGAAGGGCTGGAGTTGCACAAAGCAAAGGGTGACTGGACCCGATTGTAGGACTAGATTTCATAACTGGGTGCACTGTGCGTCCCGTGGGTCTAATGAAAATCATCTGGTTGTACTAAGGATAAGAGGCACCATAGAAAAAAATTGCATCTGAAGCAAGTCTAAATCAGGAGAAAAGCAAACTATAATATCCGGCGTTGATGATTAGTAAGGTCAGGACAGGATTATGGCCTGTGGGGGCAGCAGTTTAGATGGTACGCCTCCATAATCATTATTCCCAGCCACAGACAGTTCAAAAGTAGTACTGAGGAGAGGATGTGACACCACATTCCCATCCAATGATGGGTCAGATGCCGTCTTCTTCTTGTAAATGTTGTAAAATCAGAGGACAGGAAGGAGTTCATGATGTTGGTATGGATTTGATGAATGCTTTGTTGAAAGAAAGTTGCCCAATCATAATGGCATGTATGACAATTGATGTTTCAATGCTTGAATTTGTCTGACAATACACCTGTCCTAGTCTGAATTTGTTGCTCCCCAACCAGTTTTCAGGTGAGCATGGAAATGAAGTCTGTCAAAAAGTATCCATCAATGACACTCGACTCAAGGGTGCCTCATTGGAGATAGGGACTCAGACACTGATTCAGTAGCACCAGAAGACTGGCTCATCACAGCCTGACCACTGGCCGGTGTTTACATAATAAACACAATACTGCATGTTACTACTGTACTGGAATGTCTCAGGTTGTAGTTTGAGAAACCATCCACAACCACCTGTCAAGAGGAACTGAGGTCTGATTCAAGGCTCTGTGAAACTGACGCTTCAGGAGTGAGCGAGTTAGGGAGAGTGAGCTGTAGTTATCTTCAAAAATACAACAGATGCATCAAGTTTCATGGAAGGGCCAGATATGGGGCAGGCTAGAGTCAGTTGGAGATGCAGGAATTGTTGATGGCAGGGACATCACTGCAAAAATAACCACAAGGGTTCTATGGAGGCTGAACAAGAAGACCCAGCAGATACAGACAGCTTTACCGAACTGCCAAATGGCAAAGGAGGGTAGGAAACATCTGTAAATGCATTACCTGTCTGCAGGTTCTGCAAGGGAAAGTGACAGGACGTAAGGAAACCCAGCAGAAGTGAGACCGCAGATACATCCTGCCTAGGCAAAGCAAAACCGTATCTGTAGCAGAAGGTGATTTCAAACGAGACGATCAAGGGCAGCTCCCCAGCTGACCAACTGTGTGTTCTGGGCAGCTGATTTCACTCAGCTATAGACATTGGGAAAGGCAAGAGGCAAACTGTATTCTATCACCATGAGAGTAATTTGCTATTTTTCCATCAGTTTAGGGGGTATTTCTTTACACATCTACTGTCAAATGGTCAGTGTCTGTATAGTTACATTTACTGTCCTTGAATCATGGGTCTTAATGATGCAAAGTTAACAGATGCTGAAACAAAACAGATCCAATCAACATAACATTACTGTGGAAAACACTTTACCTTTAAATCTTGTAACAAATATTCAGAGGGGTCTTTTGTATCCATACTTTTACAGAAATCTTTGTATGTTGCCATTTTTTCTTCATTCATTTTGCTAAAAAAGAGCAATAAAGAAGAACAACATCAACACAGGATTTCCACTGTAGTTTAGATGTCATGAGGTGACATCTTGGCTTGGAAATTACCAGCAGAGAATAAAATAACTTACTTGAAACTCAGAATTATCACTAAAAAGCTGTGAGGAAGTGCAGATCATAAGTCCCTCGTAAAAGAATGCAGTAAGTTCTTCACAAAAGATGAGTCATTTATTCACCAGGAACAAATAATCTGCAATACCTAACTAATGATTTCTTGTTTGTGGTATAATGCCAACTCAGCAATATTCCAGCTATCTGACTGTGGTCTGTAAATGCCAGTCTGAGCTAGACCATCCAGTGATCAACAGCATGAGCATCGATCAACGCATCAGTCTTCATCAACCAATTCCTATCATAAGAGGCGACTAATGGGATCGGATGGTCAGACTCACAGACCAGGGTCATGCATGTCATGGTATCCCAGTAGTGTAGATCGTTAAGTGTTGGCTACATAAACAAACAAACAAACGTTGAGTGCAGCATTACAATTTAAACAAAACCATTCAGACCACCCAATCCTGACTTTGACTTTCACATGCACATCTTCATCTCTCAGACTTTGCTCTCACCTGACTTTGAGGAAGTACAGCAGATGGTAGCCTATCCTGGGCTGCCGAAGATACATTTCCCCTAATAACTGCAGTATCGGATGTCGACGTGGGTCCTCCTCCGACATTTGACTTAAAAACCTAAAACATCAATAACCAATAAGCTTAGTAGAGGTACATATGTTCATACTTAACTTCAAAAATCTTGTCTTAGTCAAAATACTTTAGCCTTATGAATATTACAAATAATACGTGGATCAGATACTTACCTAAACATAACAAATATTGGCGTTCCTATTGAATCTTCTATAGATCTGAAAAACACATAAAAACAATTGAAAGCTAAAATGTCTCATGTTATAAAGTGTCTGATAATGATTCTCCACTAACATAGCAGTGTCCCCGCCGCTAAAGAAGAATGAAACATAACATTTTTTGTACACAGTATTTATCTTTTGGTCACATAGATTACCTTTTGTGTGATGTAGTTATCGCAGAATGTAATTTGCTGACTAAAATTGATATTTTATACTTATCCTGACTCATGCTAAATACTCATGCTAAATACTTGTCTCCTTCTTCTGCGAATGATAGTGGAACACTTGAAATCCCTTGAAGTTCCCTTCTAAAATCACCACTCACCCACGAGTTACCTCCCTTGCCTCCTTGGCGCCCTTTTGGTCACCTGACCGGCCATGTTTTGTCACTCTCTCCGTATGCATGCCCGACACCCGGATTTACAGGGAAATCCAGAGTGCCCTGAGAGGGGAGGTTGGGAAGGCTGACCTCATGAGTCAGGATAAGTATAAAATATCAATTTTAGTCAGAAAATTACATATTTTCCTTATCCTGACTCATGCTAAATGCTTGCAGAATCTGTCGGAATCGGTAGTGGGTCAGGCCACTTCTGGATTCTCTGGCTGTTGACGTACGTCATGTATTACCCCCCCATGGGAACTTATGACGGCAATGCTGATAATTCTGTTCTTTCAACTTCCTCTGATGAGTCTGAGTCAGATTTCTTCCGAAACTTCTCCTGACATTTTCGTGTGCATTTTTAGATATACTAATGTTCCATTAGTTATCTATGGCAACTCCATCTCTTCATGCGCGCATCCACTGGAGATGCGACCTTTCTTCATGTACGAGTATGTCCCATACAAGTACAGGGTCTATCACTCATGCTAGCCTGTCCTAGACGTGTGCATGGACTTTAACCATTTGCTCTCCAGAGCGATGGTTTTCACAAGTCACGCGATAAAAGGGTGAGATTTTTCCTTTGTGGACCTGTTAGTTGTTGTGCTACAGCAAGTGGCCCAAACTGGTGAATGCCTGAGACGTCTTCGGTGGCAATGTCTCTGATGTAGTGGTTGGCAAACACCGCGTTCGATTTCCAAAAGCAGCCCTCCATTATTCTTGTAATCGAGCAGTTTCCATGCAGAGCAAGTGTAGACGCCAGGGCCTCTGACTTCGTGGGGATTGGAGGCTCGTGGACGCTCAAGTCCTGCTGCTTTGTAGGCTCTTAGTATAACGTCATTCATCCAGATCGATATCGTTGTCCGTGAGACTTCCGTGGGCGTCTCAGTGGATAAGGGGATGAATAGGCGCTTGAATTTTCGTCTCCTTGTTTTTGTCCTTTGTAGGTAGACTTTTAGTGCTCTGACAGAGCATAAGGATAGATCCTGTGTATCCTGTGGCCCAAGGACTGTAGAGAGTGCTGGGATGTGGAACTGTCTGTCTGGCTGTCTGGGCAGTTGGTTCTTGGCAATAAAATCCCATCTCAGTCCTAGATGTACGATGTCATGATGTCTTGATTCAAATCGTGTTCGTTCAAAGTCCAGAGCATGTATTTCTGACATCCGTGCTGCTGTTGCTAGGGCAATCAGGAACAGCGTTTTCTGAGTCAGTAGTTCAAAGGAAGTCCGTTCTAGAGGCTTGTAGGCATCACTGGTGAGATGTTGTAGAACTATGTTGAGATCCCAGGCAGGAGCCTTGAATTAATTTTGTTGGTCTTCCAACTTGAACGAGCGTAGTAGTGCCAGAATCTCTGGTACTTTGGTCAGCTTGACACCCGTCTTCATGGTGATAACTTTACTGAGAGCAGCCAGGTACGTTGAGAGTGTTGAACCTTTTAGTGTCTCGTCTGTCGCAGATGACACAGGTATTCCGCCACTTGAGGATGGGTTGCTTTTACTGCTGTAAAGCCTTTCCTCGTTGCATACTGTTCAAATCTCTGCCACTTGTCGTCGTACAAGTTGTGAGTTGATCTGTGTAGAGCTAGTGTCACTGCTTTCGCTGCTCTGGCGGAATACCCTCTAGTCTTCAGGCAAGCTTTAATACGCTCCAAGCGTGTAGCTGGAACAATGCCGGATTCCTGTGAGCTTGGTTGGTGTGTGGATGGACGAGCAGGTTCGACCACTCTGGTAGTTTCAGGGTTGGACTTCCGAGTTCTTCAATGAGGACGGGAAACCATACCCTCGCTGGCCAATAGGGCGCGACCAATATCAGTTGCAGCATTGTCGTCTGCTTGATTTTCTGTATTACTTGTGGTAGTAGTGCTGGAGGTGGAAACGCATAAGTGTTTAGTCCTTCCCATGAGATGCTTAAAGCGTCTGTTGCCCATGCCTGAGGATCCGGAATCGGTGAGACGAATGTTGGTAGTTGCTTGTTGAACTTTGTTGCAAACAGGTCTATCAGTGGAGATCCTGTTGTCCGTATGACGAACCGGACCGCTTCTGGGTGTAACATCCACTCCGTCGGGGATGGTTGAAGTGGACGAGATAAGGTGTCTGCTATGATATTTTTTGCTCCTGGAATGTGGCATGCCTTCATGTAGATGTTCAGGTCGTCGACGATGCTGAATGGGAGAAAGCTGAGTTGTAGCAGACTTTTGATCTTGTTGATCCTTGTTTGTTGATGTAGAACGCTACTGTGAAGTTATCCGTGTGGACCATGAGCCTTGCGTTCTTCAGTACGCTGGTCCAGTGTTGTAAAGCGTTGATCACTGCATTCATCTCCAACAGGTTGATGTGTAGACTCTGATCCTGACTCGACCACTTCCCTGCTACCACTTCGTTGTCGAGGTGGGCACCCCATCCTTGTAGCGATGCATCTACATAGAGATGAGTGTTGCAAACCGGCTCTGACAAAAAGGTTCCTCCGCAAACATTCGACTTCCGAGTCCACCATAAGAGGTATGGTTTCAGGCTGTCCGGTAGTATCAGCGGATCCAGACTGTCGAGATGGCTGTTCACAAATATTTGTAGTGGGCGCAGTTGTAGTCTCCCTCTGCGAGTCATGTCTTGAGCTGAGGTGAGTAGACCGAGCATGCTTTGCCAAGCATGTAGTGTCAACGGAGAGAGCAATGCTTGAGATATCATATGTTGTATCTTGACCCAATGATCCTCTGGGACGACTATGCGATTCACCTGCGTGATGAGTCGTATTCCTAGAATGGAAGATCCTGTTTCAGCTCCAGTTCAGACTAGAGGAGATTTACCAGCCATCCTAACTGAGTGAGAAGCCTGATGGTGAAGTCTAGTTGCAGTCTGAGTTGACTGGGATCTTGATGAACTTGAATTCCGTCGTCCAGGTAAAAATCACTGCATAGACCTCGACGATGTAGATATGTGACGATGGGCTTGGTCACTCGAGTACACAACCAGGGGTCCGACGATATTCCAAATGGTAGCACCTTCCACTGGAAGTTATGTCTGTTGAAAAGGAATCTTAGGTATTTCCTTGAGTCTGGATGTATAGGTACACATCTTGTAGATCTATGCTGGCGAGGTAGTCTGATAGATGAACGACATGTCGGAGCTGAGGGAGATGTATCATCTTGAATTTTGCTGGTCTGCGAAGGTACTCCTGGTTGAACTTCCTCATGTTGTAGATGAGCCAAAACTTCTCCTTGGAATTCTTCTACGGTACCAGGAAAATTGGGGAGTAAAAACCGGGCGTGATGAGATCTTGATTTATCTCTTCTGCTGCATCTTTGTCGAGTAGAGTCTTGATTGCGTCGTCCAGTTTCTCTGTCTGGTCAGCTGCATAGTTGAAGGCCAGCGGGTTGCTTGTAAGTGGCAGGGTGGCTTCCAACTGTATCTTGTACCCTCTGCGTATTATCTGGGATACGTAGTTGTCCTGTAGTATTCCCCCAGTACCGTTGAAGACGTCCACCCACTTTCGAAGGTTGTACAGGAACGGCTTGGGGTGGAAGACTCCAGTCGTTCCAAACCTGTCCTTCAGCACTTGGTTCCTCTTGAGCTGGAATACTTCTTTTCTCTGGCTCTCTGGACTCCTGCAAACTTGGATTTGTTGGAGTAGCACTGGGATGTCTGGCGAATCACATTTGCCAAGGTATCTATGCACTTTATCATCATGACCTCCCTTGATTCGTGTGTAACCTCTTTGGCGACTTCTTCAATCCCTCTTCCAAAGATGGATGATGCTGACCATGGGACTGTATAAGGACTTGGTGAACTGCTCACTCCAGGTGCACGATGACAATAAACCTTGTCTACACAAGAGAGTCAGGCTCGCTGATGTGGATGCTAGATGCTCCGACATAAATTGGTGGTCCTTTTTCTGAGTCAGTAGTGCAGAATATATCATCCGGTCGTCTTCTTCTTGTCCTCTATCTTGTAGCGGGAGTCATTGATGATGTTGTAGTCCTCATCAATCTCTGGTGCCTTCAGGAAGGGTTCCATGTGATGTAAGGGGAATTTCTTGGCGTTGAACGTCGGGATATGTTGGTTCTGGAACTTGGTAGCCTTATCAAAGGCTGAGCTGAGGTTGTCCGGTAATTGGGAGATCAGGTCGATAAGCGGAAAGGTGAGTGTGTCGAAATCATCGTTGGACATCTTGTATGTAAACACTTTGTCTGTGTCCTTGGAAGGTGATGCTAGGTCCAGGCCATTAGCAATCCATGAGGTTACGTCCGTATCGGAGAATATGACTTCACCTTCTTCCTCTGATTTAGACATCTCCCGCTCTGACAATCCACGACGACGTGAGTCTCTGTGTGAAGATCTGTATGACGAACTGCGCGCAGGTGAACGATCCCGATGTGATCGTGTATTCTTCCTGGAGTCTTGAGATCTCTCTCTAGGCCTTTCGTGAAGGTTGATTCTTAGTCTCCCCTCTGTACGATGTGGAGTGCATGCGCGCAGGTTCCCGATGTGCGTCTGAGTCCGATGGTGATGAAGACCCGGACCTGTATCTATGACGTCTGTAGGGTTCGGGAGAACGCTTTGACCTGCTTCTGCGTGGAGAATTCTTAGCGGTTCCTTCAGTGACGTCTAAGAATGAGCTGGCTCCAAACTTCAGATGGGGAAGATCGTCGGGTGCGTGAGCCTTAACGCAGGCTTCCTTCTTCTTCCAAGTGTGTTGGAGAGACTGCTGAATCTTCATGCAGGCTAGTAGTCATCGTAGCAGCTTTCTCCTGCTCGAAGCGACGTTCCATCATCGACGTCATCTGGTCTGTAAACTGTTGCATGAACAGTCCCGGGTTGAAGTTCTGCGATGTCTGAAGAGACTGCTGCAGGGATGATGATGCTTCTGACAATGTTGAGGCCTCTTCTAAGGCACACTGCACTAGTCAAGAGTTGACGCTGCTGCTATCTCTGGTACCCAATGTCTGTGTTGACAGAAGGTCTTCTGTCAATGTCTGCGCTGATAAAGTTGCCGATGTAGCTGTAGAAGCAGGCTTCGTCTTCTTGCTGACGACTGAAACTTCAGGTATGAGGATGGGGGGGATCACCATACACGTCTGCTTCTTCCGGAGGTACAATCTCGGCAGAAAAGGATCTCGACTTCTGCGTAGAGCTGTGTAGCGACTGCGACGAAGTCTTAGGGGTAGTAGCCTTCTTCTTCTGTGTCTTCTTCGTCTGCAAAGAGGTCAGCTCCGTTGACGACGATCTCTTATTAGCTCCAGGGTTCATCACTGGAACAGCGACCTGCCCCCGTAAAACGCTCGGCAATTCACTGGAATTATGAACATCGGCAGCAGTAGTTAACACACGGTTATCAGCGCGATCACTCGATTTAGACATGACTTGTGAATACCTTCTTACCCAGTCCATTGCACGTCTATGAATGGAAAAAAGGTAGTTAATAAATTCAAAAGTGGTTAATTCCAGACAATGTTTACAGCGAGAGCTGAAAGAACATGAAGTAGTGCAATCAGGACATAATAAATGTGGGTCAGACGCAGACAGTCTGACCCACATTTTTGAAAAGTGTCATGTAACCTTGAAAATAAGGCCCAGGTCAACCCAGAAAAGACAACGAACACAAGTTTCTCATCAAATGTAAACACAACGTATAATTTAGATCAAATTTCAAACCATATAGTAGAATACAATCCTAAAAGCCGTATACAGCAATAATTTTGATGTAAAAGGTCCAAAATAGAAAAGGATATGTGCTGTATAGGGATCCAGGTGCTCTCACAACCGTCCTCAAGGGCGAAGAAGGAGAGAGTGACAAAACATGGCCAGTCAGGTGACCAAAAGGACGCCAAGGAGGCAAGGGAGGTAACTCGTGGGTGAGTGGTGATTTCACGTCCGCTTTTTAGAAGGGAACTTCAAGGGATTTCAAGTGTTCCACTATCATTCACAAAGAGAAGGAGACAAGCATTTAGCATGAGTATTTAGCATGAGAAAAATAACAAGATTTTGAAAAGTGTCATGTGACCTTGAAAATAAGGCCAAGGTCACCCAGAAAAGACTGGTGGCTGCGTAATCCCCTAATGTAGGCTGTCACCAAACTTGAGGTGAGGTGAGGTGAGGTGAAATTGGGTTTAATGTAGTGCTTGAGAATATTTCTCTCATATGACGACATGCATGCGGGTGTATGTGTATGTGTGGCTGCTTGTACTAGCCCAGACTTAAGCTGGTTTTATAGTGCTAGCTCACTGAGATACCATGCCGCAGTGAAGCATGAATACCCCACTCAGACACATTATACTGACTCCGAGCCGACCAGTCCCTGTTGTACCCATTAATGCCGAGCGCCAGACAGGGACGAACAAGTACCATATTTTAACATCTTTTGGTACGACGCGGTTGGGGATCGAACCCATGACCTTCCGCTCTCCGGGCGGATGCTCTAACCACTGCACCACGGAGGCGGTCCACCAAACTTGAAGACATTTGGTACAACAGTTCATGAGATATTGTGTTAACAAGAATCGGGACGTATGTACAGACACTGCTGAATACATAGTCCCCCATGGGGTACAATCAAATGCGCAGTGTCAAAATAGCTGTTTCGATCAGAGGTGGTAATTGAGATGACAAACCAATCACAATCCAATATTTTTTTACATTCATGGTAGAAGACAAAACAAATCCCAAAGTGGTGCAGGCTGTAAAACCCGACTGAGCTGTAAGACCAGTGTGTATAATATCAGGGAGAGTCGTGTGTTTAGTATTTATAGTGAATATGAAATGTGACTTACTCTTCATCTATCTCCTGAGGCAAGAGGTTCAAGTTGAACTGGGGACTGAGAATCTGGCACAGGCACACAGCCAATGGTGTCGCTACATCCAGGTCGAAGTCATCCTGCACAAAACAAGAAAGAATACATAAACTTCATCCGACTTTACTACATAATGCTCTACAAAATGTAAAACAATAAGAATACATAAACTTCATCCGACTTTACTTCATAATGCTCTACCAAATGTAAAACAAGAAGAATACATAAACTTCATCCCACTTTACTACATAATGCTCTACGAAATGTAAAAAGAAGAATACATATACTTCATCCGACTTTACTACATAATGCTCTATGAAATGTAAAACAAGAAGAATACATATACTTCATCCGACTTTACTACATAATGCTCTACGAAATGTAAAACAAGAATACATATACTTCATTCGACTTTACTTCATAATGCTCTACGAAATGTAAAACAAGAAGAATACATATACTTCATCCCACTTTACTACATAATGCTCTACGAAATGTAAAACAAGAAGAATACATAAACTTCATCCCACTTTACTACATAATGCTCTACAAAATGTAAAAGAAGAAGAATACATATACTTCATCCGACTTTACTACATAATGCTCTATGAAATGTAAAACAAGAAGAATACATATACTTCATCCGGCTTTTACTACATAATGCTCTCTTTGTAAAACAAAGATAATACATATTTCATCCGACTTTGCTTCATAATGTCTGAGAAAAAACAAGAATACATATACTTCATCCCAGTTTACTACATTGCTCTCTGAGACATATACTATCTTCATAATGCTCTACATACTTCCGACTTTACTAATGTAAAACAAGAAGAATACATATACTTCATCCCAGTTTACTACATAATGCTCTACTTAAATGTACAACAAGAAAGAATACATATACTTCATCCTGACTTTACTTCATAATCCTCTATGAAATGTAAAACAAGAAGAATACATAATCTTCATCCTGACTAAAACAAGAAGATAATAAACTCTCCACTTTAAAATGTAAAACAAAGAAGAATACATATGCTTCATCCGACTTTTACTACATAATGCTCTACTACATAATGCTCTACGAAATGTAAAACAAGAAAGAATACATATACTTCATCCGACTTTATTACATAATGCTCTACGAAATGTAAAACAAGAAGAATACATAAACTTCATCCAACTTTACTACATAATGCTCTACAAAATGTAAAACAAGAATACATATACTTCATCCGACTTTACTACATAATGCTCTACGAAATGTAAAACAAGAAGAATACATATACTTCATCCGACTTTACTACATAATGCTCTACTTTAAATGTAAAACAAGAAGAATACATATACTTCATCCTGACTTTACTACATAATGCTCTACTTAAATGTAAAACAAAGAATACATATATATCCATCCTGACTTTTACTACATAATGCTCTCTGAGAATGTAAAACAAAGAAGAATACATATACTTCATCCGGACTTTACTACATAATGCTCTCTACTTAAATGTAAAACAAGAAGAATACATATACTTCATCCGACTTTACTACATAATGCTCTACTACATAATGCTCTACGAAATGTAAAACAAGAAAGAATACATATACTTCATCCGACTTTACTACATAATGCTCTACGAAATGTAAAACAAGAAAGAATACATATACTTCATCCGACTTTACTACATAATGCTCTACGAAATGTAAAACAAGAAAAATACATATACTTCATCCGACTTTACTACATAATGCTCTCTACTTAAAATGTAAAACAAGAAAGAATACATATACATCATCCTAGACTTTACTACATGCTCTCTACTTCAAATGTAAAACAAGAAGAATACATATACTTCATCCGACTTTACTACATAATGCTCTACGAAATGTACAACAAGAAAGAATACATATACTTCATCCGACTTTACTTCATAATCCTCTATGAAATGTAAAACAAGAAGAATACATATTCTTCATCCGACTTTACTAACATAATGCTCTACGAAATGTAAAACAAGAAGAATACATATACTTCATCCGACTTTACTACATAATGCTCTACTACATAATGCTCTACGAAATGTAAAACAAGAAAGAATACATATACTTCATCCGACTTTACTACATAATGCTCTACGAAATGTAAAACAAGAAGAATACATAAACTTCATCTAACTTTACTACATAATGCTCTACAAAATGTAAAACAAGAATACATATACTTCATCCGACTTTACTACATAATGCTCTACGAAATGTAAAACAAGAAGAATACATATACTTCATCCGACTTTACTACATAATGCTCTACGAAATGTAAAACAAGAAGAATACATATACTTCATCCGACTTTACTACATAATGCTCTACTTAAATGTAAAACAAGAAGAATACATATACTTCATCCTGACTTTACTACATAATGCTCTACGAAATGTAAAACAAGAAGAATACATATACTTCATCCGACTTTACTACATAATGCTCTACGAAATGTAAAACAAGAAGAATACATATACTTCATCCGACTTTACTACATAATGCTCTACTACATAATGCTCTACTAAATGTAAAACAAGAAAGAATACATATACTTCATCCGACTTTACTACATAATGCTCTACGAAATGTAAAACAAGAAAGAATACATATACTTCATCCGACTTTACTACATAATGCTCTACGAAATGTAAAACAAGAAAGAATACATATACTTCATCCGACTTTACTACATAATGCTCTACGAAATGTAAAAGAAGAAGAATAGATATACTTCATCCAAATTTACTACATAATGCTCTACGAAATGTAAAAGAAGAAGAATACATATACTTCATCCGACTTTACTACATAATGTTCTACTACATAATGCTCTACGAAATGTAAAACAAGAAAGAATACATATACTTCATCCGACTTTACTACATAATGCTCTACGAAATGTAAAACAAGAAAGAATACATATACTTCATCCGACTTTACTACATAATGCTCTATGAAATGTAAAACAAGAAAAATACATATACTTCATCCCACTTTACTACATAATGCTCTACGAAATGTAAAACAAGAAAGAATACATATACTTCATCCGACTTTACTACATAATGCTCTACGAAATGTAAAACAAGAAGAATACATATACTTCATCCGACTTTACTACATAATGCTCTACGAAATGTAAAACAAGAAAGAATACATATACTTCATCCGACTTTACTACATAATGCTCTACGAAATGTTATCACGAAATGTTGATAAAGTAAACATATCCCTTGGATATTTGTAATCACTGGTCACCTCCACTGTGCCAGACAGAGAAGTACTCCTACCTACCTGTTGTATGACGGCCTGCATCAAACGATCAATGACTTCACACTGACTCTCCTGGTCTCTGACAAGGCAAGAACATCTAAAATTAGCATCTAAAATAAAAGTTGTTAAACAGTGCCTTGAAGTATTACATAACAATTAGTAAAAACAGTGAATCATTCAGGAACTGTACAGACTATCTTCTGGTAGTCAACATGGACAGCGACAATGTGTACAGAAGGTGTGACAGTGTTCAACTTACGTCTCATTCTGCAACTCCTGAGTGAACCCCTGGAGTTCTTCAGGTAACTGATGAAGATGCTCGGATATATCCACAGGTTGAAAACGAGGTGGCTCGGGTATGGGTTGGAATTTCATTTCTTGCTTTAGCTTTCCTGTAAGAATTATTGCCATGTGTAGAATATACTCATGTCCTGAGCCCCAATTACACAAATCAGTGTAAGTGGCAAGACTACTGTAAGTCTATGTTAAAGGAGGAGTTATGGTCTTAGGGCTGAGGTTGCCTTGTGCCAGAACACATGCACTTACTCTATGCGTTTGGGTGTACAGAGAAGCTCTCATCCAAATGCAATACTCCAGCAAAACAGTTGATCCTGGACCAGACAATCCAGTGGATCACATTGTGAGCAGCAATCCAGGCCATTAGGGAATAGTGATAAACTATCAACTACGTCATTAAATCGGATCCATTAGGCAATCTCTTACATTGTTCTTTAATTACAGAGACAAAGGAAATATCAGCAGTATTGTTTCTCAGATACATGTGGCAATCTCTTACACTGTTCTTTAATTACAGAGACAAAGGAAATATCAGCAGTATTGTTTCTCAGATACATGTGGCAATCTCTTACATTGTTCTTTAATTACAGAGACAAAGGAAATATCAGCAGTATTGTTTCTCAGATACATGTGGCAATCTCTTACATTGTTCTTTAATTACAGAGACAAAGGAAATATCAGCAGTATTGTTTCTCAGATACATGTGGCAATCTCTTACATTGTTCTTTAATTACAGAGACAAAGGAAATATCAGCAGTATTGTTTCTCAGATACATGTGGCAATCTCTTACATTGTTCTTTAATTACAGAGACAAAGGAAATATCAGCAGTATTGTTTCTCAGATACATGTGGCAATCTCTTACATTGTTCTTTAATTACAGAGACAAAGGAAATATCAGCAGTATTGTTTCTCAGATACATGTGGCAATCTCTTACATTGTTCTTTAATTACAGAGACAAAGGAAATATCAGCAGTATTGTTTCTCAGATACATGTGGCAATCTCTTACATTGTTCTTTAATTACAGAGACAAAGGAAATATCAGCAGTATTGTTTCTCAGATACATGTGGCAATCTCTTACACTGTTCTTTAATTACAGAGACAAAGGAAATATCAGCAGTATTGTTTCTCAGATACATGTGGCAATCTCTTACATTGTTCTTTAATTACAGAGACAAAGGAAATATCAGCAGTATTGTTTCTCAGATACATGTGGCAATCTCTTACATTGTTCTTTAATTACAGAGACAAAGGAAATATCAGCAGTATTGTTTCTCAGATACATGTGGAGACAATCTCTTACATTGTTCTTGTTCTTTAATTACAGAGACAAAGGAAATATCAGCAGTATTGTTTCTCAGATACATGTGGCAATCTCTTACATTGTTCTTTAATTACAGAGACAAAGGAAATATCAGCAGTATTGTTTCTCAGATACATGTGGCAATCTCTTACATTGCACTTGGCTTTTCTCCTTTAAATACTCAAACATGACATCCACCAATCTTCTGTGGGCATGCTTGTAATTATATGGAGTCAACATGGTGACGTCACTTTCGAAACAGAACTGAGGCCGTAAATAAGTGCAGGAGATGTATCTTACTAGAATGTCAACATTATATCCTGGGTGTGCCCCACGATATGAAGACAGGCCAGCACAATCCAAAGTAAATCAAAATCTGACATTTAAAATACAACCATGTGTTGTGAGTACTACTTATTCATGTGTTACAGAAAAGATTTGAACCTATTCCAATAGTTTCAGGGAATTTACCTAGAGGAATCTCATCTTCCTCATCACTGAATCTCGCATCGGACAAGTTGTTGTCCTCTACATGATTGCTGCCGTTATCCAAGTCTATTACCTCCCCTTTCAGTGCTGGTTCCTCCTTGGGTGCTGCAACAGACAATGACAGACTGAAGTCTGGAAGACAGTATCTATGGCAACCTTTGTATGAAACCGTTCCCATTTACATAGACTTGCTACTGTTGAAGCTGAAATTATCTTGGGGTGTAAAATGGACAAACAGCAATAACTGTGAGTGTTAAATGTATTTGTAATCTCAATCATAGTTCCTCTCATATTTAAATGTTTAGTTGGTAAAACTCTGACTAAAATACTTTTGGTAAAACTCTGACTAAAATAAAAGAGCTTCTTATATCTGTATATACTTACATACTTACACATGACAGTATATTGTGTCCAACAAGAGTTTCTTGATGAAACAAGTCAGAGAATAACATGAAATTCAATGGAAGAACAAGCAAGGACTCGCAGGTTTAAAGAATTTGAAATGTACTGAACAAACTTTCCTACCTTCTGGTGAACAGAACTCTGCAAATTTGTCTCGTAACAAAGTCCGAAGTTCTCGGTCCAGTTTGGGATTATCAAACAGCGGGGATAAAGACCTGTGATGGTGGAAATACATAAGTTGGGATTATTACTAGTTGAACTTACAATACTGAACAAGATTCTTCTCTATGACTCAGGCTTCAGACTGTTGGCTAAAGCCACAAACTTGAGGGGAAACAGGGTAAGAACATCGTTCATTGTGTGAAATACGCAATGCCATTTAGAAAGTGGTCAAATGTAACATTTGAAAATTTTAATATAAATTGTATATTTATATACTTATCCTATCTAACGGTATGCACTTCTCTCTCTTGATTCGACACTGAGTGGACTGATGTAGACTTTTTCCCTAGGCCTCTCTTGTCCATCCGCCCAAGCACTCCATGCTACCCTCACTATAAGACAGCTTTCTAGCTCTCATGCAAAGCATGCAGCATGCACCACTAGCTACCCACGTGACTATCTCCGAATCATCATTCTCATTCTTGGAGCCACTGGATTATATCCATCTTGGAGAATCTGAATAGCGGGGAGGATGGGCGGGAATCCGTCGCGTGAGATAGGATAAGTATATAAATATACAATTTATATTAAAATTTTCAAATTTTTAAACTTATCCTATCTCACGGTATGCACTTATCCCACGGTCGGATGGCGGGACGCAGATACCCTGTGTCTTGACAGTGTGAACAGCAGGAACTGAGTAGACTGGAAACGACCGTAGATAGCGATGCACAAGGGAGGCCTGTTACGCATGCACACAACTCCTATGCTTGTGCTGAGTTCTCTTGAACTCCTTGGCTTACTAAGCACAACGTCTCCCAGGGAGATAGATGGGTGCTCCTGAGCAATGTGGTGTTTGGCCGCAACCTCCGAAGAAGGACGCAGCTCAGCGAGAAAGTATGTCACTTCGCCACGATTTCCAAGGTACCCCCGTAAATTAAAGTCAGTTGACAATAATCGGGCCAGCCCCTGCTTCGAAAAGACGCCCACAGACACCGACCAGGGGCGAGTGAAAGAGAAGCACAACTCGGGAACTCCAAGTTTTACCGTTCAGTTCCGGAACAGCATCAAATTGACCCTCACTCCTTTGCATAAGCTTAGTCAAAGGATGTGCCCGGCAACTTCAGAGTCGGAACGCAACGAAATCCACTGGAATTCGGGAGTGACACACTTCACTGACGTAATTGCTTCGAAAAGTAGAGGTCAGGAAACGTGAAATGTCGAACCCTTCCACATCGTGATACAGAATCGAGCTCCAGATTCGTCCAACCACCGAGGTGGTAGTATCTCCGTGTCTTAGGATAAAACTAAGTGAAGTAGTTCTAACCCATAAGCAATCAAAACATAAGGCAGACAGCAAGTTCAGACTTATATTCAAGAAAATACAGGGAAGCAGCAACCGCAAGGGACCCTTTCCTATCTGCCATAGACAGCTGTTGTGCCAGCACAAGGGGTCCAAACTTCTGCAGGCCTTGGACATCCTTGACTGAGAGGTCTCGAAGGAAGTGCGAGGAGAAGACCGAGTCGGATCGCCAGAAACATCCTACCATAATGGCGTGGAGAGAGCAGTTACTATGCAGAGCCATTGTAGACGCTAACGCCCGTGTCTCATGTGGATTGAAGCTGTCGGGGGCGGTAACCCAGCGAAGGTGTAAGCCCGTGGGATGGTGGCTCTCATCCAGAAGGATAAAGTGGGGCGAGACACTTCTGCCCTGAATGTTGAGGACAAGGAATGAAGAGGCGCTTGCAGAGACGGCGGCGATCTTTAGAGACACCAAGAAAAATCTTCAAAGACCTAACAGGGCAAAGCTGCAGGTCTTCATTGTCATGCGGCTCAAGGATTGTGGACAACGTTGGGATGGTAAAAGTACGATCGGGTTGTCCCGGCAACTGATTCTTCGCTATAAAATCCCAACGGAGACCGAGGAAGACTTTGCCATGCTTCTTCCGTTCTTACTGGACTCTGCTAACATCCAAAGCGTGGAGTTCAGAAATCCGAGCAGCTGTAGCCAAGGCCACAAGGAAGAAAGTCTTGAAGGAGATCTTCTCAAAGTCCTTCTGAGCTAGGGGTTCATAGTCCGCCGAGGCCAAATGATGCAGCACCACAGATAAATCCCAAGCAGGAGGTCTAAACTTCTTAGACTGATCGGCCAACTTGAAGGACCAGAGCAAATACTGAAGCTCAGGAACCGTGGAGACCTTAGAGCCTGTGGTGGTAGCCAGGACCGAGTTGATCGCAACAAGGTAAGTGGCCAAAGTGGAACCCTTGAGCTTCTCAGACGACCGCAAATGCTGAAGAAACTCAGCGATGATTTGAGGCGAAGTAGAAACAGGAGATGTAATGCCATGCAGTATCTCTCAAAACATTTCCACTTCTCATCATAAAGTGAGTGGGTGGAAGTACGATGAGCAGAAGTGATGGCCATAGCCACTCTCCGCGAATACCCCTAAGGACTTCTGCAGATGCGCCAAACCTGCAGAGACAGGGTGTGAAGGGATACATGACGCCGATCCGAGTCGTAGGTCGTTCGTCCCGATCGGGAAGAGGAACTGGGTTTAGGACTGCGAGCTGTGCGAGATCGACAAACCAACTCCTGACTGGCCAGTAAGGCACGACCAAAATCAGTAGAATCTGCCTGGTCGCTCTGAGTTTCTGGATGACTCTTGGTAGAAGAGCCGGAGGTGGAAAGGCGTAAGCGTTGAGTGCCTCCCACGAAATCACCAGAGCGTCGAGATCCCACGCTAATTGGTCTGGTATCGGCGAGCCAAACTGCGGGAGCTGATGGTTGAACCGCGTGGCGAATAGGTCGACTTGGGGCCTTGATAACAGGAAGACCAGTTCCTGAAACATCTGTGGGTTCAATTGCCACTCCGTCAGAGACGGCCAATCTGAGCGGGACAGCGCATCTGCAATGACATTCCTGACACCGGGAATGTGCCTGGCTCGAGCATCGATGGCGACGGAGTCGATCAGATGGAAGAACCGAAACGCCAACTGAAGAAGGTTCGCCGAACCCGTCGACCCGAGATGGTTGATGTACCAGACGACCGAGGAGTTGTCTGTCTGAATCAGCAGGGAGGACCCCCGAAGTTCTGTCTCCCAATGTTGAATGGCGAAAAGAACCGCCAAGAACTCGAGTTCGTTGATGTGCAAGTCTCGTTCTGCGGACGACCACAGCCCAGCTGTCTGATGATGAAGAAAGTGAGCCCCCCAACCTTTGAGCGACACGTCGACGACTAAGTGGTGCATTGGAATGAATGGCATCAAACAAACTCCGGTGCAAATGTTCTGTTCGACAAGCCACCACTGAAGAAAAGGATGTAAGGGTTTAGCAAGACGAATCAACTCCTGGAGATTCTCTGAGACGAGATATGAACGCAGGAAGAGCTGCAATGGACGCAGCTGCAATTGTCCCCGCCGTGTCAATGCCTGTGCCGATGTCAAGAGGCCCAACAGTTCCTGCCACTGTTGTAAGGTCACTGGTCTGCGACAGTGCTAACGGAACTAGCCGTTGAATCTTCAGCCACCTGTCTATTGGGACGGAAATCAGGCCTTGGTGCGTGTCAAAAGTTGTTCCGATGAATGGAAGGGTCTGGGTCGGTGTTAGTTCCGACTTTGCAGCATTTAACAACCATCCTAGTTGCCAGAGTAACTTCGTACTGAACTCCAACTGACGTAGAAGAACGACTGGTTCTTTCTGTGCCTGAATGCAGTCGTCTTTGTAACTTTCAAACACGACCCCGTGGAGATGAAGAAACCTGGTGATCGGCTTGGTGATCATGGTAAATAGCCACGGGGCAGTGGAAATTCCAAAAGGCAGGACGGTCCATTGATTATGGATCCCTTGGAATACGGAGCGGAGGAATTTCTGCGAATCCGGATGAATGGGCACATGAAGATAAGCATCTTGAAGGTCTAAGCTGACAAGAAAATCCCCTTTCTTCAGGATGGTGCGAAGGACGATCGATACCATCCAGAAGTGAGGTGGGCGCTGGAGATAGTGGGCATTGAAAAGTTTCATGTTGAAAATTAGTCTTAGCTTTGTGGAGTTTTTCTTGGGAACCAGAAAGACGGGGGAATAGAACCCCGGAGTGCTGGGCGCCGGACTGAGAGTTTGGACTGCACATTTCTCTATGAGCGTACCTATGGTGGAGTGAAGAACCTCGACCTGGTCCGCCGGGTAGCTGCGGTGTACTGGATGCACTGTCAGCGGCGGACGTCCGATGACTGGAAGGCGATAGCCTGTGGCGAGGAGGTCGGTCACGATAGGATCGTCAAGGATGGTCCAGTTGGGAGCGAACCTCCCTAGTCTCCCGCCCACTGGAGAGTCGTAGATGGGGACGGCTGGAGGTGGGAGTTCCCAGTCTTGCCCTTGTTTCGACGAATCACTGCTTGGGGGCCCCACTCCCAGCTTGGGAGTCGGACTTGGGAGGATGTCGGGAAGAAGTGCCACGGGAGAACCTGCTACCTCTAGCTTGGGACGAATGGCCACGAAAACCCTGATGCAGTTCCGGATGAGACAGCACGAACCATGGAGGCCTCTTCTGTATCATGGAAACTTGCAGATGAGACTTTTGGAGTTTCAATAATTCCACTGAAACTTGAAATTGAGTGTCCCGATCCTACTTCGTCGAAACTTCCCCAATCATGCCATTAAACAAGAATTCTGCAGACCACAGTTGATGGAAGAGTTCAGCCTTAAACCTGTCATCCCATGAAGACAAATTGAGTGGGCCGCGACGTCGAACTGCCAGGAGATAGCCAAGGAAATGAGACAGCTGGTCAAGTACGATCTGAAATTGGTCCAATATAAGGGACATACAGCCTCTGATGTAAGCATCCTGATCGGTGAAAGAGTGCTCCACTGATGCCGCAACCGTGTCCACCGCCGAGATGATGCAGTTGATCGAGGGTAAGGAACGACGAATAGCTGTGTCCATGTGAGACAGTTCTCTGTCTTCAACTGGAAAAGCTGAACAAGTCCTCTTCCCGCAAAGTGTTTGGACATCCTCATCCACCGAAGGGGTAGTAGCCAAGGACTAGAAACCATGGGAGTGAGCTGCTGGTAGCGAAAACCTAGGCGAAGACAGGCCATCCTTAATCCGTTTAAGGTTTTTATAGGCATGATCCAAGGACATAGTGAGATGAGCAATACAAGGCCGTGATGGGAAAGCAATAGATGTCAAGTCTCGTTGTCTCATGGAGAAGGAAAGAGATAAATCCCCCTGGGTTCTGTGACATAGGGAGGTGGAGTTTCTCCACTATCCAAGCTAAAACTTGAGGTTCATCAACAAAATCAAAACTTCCCTCTGGGGAATCCACAACTGAATGTGCTGGAGACGTAGGATCAGGTGGAACACCAGGACCAGGCGCCGTAACAGATGGTCCGATGGGAGGAGCATTCCCTGTAGAGTGAGCAGCCTGTTGTTGATTCCATGCAGTAGTAAAAGCACTTAACATCGCAGCCAGATCACGGAGAGGAGTAGTTTCCTGCGCCGGAGTCCAGGAATCTGGTACAATCCGAGTAGAGAGACGCGAGGAGGCAGGAGTCCCGTCAGAAAGCATAGCACGCTGAGATCGCAACTCGGAAAACCGTTGATTAGATCGACGATCCGTAGAACCATATCTATGTCTGGAGATGAAACCGGGAGAGGATACACAAATGGAGACCCACTAAGGAGAACAGGAGCGAGGATGGGAGATATTGCAACGATAACGATGATCCCTGGATCTTGAACGATAGGCAGCAGTCAATTGTGTAGGAGATCTAGGTTGACGGGTCGAGTGCGCAGAACCAAAAGTCCCACGAAAGTCCCACGAATTCCGAGGAGGTGACTTAGAACGAAGAACCGATCAACGAAGCAGATGGAGGCGTGTGCTTAGTTGAATGCGCATGTGTCGAAGAGTGGCGTCTCGGCGGTGAAGTAGCCTTATCAGTCTATCCGGTGAACAAATCCGAATAATAATAGGAGACTGATCCAGACGACTCGGTGAAAGCCACATCCGTGCTGAGGAGGCGTGACTGTAGGATCCAACAGAGTTCAGGGAAATACTCCGGGAGAGAGGCATTTCGCTGAATACCGCTTGGAAGAAGGCTGTTTTGGCGAAAGTCTATTCACCACATGCCGTTTTGGCAAAAGTCTATTCACCACATGCCGTTTCCGCGAAAGTCTATTCACCACATGCCGTTTCGTTGAAGTCTTCCGTTTCGGCAAACTTTGTTTCGACAAAGTACGATTAGGTGAAGTCCGTTTAGCAAACGATCGATCCGGAGAATGCTGACTCTTAGACTGGTGTTTCGATGAAGACCGGTTCGGTGAAAGCTGTTTCGTAGAGAGCTGGTCTTATTCTGGGGAAGGTGGACAGTTCGGCGAAAGTCGAGGTGGAGGGGAGCAGACAGGCGAAGCGTGATCCGACAAACTGTGATTCGATCTGGCAGGCTTCGGCGAAGCAGAAGATCGAGGTAGCTGGACGCAAGACACACTTCTTTTCGCTGAATGGGAAGGAGACGGCGAAGTAACCACTGAAAGGCGGTGAAGCGAGGTAGACTGGTTCCTCTCACTACTGGATGAACGACGAGAGCGAGAACGGCTTCTGCGTATGCGTTCTGCGCAGTCAGGTGTAGAGATCAGCTGATTCTTGTCCGAAACAGATATGCCAGGTTGCCAAGATAACTGGTCCGGTGAACGAGAGACAGAGAGCGTAGTTCGAGGTCCCACTGTGTTGAGGTATCCTGAGGGGTGGTAGCAGTCTTGACAACCACTACCCGGGACGTGGTCAAAGACGAAGGACTGGGGCTGGAATGTTGAGAGCCCAACAAATGCTGAACATCTCCCGATAAGTAAGAATCTGACGACGCTCTCATGAAATCCTCTTCATTCGAGTGAGGGGACTGTGACCGCCAAGCAGACAAAGCAAGACGCTTAAACTTTCCTTTCTTGGAGGGACTGGGTCCATCAAGTGAAGCGGCATAACGAACCCTGTCAGCAACACGAAGAGCGCAAGCCCGAGTGTAGTCACCAAACGCCTCGAAGGTAAGATCCTTGCATTTATCGCAACGAGATTCCCATTTACACTGTCCCATACAGTCAACACAATACCCATGTGGATCACTCGTGGAGAACACTTTATTACACCGGGAGCAGTTTATCCTCTACTTTGGCTGGTCAACTTTCCCCATGTTGTAGACTAAGTTGAAAACATTGAGCAAAGTAAAATACATCCACACTCGTGTGCGACAAAAAAGAGAATGATGATTTGGCAGCTAGAGACGAGTGGGCAGCTAGTGGTGCATGCTGCATGCTTTGCATGAGAGCTAGAAAGCTGTCTTATAGTGAGGGTAGCATGGACTGCTTGGGTGGATGGACAAGAGAGGCCTAGGGAAAAAGTTTACATCGTTCCACTCAGTGTCGAATCAAGAGAGAGAGAGGTGCATACCGTGAGATAGGATAAGTTTTAAAATTTGTTATATTTGGGATTACACTTTCTTTGTAAAGTACAGATTCTAGTACTTTTGTTGGGTTGAGTCCCCACACCCTCAGAGTCAGGCACCTAATCGACAGCACACAAAGTCAGATGCCTAGACCGCTCAGCCACCGCGGCTTCCACAAAATGGAAGTCTGACAACTGGTAGTCTAGACTGCGGAATTTTTGTACCCCTCTGATAAGTGTTAATTGGCACGGCTCCCACGGCCGAACTCTGAGGGTGTGGGTTCGAATCCCGGATGGGACTCGACCCAACAAAAGTACTAGAATCTGTACTATACAAAGAAAGTGTAATCCCAAATATAACATATGTTACATCGTTCACTGTGCTTTCTCTTACATGATATGACAATATACTCTGACATATTCATATAACAAGAAATCATCTGAGAGTTACTTAAAGTTCAACTTGACTTTTTTAGACTAAGTCCAAATCATTTCTTCTGTGGTGATCGGTTTGATACATCTACCAAATTTTGTTGAAAGATAATGAAAGTTATTCGAGTTGTGCTCCGGAAACGAGGCCTATCCCTCCCTTTTGTCGAAAATGTTTCCATGGAAACCGGGAAAAGTAAAAACGACAAAAATCTTTAAATAGCAAAAGGCACCACTTTAGGTTCTGTTAGATATGTCTACCAATTTTTGCTGAAAAATACTGAACGGTTTTTGCTCCAGAAACAAAATAATTAAGGACGGATGAACGGACAGACAAACCAGGCGTCGGCTATATCCCCCTGCATTACATGCCAGGGGGATAAAAATGTGTCATTTTATAACTGACATTTTTCACATTAATTTCATATTCGCATAACGTCTATGAATTACAGTATTCAAGACCACATATAACATCTTTCAGCATTAACACTTACTGTAACACTCTTTTCTCCAGTATTGTTTTTAAAGATGTGAAGATACCCTGACGAACTTGTACCGATAACATGGGACAGTAATTAGTCAAGATCTGAAACACACACATCTCCTGTTACTCATGTAGATAAACATATTTCTGCTTAAACAACTGCTTTAAATCTTACATTTACATCATGTACATAGTACCAAGTTACAGAATCATTTTTGTTAATGATAACACAACTTTGACTGAAAGGTATGATCTTAATGAATATGCAAGATGAAAACAATGAACCTAAAATTACTAAATCAGGAGACTGACAAGACTACAAAACACATACCCTACACAGGAAGTCCAGCAACGTGGCGGTGATGGCAGGGTGAGGTCGCATTGAGTGGTACATCACCAGGATAGCAGGCTCTGCAGCAGGGAGAGACGTTCATTAGTCAACATAATATCACCTTAATTTCACAACTAACAACTAAAGTTCTTATTTTAATTTCAAAGGATTTTGCGAATGGATTTCTGTATACAGACACTCGTGAGTGAGTGTGGTCTTAAGCAGCTTTTACTAATGTTCCGGCAGAATTGGGCATCATGCATTGTGGGAAATCGAACCTGAGACGTCGGCGTGACCAGCGATTGCTTTAACCACCCCACCCCTACCCCACATTACTCACAAACACATTCACCATGATAGGGAGTTATGCTCCATGAACAAATCTTTATCTAATATTGTTTACAAGTATTAATGGATCAGAGGTTGACATGCTTGTTTGGAGAACTTACCAATATTCATAATGCTGTCTCTCTCAGGAACAAACAACAACCAATCATAGAAGAGAGCAAGCTTAGCATCAGAGGCTGCTACGTTGGACTGGAACAGAATACCAAGACCTCATACCAAGACCTCATACCAATACCACAGAGTACTCATATGACTGATGACTGTAATCCAGGCGTCATATTTCAATACCAATTTCTTGCTATTTTATTTCTGATATATCAGGATGAGAAGATTTCTATTGTGTGTCTGACATACCAATCTGATACAGATTTCCAACATTGGCTTAACTTGGCTTATCTACAGTCATATAAAACACATGGGACATATAAAATGGAACATAGTACTGCATTGATGTATCATATGCGGCCTCTTCCTTGATGGAAAATCAGGACACTGTGTGTTTATAAAGAACAAGCTCAAGTCTAGTTCATCCCATTAAAAATGGAAAATGGTTCAGTGGAGTAACAATAGCATCACAGTTCACTTTAAAATGTCAGCTCAATCAGACTGTGAAATAATGATTACTGTCGATGAAAAGAGAAAGATGGTCTGATTACAAACTTCATTAACACAAATATGCTCTGCAATATTCAAGTTTGCTGATGGCAGTCTGAAAAGACTTCAGTCTGGACTTAATAATCCAGTTGGATGGTATTGAAAAATGCCATCAAGCAAGTCATAGAGTCTGATCACATGATCCATTTGGTCTTCTCATATCACCCTAACCTAACCCTGAATATGGCTGTATGGCTGGGCATGATGATTTACCTGCCTGTACACACTCTGGGCTATCCACGTACCTTGTGGTAGACATGAGGAACTAGTCTTACCACTACCGTCACAGTTACCACATCATCCTCATGTTACAAACATACAAACAATTTGCAAACACATGATAAAGAAGCTGAAAGACAATCGTGTAATCATTCTGTATAAGATACTAAATACTTACTGTACACGTGGTGAGAAGCCAGCCAATCACAGCCCAGCGTGGAATGATGTCAGAACACAGGAGCTCATTGGATGGATGAAACACAGCACAGATGTAACGGATGAGATCACACCGGAGGGATTGGCTCTCAGGGGTTGACAGATACTGGAAGAAATCAGAATAGTGTATCACTGTCATCCTGTAACTCTTATGACAAGTAGTGCTGTGTACATCAGTGTATCACTGTCATCCTGTAACTCTTACGACAAGTAGTGCTGTGTACATCAGTGTATCCCTGTCATCCTGTAACTCTTACGACAAGTACTGCTGTGTACATCAGTGTATGACTGTCATCCTGTAACTCTTACGACAAGTACTTAACTGTGTACATCAGTGTATGACTGTCATCGCCTAACTCTGCAAGTACTGCTGTGTACATCAGTGTATCACTGTCATCCTGTAACTCTTACGACAAGTACTGCTGTGTACATCAGTGTATCACTGTCATCGTGTAACTCTTACGACAAGTAGTGCTGTGTACATCAGTGTATCACTGTCATCCTGTAACTCTTCCGACAAGTACTGCTGTGTACATCAGTGTATCACTGTCATCGTGTAACTCTTACGACAAGTACTGCTGTGTACATCAGTGTATCACTGTCATCCTGTAACTCTTATGACAAGTACTGCTGTGTACATCAGTGTATCACTGTCATTCAGTAACTCTTACGACAAGTACTGCTGTGTACATCAGTGTATCACTGTCATCGTGTAACCCTTACGATAAGTACTGCTGTGTACATGAGTGTATCACTGTCATCGTGTAACCCTTACGATAAGTACTGCTGTGTACATCAGTGTATCACTGTCATTCTGTAACTCTTACGTCAAGTACTGCTGTGTACATCAGTGTATCACTGTCATCCTGTAACTCTTACGACAAGTACTGCTGTGTAAATCAGTGTATCACTGTCATCGTGTAACCCTTACGATAAGTACTGGTGTGTACATCAGTGTATCACTGTCATCCTGTAACTCTTACAAGTACCGCTGTGTACATCAGTGTATCACTGTCATCCTGTAACTCTTACGACAAGTACTGCTGCTGTGTACATCAGTGTATCACTGTCATCCTGTAACTCTTTTATTAAGTACTGCTGTGTACATCAGTGTATCACTGTCATCCTGTAACTCTTACGACAAGTACTGCTGTGTACATCAGTGTATCACTGTCATCGCTGTAACTCCTACGACAAGTACTGCTGTGTACATCAGTGTATCACTGTCATCCTGTAACTCTTTCTACAAGTACTGTGTATCACTGTCATCCTGTAACTCTTCGACGATACTGCTGTGTACATCAGTGTATCACTGTCATCCTGTAACTCTTACGTCATCAGTGTATCACTGTCAACGTGTAACTCTTTACGACAAGTACTGCTGTGTACATCAGTGTATCACTGTCATCCTGTAACTCTTATGACAAGTACTGCTGTGTACATCAGTGTATCACTGTCATCGCAGTAACTCTTCACGACAAGTACTGCTGTGTACATCAGTGTATCACTGTCATCGTGTAACCCTTACGATAAGTACTGCTGTGTACATGAGTGTATCACTGTCATCGTGTAACCCTTACGATAAGTACTGCTGTGTACATCAGTGTATCACTGTCATTCTGTAACTCTTACGTCAAGTACTGCTGTGTACATCAGTGTATCACTGTCATCCTGTAACTCTTACGACAAGTACTGCTGTGTAAATCAGTGTATCACTGTCATCGTGTAACCCTTACGATAAGTACCGCTGTGTACATCAGTGTATCACTGTCATCCTGTAACTCTTACGACAAGTACTGCTGTGTACATCAGTGTATCACTGTCATCGTGTAACCCTTACGATTAGTACTGGTGTGTACATCAGTGTATCACTGTCATCCTGTAACTCTTACGACAAGTACTGCTGTGTACATCAGTGTATCACTGTCATCGAGTAACTCTTACTACAAGTACTGCTGTGTACATCAGTGTATCACTGTCATCCTGTAACTCTTACGACAAGTACTGCTGTGTACATCAGTGTATCACTGTCATCCTGTAACTCTTACGACAACTAGTGGTGTGTACATCAGTGTATCACTGTCATCCTGTAACTCCTACGACAAGTACTGCTGTGTACATCAGTGTATCACTGTCATCCTGTAACTCCTACGACAAGTACTGCTGTGTACATCAGTGTATCACTGTCATTCTGTAACTCTTCCGACAAGTACTGCTGTGTACATCAGTGTATCACTGTCATCCTGTAACTCCTACGACAAGTACTGCTGTGTACATCAGTGTATCACTGTCATCCTGTAACTCTTACGACAAGTACTGCTGTGTACATCAGTGTATCACTGTCATCCTGTAACTCCTACGACAAGTACTGCTGTGTACATCAGTGTATCACTGTCATCGTGTAACCCTTACGATAAGTACTGCTGTGTACATCAGTGTATCACTGTCATGCTGTAACTCTTACGACAAGTACTGCTGTGTACATCAGTGTATCACTGTCATCCTGTAATTCTTACGACAAGTACTGCTGTGTACATCACTGTATCACTGTCATCGAAAGTAACTCTTACGACAAGTACTGCTGTGTACATCAGTGTATCACTGTCATCCTGTAACTCTTACGACAAGTACTGCTGTGTACTCAAATGAGTCAAATGTTACTATTTAACAGTTACATGTGTGGTAATAAAGAGATATGTATAGTGTACTAGCTGCACAAGGCTACCCCACTGTTGGGGTAACACTAGACAAATGAGTCAAATGTTACTATTTAACAGTTACATGTGTGGTAATATAGAGATCTGTATAGTGGTCATAGTCTCACCATTTACAAATCCAATCATATTAGCTGTTGTCAGATGTGACCACACACTATCTAAACCAATGTTGTGAACTGAGGTATGATATGTGCCCATAGCATAAAACACTGCCTACTGTGTTATATCTTATACAGTGGTTCAGTTTTATCATTAGTCTTCTACATATATACATGAATAGATTTAATATATGATTTCATAATACTTTGAGCAAAAATCTGTTTGTTCGTCTGTTCTGTACTAAGTCAGATTGTTACCTACCTGTCGCTGAAACCAATCTTGATATCTTTTCTGCTGCCCAAATTTTACCTAGAAAATATCACATGGCACATGTAAACAACCAATCACCCAAATGGTGAGTTGCTGACTGGTCTCAAGGGGGACGGGCTGATGTACCCTAGATGTTTGTTTATGGGCTCGGGGAATATAAAGACACATCGAGGGTACATCAACCCATGGGCCACGAGGGACAGGTGAACAACATATTTATCTTACTGAACACCTCAATGGTAATTTTGAACTGATCGAAGCACGGGTATCGGATCATAGTGTGGAGTACCAGACGACAAGAAAAATAAATTCGAACTAACATGTAGAGGTTCCAGATTCTTTGAATATAGTACATATGGGGTACATATAAGCATTTAAATGTCCAGTTAAAATCCCTAGGACAGTTGTAACAATATTTGAATCAAATATTTACAAAACAAATCTTCTTGTGGTCTTGTGAGACCACCCCTACAGGGCCCCACGGCCCCCTACAGCCAAGAGCAGGTAACTCTAGACTATAACCTCGTACCTCACTTTCCATGCTGTCCATGGCTCACTTTCCATGAGCCATGGTCAGGGGTCGAACATACTATGTTGATAATGCAAAACCTCGCTAATGTAAACTGCTCAGATAATCCCCCCTCCCTCCCACTCCCTGAGTAGTCGGAAGTGAAGATACGGGAATTTATCAACAAACCCAAGAAAATTTTGCCGAATAATACAAGCAAAGGTTTCCAAGGCAAAAGGACTAGAGCAGTACTGAGGAATGCAAAGTACATGGGATAAAAACCACCACCATAAAACCCGACACCAAGGGAATAGGTAGGAAAGTTTAGATACCCGACACCAGTTAAAATCGGCAGATAAATGGTTCAAGTCTTAAAAACCTCGAAAGCTCAATCGTCCTTAAGATCGATTGACGAAAGCCAATCCCCTGTCTCGACGGATGAGATCACTGACCTGAGTGTCTCCATCCTGAAGGACGGTACCTCTATTAACTTGTTCAACCCTCTGAGATTCAGAATGGGTCCGAACCCTCCAACCTTCTTGGTCACTAGGAAGTAAGTGGAATAAAAACCCTCTCCTTGCTGACCTTCCGGAACCATCTCGATGGCTGCCTTGTCCAGTAAGGACTGAACCTCAGCACGGAGCACATCTTTCTCTCTGGAGGCTGGCACTGGTGTGTGTCGAACCCCGGAGAAGGACGGTGGATCTCGCCTCCACTGTGGTAAATGGCCATCCGTGAGTGGGGACAGGACCCAGGGATTTGAAGTGGCTGCCTCCCACTTCCGAAGGAATAGGGACAGCCGGACGCCTACAGGGACGTTTGGCAGAAGGCAATGCACCCACACAGTCGGCAAGTCTCTGCTTGCTTTTGTTGGGGGCAGTAAGGGCTCTGAGGGAAGATTTAACGGGAAGCCGAGGCTGGCTTCCCCTTGCCCCAAAAAGACTGCTGTGACTGAGCAGGCCTGCCCTTGCCTCGTGCTCTCTTGCTCTGCTTGCTCTGCAAAGGGGAAATCCACTTTGCAGGCTCCTTCGCCAGGGCAGAAGGATACGCGGCAGCAAGAGGGGAAGGCCTTGGCGAGAAGTGGAGGGGTGTTCCAACAAGGGTTTAGAATCCTTGAAGGTTGACACCGCCTCCGCGGCCTCCCGCACTACTTGTAAAGCCCCAGAGAAAGGGAAGACCCCATTCTGAAAGGCAGGGAAAGTAGCGCCTGTTGCCTGGCCGGAGAGTAACGTGCCACTGAAAGCCAAAGCCTGCGCATACCCATGACTGCACCCATCATCAGGCTGGCACAGCACCTAAAGCTGTCCCTATCCAGATGAGATGTGAACGTCAGTGAGCTGGTGCGCTTGCACGGGTGCCGACAAGTCGTCAGCGCTAACGCTCTGATCCACTAATTGCCCCTGTAAGGCCGACAGGTAAGCAGAGTGGACAGACCCCCCGAGGGTAACTCAGGCAAACACACACTCGTCCACCACTGGCGGCTCGAATAGTGCATCCTCTCCCAAATGATACCCCTTGCCAAGTCGAACCGAGAACGTGCACCAGTCAGCAGAGGATTCACTACCTCACCCACCAGTGATGGCAGAATGCGTAACCGTACCTCAGCGACCCGGCTAGGCGCAAAAGCCTCCCCCGGGAGCCTAAACTCCTCGGGATTGGGCCCTTGTACCGTGACAGCCACCTGGGGCAGCACCTCCGCGATACGCTCATGAACCTGCCGCAGGGACGACCCGAAGGAGTACTGGACCCCGACTTCCGACTCCTCTCTCCCCTCATCCTCCTCCATGTCGACATCTACACACTCCTTGGCTACCGTACTCTCATAATTGAGAGAGGTCGCCGAGGGTGCCACTGATGCCGAACACGAAGTGCTCAGGAGGTCAAGTGGAGCCAGAAGGCTTGGGTCGCCCTGCCCCCTGGTGGAACCCGAGCCGGGCGCCCAGGTGCCCGAGAAGAACCTGCCCCTACAGGCTTCCCGGGCAACCCAGACTGCACACAGGGCGCCGAGGTGTCCCCGACCCGGTCAGTGCCAGGGCGACTGCCGGTCGGGGCACTAGGCGAAGACAGGTCAAGACCAGACTCGCCGGCGCCGGGCGCATGTGAAGAACCTGAGCCAGAAGCTAGGTCGCCACAAGGTGCCCTAGGCAAACTATCTCCTGAGCCCAAGCCCGGATCAAGCTGCCCGGAGGGAGGAGCCATTCCCGAGCCTAAACTCGGGCGGCATCCAACCCTCCCAGATGCGTCCGATCCATCCCTGACGACAGGCGTGCTGAGCTCCTTACGGAACCCAGACAGCGCCGTGTCAATCAAAGATTTCACGGACGACATCTGCTCCTGAAACAAAGTTGATAGAGTATCAAATATTACGACAGGTGCTGAAGCAACAGTAGGTGCAGTAGGAGGCGGCTCCAGAAGACCCCTTCTTTTTGTGCGAACGCTTGGACTGGGGATCCTGGGCCCAGATATCACCCCCCGCCCTGATTAAATTGCTGTAGAACAGTGTATCTGCCCTTCGAGACTTAATGGTTTTGGGTGTAAAACAGGCGCACGCCGGGCAACCCTTTCTTCATGATTACCTCCGTGAGACAACGTAAACACACATCGTGAGTGTCTTTCACAGGGATAGACGATAGGCACGAAGCGCAGGTTTTAAACTGCAAAAAGTGAAAAAAACCATGCAACAACCTGCCCTTATAACATATACATAAAAACATGCATGGGCGATAACAACTAATGCTGATGTAACTAACACATACATGTGACAGATAATGTAAGCATTAAGCTGAACACCAGCAAATAATAATAGGCTGGACCCACCGCAACATAACTACAACATACGACTTATAGCGTATATAGAAAAAGCTAGCAGCGGGAAAAAACACCCTAACAAGCTAAAGGTAAAAACGCCAATATACAATTGACACACTATAACTACACTAAACATTGAATAAACCCTAAGGGAATACAATGAAAAAAGTGAGCATAGCGAAGGTACCCATCCGCCATCTTGACAAGCACATGGCGAGCCGACAGGGACGGGTACAATGTTATAACAAAAGATGAATGAAAAATTTCAGAAACAATCTCTAAATCACCCCTGCAGGGAAAAAAGAGAACCATACATACAGTAGCTGTTTCGGAACCACTCATCGTAGCAGGGAATTTTCAAAAATCAACTTTCTTTGTTGATATGGACACACGTCTAGTCAGTCAAACGACAGCATGGAAAGTGAGGTACGAGGTTATAGTCTAGAGTTACCTGCTCTTGGCTGTAGGGGTCCGTGGGGCCTTGAAGGGGTGGTCTCACAAGACAAAAATGTAGTTTCTTGTTTTGTAAATATTTTTATTCAAATATTGTTACAACTGTCGTAGCTTATATGCTTATATGTACCCCAAGAAGGAATATATGAAAAAGAATTAGAGTTATCTCCCTTCCATCGATTTGCATTCGCAAAACATCAGTAATTTCCATACATCATACGTGATGCAATGTTACTCGAGATAAAGAATTACTGCTGCGAAGTACCAAATGAGTTCGGCATTCCCATCGGGTACATAGAAAATGTTACTCACTTGTAAGCAGGGTACATTGAAAATAATAGAAGAGCGCTCAGCCAATCAGAAAACGACATTCATGTGTGAGGCAAGATAATTGTTAATATAATCAGAATAAAAGACATTCAGAAAGGAACTATAGTAAAATCAATGAAAGTCAGAAAATAATCAAATAATAAGAATGATGGTGCGAGTGAGAATCATGATTAAACACTGTAACTTAAATCATGCCCTCTTTTACAAGGTATCTTCTACCGGCCGACAAGCGAAGTTGTGCTTAGAGCCTCATTACTTCTGTTTCATCCTGGTGTTTCAACTTCACATTAAGTAAACCCATGGTTGGAGAGTTGGAGAGACCAATCACTCCCATCACTAAAACAGGAAAGGTGCTGACATACCAAGGATCAAAGAAAAGATTCTGTGATTCAAACCCATCACCAGCTGTTCCTGCAAGTGCTATGGGAGGGAACTCTGCACTGTTCATAGTGGTCAGAATGTTTCAAAATTCCTCAGTATCTGACATCACAACACAAAAAGGATAGGAGACAGGATTATATCTACCTTTGTCAGCAAGAAGACAAGCTTGTTCTCCATGTCAGGAGTGAGACGTGCAATGAAGAACTTTCGTGATGTACGTGTTTGCAATAACTGCAGAATGCCTGAAAACACAATTTACTCTCAGTTACAAGTTTGTTGGTCTAACGCCATCCGGATGGCTTCACAGTGTCTAGCAACAGTCAAGCTTGAGTTGGAGGGCACAGAATAATATGGAATCCAAACAGGTAGACAGATTAAGATTAAGTAAGTAGTTGGTGAGTTATCTGGTCAGCAACAACATCGAGCCATGAAAAGCTCATCACAACTATTTTTAGCACAAACTTAACTTATATTTCAACTGGATATTTATGTTTTTGACTACTGACAATGAGAAGATGCAGCAGATCTACCTGTGAAGGCTGGACACAATGCTGTTGGATTGTTTATCATATCCCGCCAAAATTTATCAAATTCAGGAATCCTTGCAACGTTTTGGAGAAGTCGGATGAGATCCCGTCCAATCACCATACAATCAACAAACTGAAACAAAAACATCATCAACACCATCATGTCAGTCAACAGAAACAGTTACTCATGTTGTTTTCCACACTTCGTCTACATACAGATCTGGGCCCCGATCCGCAAAACGTTGGTAGCGCTACGACATTCGTAAGCCTATGATAAACTATAGAGTTACCACAGGCTCTGTGGATCGGGACCCAGGGGCATGCAAACCAATGATTGATAACATGAGCAACAGACCAAGGAGTCAGGCAATGGTGGCTCCAGTCAACCAGCTCACATGCTGCTATCTTCGTTTGTCAGCTTACACATATTGGGCACTGGGAAACTACCCAACCCTGGAGTGAGTGTGTAAATAAGGCTTAATTCTGCTTTTAGCAATATTCCAACAATATCATAGGGGACGACACCAGAAATTACCTGTACACACTGTGCCCATGTGGGGAATTGATCCCAGGTGTTGTGATGAGAGAACACTTTAACCACTAGGATACCCCATTGCCCCTTATCTAATCTGGACCCACCCACCCCACCCCACAACACCACCACCCACCCCACCCCACCCACATACCCCAAGCTACCGTGTTACTTCAGAATTGTGGGCTAAGGTTGAGAACATAGATGTACCTTCTCCCTGAGAAGTCCAATACAAAGCTCCACCTCCTTCTGCCGGACGATGGACAGGTTGGGGTTCCCATGGTCAACAATGACTCTCAAGAATGTGTAGACCACTCCTGGGATGAGTTGAGGATTCTTCTCCAGCCACTGTCTGCAAGATCACAAAGGTTATCAACACCACAGAGTTTCATTTACACTGCTACAAAGTACTCCTGTAATACCATGGCACCTTAATACAAGCTAGACACTTGGAGGTTATTGTTGGTTTTTCCGTATTTATAATGTGACTCGATCACTTAAATAAATGTGGCCTTGGGATTCGGAGCTGATATTAAAGGGTTGTTAACATAACATGTGCAGCTCTGGGATTTAAATCCACAAAAATTCAATCCCAAAAAATAACACAAATGGGAAATAACAGTGATATACATTTCTCTTTTTTTGACGCACTGACATCAAAGTCAACAAGTGTTTGCCACTGATATGGCAATGTCCCCAACCGCTAAAGAATGGAATATCCATATTTACTACTTTTTATTTTTTGTTCACATACAAGATGCCTGAAATGACTTGTGTCTGCATAATCACCCAACGTAGGCTGTCAACATACTTGAAAACATTGGGTGCAATGTTTTATGAGACATCGCTTTAAAAAGCGGTCAGAGTGTCGAGGTGACCTTGAAGATAAAGTCAAGGTCACCCAAATAAACTGGTGTCTGGGTAATACCCTAACGTAGGCTGTCACCAAATTTGAAGAGATTGGATACTACAGTGCATGAGATATCACGTTAACAAGTTTGAAAAGTGGTCAAAGTGTCATGGTGACCTTGAAAATAAGGTCAAGGTCACCCAAATCGACTGGTGTGTGGGTAATCTCCCAATGTAAGCTGTCACCAAATTTGAAGATATTGGGTACAACAGTTCATGAGATATCGCGTTAACAAGAATTGGGACGTACATAACGGACGGACGGATGCCGCTGAATACATAGTCCCCTGTTCCGCGTTGCGGCGGGGGACAACAACCAGTTTTAATAGGTAACTATAAAAGTCAACTCACCTATATTCTAAGAACATATCCAGCATGCTCTCACACAGCCAGATGTTCTTTGTAGTGACATCTCCACCTGAAGAAAAAACACATCACAAGAATCATGGAATCATAATAACATCACTGAAACAGATGACTGAAGAAATTTTCCTTCTTAACAGCTGTACCTCATGCCATTCATACAGTGTTTTTGTCACTATAAAGGAAAAGTATTACATATCCACTGTCTTTGGCAGCCTCCAGTATATCTTGTCTTGGCAGCAATATCGTAATTGTATGAAGAGGACAACAGATAATTGACTTTTTCTGTCCCATTCACAGCTAGGTGAGATGTAGATGTAACAAAGCTATATTCAAAATGGAATGCACAGATGAGGACGTAGAGGACTACCTGCAATCTGTCTGATGAGAGAGCTGCATACACTGTCAGCGCCCGTCACGTTGTTCCGCACCAACTCCTTACACAGCCACACCAGCTGCAACACAAACAACACTTGCTACAACACTTGCAACCACAACACTACAACAACAAATAATCTGCAATGTTCTACAGTCCATCCATTGAAGACTCGTGATGATCCAGGCTAGAATCGGTCTTCAGCAACCCATGCTTGTCATAAGAGGCAACTAATGGGATCTGGTAGTCAGGCTTGCAGACTTGGTTGGCATGTCATTGTAACCCAGTTGCCGCCATAGGACCCAGCAGAAGGAGCCATGTCCGTGGAGGATCGACGACACCATTTCCTGTACTCCGGTGACACGATCAGGCAAGAGAGAGACCAGACCCTCGTGTGTGGTGAATCTCACCCCTAAGAAAACGAAATCCTAGGTGGGAACCAGGTCGGATTTCTTGAGGTTCACAATCCACCACAGCCGTACTAGAATGTCTAGCACCACATGCATAGAATCACAGACTTGCCGGTTCAGTCAGTGCTTGCAGCAACCAGTTATCCAGGTAAGGGCGGCAACACCTTCCTTGCAACCGTGCTATTTGTGCCGGCACCAACATGAGTTTGGTGAACACCCCTGGAGCAGTGGATATGCTGAAGGGGAGCACCCGAAACTGATAACAAAAACTTGAACGAGGGCTGTATTGGTACATGAAGATACATATTCTTGAGGTCCATTGATGTGAGCCAATTGCCGGGCTGAACGAGGAGATCAACGAGCGAAGTGTCTCCGTCTTGAATGATGGAACCTGTATCATGATATTTAACCCCTTGAAGTTGTGAATGGGACGGAAGCCACCATCCTTCTTGGGTATAAGGAAGTACGTGGAGTACATGCCCATATGCTCCTCGCCCAAGGGTACACGCTTTATGGCGGACTTGTCCTGCAGATCCTGGATTTCGTCCTTGAGAATCCGTGCCTTGTCCAGACAGGACGGCACCAGACGAAGGCTTAGCCCCAGAGGAGGATCTTCCCAGGGAAGTGCAGGTGCCATGGATCCTCGACTGCTCCAACAAGGAGTCCTTGAATGACGTAGCTGCCTCCCTAATCACTTGCTGGGACCCCAGAAACAATGTTGTGCCCAGCCTAAACGGAAGGGACAAAAAGGTTTGCTGTGTCGCTGCCGAGTACCGGGCATGTACAGCTTGTGCATGCCCATGACTTGGCACATCACCTGAGACGCAGTGGACCTCAAGGATTCACGCGTCAAGTGGACCTGTACCCCAGTTAACTGCCAGAAGAGAATCCCACTGGGTGAAACGTCACCGGGGTTCCCCTCCGTTTCCAGGGCGGATCTCTGAAGGGAGGAGAGATACGTGCCATGGACCGCTACCCTCATCTGCTGACTTGTGTTTTGAAAGAGCTCCTCAAAGCTACGATATGCCGCACTCAGAAGGGCCCCGCAAGGGGAAAAGGTGGAATCAATTTGCCCTGCTTAGCTGACGGAGCAGCCGATGAGGAGGCTGAGACTCCCCCAGGGTGACCAAGGTCAACACACATTTATCCACCACTGGAACCAGAAACAGTGAATCTTCACCAAGCTGGTAATGATTAACAAGCTAAGGCAAGTCAAAGCGGAATCGGTTGCCCGAAAGCAAGGGGTCGACCACGTCACGGACCAGCGATGGAAGAATGCGGTGCTGAGTCCGGGTAGACTGCCTAGGAGCCTCTCCCAGATGGTGGAATTCGTCATGTCCTTCTAACGGTACCGCAGCCTGAGGTAGGACGACAGCTATACGTTGCAGCACCTCAATCAAGGCTGAAGCAAAGCAGAAAGCACCCTCAAAGCACTCTACATTCCCAACCTCCATCGACTCAGGTTCCGAATTGGAGGCTGTCACAGGACATTTTCAGTTGCAGATAAAGCATATAGGAAGATCTTTTCTGGAAAATATGTATAAGTTCTCAGACACTTTTGAGACACATGTCATGCTGACCTCATTGGTGTTGTATTCACTGACAAAGGAATAATGACAACAATATTTCCCTCATATAAATTATTCCAGAAAAATTAATGAAAACAGGGACTCAGGAACTATTTCTTTTCTTACTGACTGACTCACATGACATTTATCTCACTCATTTACATATAGGCACCTGTACTTAAGGAACAATGATCAGATCGGAAACCTAGAGGTTTTTAATCATGTTCCAAGTAGTCTTGGCAGCTAACAATTTTAAGCTAAATATGTCAGGATGAGACGGTACCTATTTTTTACAGAGCAGTGTCAACTGTTTGTCACTGAATTCCAGATAGCTGCTAAAACTATTCAAGATCCAAGGAACAATAACAGGCCAGTCAAAACAGTGACAGGGCGGTGGTGTAGCCTAGTGGTAGAAGTGTTCGCTCGTCATGCCGAAGACCTCGGTTTGATTCCTCACATGGGTGCAATGTGTGAAGCCCATTTCTGGTGTCCCCTGCCGTGATATTTCTGGAATATTGCTAAAAGCGGTGTAAAACTAAAACTCACTCACTGAAGGCAGTGAGTGAGTGAGTGAGTTTAGTTTTACGCCGCACTCAGCAATATCCCAGCTATATGGCAGCAGTCTGTAATAATCGAGTCTGGACCAGACAATCCAGTGATCAACAGCATGAGCATCGATCTGCGCAATTGGGAACCGATGACATGTGTCAACCAAGTCAGCGAAACTGACCACCTGATTCCGTTAGTCGCCTCTTACGACAAGCATAGTCGCCTTGTATGGCAAGCACATGGGTTGCTGAAGACCTATTCTATCCCGGATCTTCATGGGTCCTCAAGGCAGTGAAGCTGCCTGGATACTTACAAGTGCAGTAACATAATGTAGGGCCTCCTGAGCTGCGGCCACATATTACCCACTGTATAACTTCATGTACTTGTAAAGCTAATCTAGAGTCTCTGAATGTTTGCGTTTCAATTAGCAAATCACCTTCACGTAAATTTTTCATGATGACCTTTTAACAACAATTACCTGAGCTCTGGCAGTTTCCTGAAGTTTTAACCACTTTTCGTGGATCACCATGTTGACATTGGTCAACACCATGGTGAGCCCATCCCTAGATATCAGGACCATGTCGCGATATGTCTGAAACAGTGATGAGAGTAATACAGCAGTCACGCTACAAACCTGGACCTTCCACAACTTGAAAACACGGACACAGTTGCTCTAGACTGTCAGAACCTAGAGTCTACCATCCTAGGTAGGTTGCCTTGACAAGTGTTACTATGTTCCAGACGAGTAAAAGTCATTAGTGAAGGTACAAGTTTCGGTTCCCAGTAGGGACCGTTCATAATTTATGGTGCGGGGGGTGGGGTTTTTTTGGACCAGAGAGAGAAAAAAAGAAGATGATGATTCAATGGGGGAGGGGAGAGAGAGAGAGAGAGAGAGAGAGAGAGAGACAGAGAGAGAGAGAGAGAGAGAGAGAGAGAGAGAGAAGAGACATCATCATCACTTAATTTTACAATAATTAAATCATGAAATAAGTCAATCCAAGATACTAACAAGCCAGGACAATAGGGCTGCAACGACATGATTCAATTCACCGAAAATCGAATCTGACACCTTACTTTCGATTTTCCATTACCACAGCCAGAATGTAATTGACTCAAACTCGAGCAGTTTCGAGTGCTGAAATAAGGCGGAACATGATTGGTTGATGCTGGGCTAATTATCCAATGAAAATTGCTGTCAGTAGACATTGCCAAGTTGATGTTGGTTGGATTCCACACTAAAAAAGCCGAGTCTGAGGTTTAAATGAAATCTGATGTTTTTACATGTATAGAGAATCGAATCGAAAATGATCGAAATTGAGGGGTCAATATAAAAAATCAAATCAAATTGAGGTCTGGGTGAATCGTTGCAGCCCTAAGGACAATAAATTGAAACATTCAATAAATTCGCTATCTTTTAGTTCATAAAAGCAGAAAGAATACTTGCTGACCTTAGCTGCAATCTTTGGGTCCACCAAGATGGAGTAAAACTGCCCAAGTTGTGTCTCCTCATGTTGAAGCTGGCCTTTGCTCACCTGTCACCAGGCAAACAATACTGGGGAACCATGCTATGTCACAGTTGTAGGCATTTGCATGCTTAGTGATAAGCACATGTTAATTATCAGCACAAAATTATTAACGATTATCGACAAGGGCATTGTGTCATCGATAGTATTGTACATACACTATTGTGATGAAATAGAGTTTGAATTCACACAGACAATACACAAAGTTAGGTCTTTATTCGTGAGATACTTCCAAATTATGTTGACTGCCTCCGTGGTGTAGTGGCTACAACGTCCGCCCGGACAGTGGAAGGTCGTGGGTTCGATCCCAGTCCGCGTCATACCCAAAAAAGTTAAAATATGGTACTTGTTGGTCCCTGCCTGGCACTCGGCATTAATGGGTACAACAAGGACTGGTCAGCTCGGAGTCAGTATAATGTGTCTGAGTGGGGTATTCATGCTTAACTGCGGCATGGTATCTCAGTGAGCAAGCACTATAAAACCAGCTAAAGTCTGGGCTAGTACAAGCAGCCACACATACACATACATACGCATGCACGTCGTCGTGTGAGCGAAATATCCTTAAGTGCAATGTTAAACCCCATTTCACCTCACCTCCAAATTATGTTCAATTAGTTATCAAAACCTAAATATGTCATCACATACCAATTATGTGTAATATGTCAATTTCTTTCAGATGTTTTTGGCATTTTTGCTCAAAGTTGCTTCTCCTTATATTTATCAATAACCGATTGATTACCGATCCCTATGATCTGTATCAATAGCCAGCCCTATCAATTAGTGTAATGTTTGTAGGTGAGGTGAAACTGGGTTTAACGTCGTACTTGAGAATATTTCGCTCATATGACGACGTGCATGCGTATGTGTATGTGCACCTGCTTGTACTAGCCCAGACTTAAGCTGGTTTTATAGTGCTAGCCCACTGAGATACCATGCCGCAGTGAAGCATGAATACCCCACTCAGACACATTATACTGACTTCAATTCTAGGCCCAGCAAAGCAGAGGCTGTTGCCTGAACACTGAACGACAGTCAGCCTGTCAATCTTGTTATCAAATGTTTTGCAGAACAATCATGTAAAATAATACTTGACCACATGACAATTAGGCCATCTACATATATTTCAGTCAATGTTATTGGACAACTATCTGTTGTCATGGTTGTTGGAAAGCTGACACTGATCAACTTGATACTCCACTATTCTGTTAATATAAGCCTGGTTTACACATTCATACATAAATGTGTTAGCTGTGGCAGGATTTATCATTCATTCCTCAAGTCTGCAGTAAATGGTAGTAATAATGACAGTAAAAAGTCCCAAAATGAATCATAAATCCCAAACTTTTCAGAATTCATAAAAGAAAATCCCAATAAAACAAATCAAATTTTTAAAAATATCAATCTATTTCCCAATTTCCCAACCAAAGACACGAGGTGTGGAAAACTAGATACATCCTTGATCTGGTGTAATGTGAAACTTGCTTCATCAGCTAACAATGTCATCAAGTGATGAGGCTGTCAGCTTGTCAGTACAACTGTTTGTTGACAAAAAATGTGTTTAGCAACAGAAATGTTTGGATGCCATATATGTGTAGCTGGCAAGAATTTCAGGGCCCTCCAATAGAAACGTAGCATGCTTCATGGAAACCTCTATATTTATAGTAGGATGCAACATTATCTATGCTAAATATCTATACCAATATGTTGCATCAAAATATAATAAAGAATCTGCCATCCACAAAGCATCCTACCTTTCTTATCATCGGTACTTATCAACCTCTACAATGTCAATCAAACAGACCATCGAACAGGATTTAAACTAATGGTTCTTCTGGTCCAATGTTAGATGACTTATCCACATGGCCCGGTCGGCAAGATGACACGGTAATGATGTTGTATGTGGAATAACTTTCTGCCCTGATAGTCATGCTCAAGACTATCACCGTTCTATTGAGAGTGAGTGAGGGAGTGAGTTTAGTTTTACGCCGCACTCAGCAATATTCCAGCTTATTGGGGCACTTGTTTCACCAGCTCTTCTGTGTGTACCAGTACTTACATGTGCATTCAATGTGTCATTGATTTCTCTTTCTGATAGGCCAGTTATAAGTGAAGTCAGAGAACTGTAACATTTCTCTAGTCTCTGAAAACAGAAATTATCAACTCAAGGTTTATGAAATTCTGATGATGAAATTAAGTGTTCAATCAAAATATTTCTTTCAACATTACACCATCGCAATTGTACAAGTTGCAATGATAGTTTCAAATGTCACTGTGTACCATTAACTGAAACAGCATGACTAGTTTACAAAGTTATAACTCATACTGAAGATATAACCAACACAAGAAAATATATACAATGACAAATCATTGGCTTGTAATGTTCGAAACAAATTAAATATAACTTCTTTGAGAGGCATTTAGAAATATACCTAAATGTCTGACACTGCATCGCTTCAGACATTAACGAAAACCTGTACACTTAACATTAAAATGCTACTCTACACAATTCATACTTTCTCTACAAAAGAGGAAGCTGGAAAAATTTGTAGAAGAAAGTAAATATAGCACCTTGTCCAGGTCGTCTTTCAGTTCAATGGAACTTGTTGTCAACATTCTTGACTGTTGCTTTGCAGTATCCATTGTCATACTTCTTTGCAACTTCAAAGCACTTCAGATCATAAAGTTTTACAACATATCTCTCCAATTTGAAGGTAATCACATGCTTTCCGGATTCTTAATGTCAAAATGAAACACAACATAAGTTTTTTCAGAAGAAAAAGTTTCCATCTTCACATAGAGCAAAATCAAGAATCATTCACATTGTGCCAATGGGGGAATGTTATCCCCCATATTTTTGGCTGTTCAAGACTACGACTTTGATATTTTTTCACTCGATCCTCAACACGTTCTGAGTGAGGTATCCAAAATCAATTAAGAGGTACGCTGAACAGCTGAAATGCCAGTAGAAAAACTAAAGTGGATCAGGAAGAGAATGACCGACTCTTCCAGCAGCACCTATCGCTTCGTATGTGAAATGCATGAGGCTGTTGCCGATATATTTCGTGTATTTGTCGTTTTGCAAGGAACTGGATGCCACAGTGGCACCAGATCGACGTACGAGTTCACAATGAGAGCCTCTCAGTTCTTCTCCTAAAACTGCGAGGGCATGGATTGATCGTATGCGGTTTCAGTGTCGTAAAAATTGTCTTTACATTGTAATGATTCGTTAATCAATATTTGATATTCTATAGACTTGGAATAGAACAATAAAGTTATTTTTCTACTTAATATATTGATTAATTATCGGTAGGATGAGCTGATGTTGTAAACATGTTACCGCACGCGGGATGAAACACTGATTTATAGAAAAGTAGAATCGAAAAGATACCGAAAAGATATATGTGACTATAATAAACAAAGACATTACAACTGGTAAAAAAATCAACCAATACGGAAAGAAATAATATGAGTTAGTAATTTCATATTCGGTATTCATATTTCATAGGCTAACAATATATATTCCTCAATACTGAACATAAAATTATTACACACATATGTACATATCTGTACATTTTGTTTATTCTACACCTGTAAATGTGCTCTCAATCTTGCATTACATTTATGTAAACTCATTGCGTACATGTTTCCATAATTACCTCTGTTGACTAATGCCATGGGTTTTTGAAACATATAAAATATCCAATCTTATTGTATGAACTCCACCCTCGATGGTGCAGATTATCCCTCGTCCATGTTAATAGAAGCAATGGACCATACATTTACTGAAATGTCTATCGAGTGATGCAGACATCTGCACTTATCATATTGGTAACTTGACTTTTAACTTCTCTTGCACATTGTGGTGTCTGACTGGACAGCTGTTATTAGCTTCGCATATTTAAATTGAACTCCAATAATACATTGGACTACTGAGGATGTGTAAAAACCTGTTGGTCATGATTAATAAAAGTAAACAAATCTAGTCAACATATGAACAAATCCAACCCCAAAACAGTAAGAGGAAAAGTACATTATTCTTCATGGTGCCTTTGCCATCTTTAGGTAAATTGCCTGAATGATGGGTGCATGTTACCGGTAGATTAGGATATGCTTACAGTTTTTGCCAACACCAAGTGTCATCACTGATTTTCAGCGGTCCATCCATGAAATTTCCACAGCTATTTTCCCCTTTACACCAAAAGGAATCCGTTCCTTAGGACAGTCGAGACTGGGTATTCTTTGGTACAGACATTATATGGTTGTAAACAAGGGTTGATAATTGATTTAATTTATACCGATCAGACTGACATGCATACATATTTTTACCTGTCATAGATTGATTAAAATATGTTCACCGAATAAGTTCATTTGGTGTACCTTTCAGATGTTATAATGTATACATACGTTAAAAATTAATATATTTTGTCTTTTGAGAGATTTTGTTTGAAAATAAAATAAATCGCTTTCTTCGTTTCGGTGAAAATTCCCGTTCGGTATTTAGAAACACGCACGTGTCCTGTTTTGGCCGGCAGGTTAGCGATAGTTTCATCATCCAAGTTTTCATCACTACTTCAAGGGGTGTGTGTACACGACACATCGTTCAGTTTTATGCAATTTGTCTCCTACATAAGTGCAACCCTTTGTGACAACTATCATTTGTAAGTTGGTAGTCCAATGGCAGAGATTGAGTCGCAAGTTGACAAGATGAGTCTTGGTGAGCATTTTGCCGACATAATATGTCTGTTAGTCTCGAGCTGATAATTTACATTAGATAACATTTCTTGGTCGTTTAATCGGGTATGGATTTGATACGGAGTTATTTGACACGATTTGCAGTAAAGCGGCAAGGGATTTATATGTAGATTCTGTTGTAGGGAAGAATGAATGCAAACATATGGACAAACGTCATACTAGTATTTGAGTATTTTGGAGATACCAGGAAAGAAATGAACATGTGAAAATGCTTCAAGTTTACTGATGATGTTATGTGCAGGTGGTTTGGAATAACTCCCATGTAATTGAAGTTTCCACTTTGTTTGATTCTACTTTGAATTACTGGCAGTATGTCACCCAAACACTTCAAATAGTTCAATGACTCGTATACAAACTGAGAGCACTGAATTAGTAAATAAACATAAGTACATATCCATTGTACATTATGTATTTAAACTGGTAGTCTAATGGCAGATCAAATGTCACAGGTTGACAATGAGTCGAGGTGTGCCTTTTTATTGCCCAAACATTTATATCCATATGAGAAGTGATAATTTAATTGGATAACATTCTTGATAGATTTGATACATACTTTCATGTCAAATTATTTGCAGTAAAGTGGTAAGTTATTTATATGTAGATTCTATTGTAAGGAAGAATGAATGCAACATTTGGACAAACGTTATGTTTAAGTATAGGAGATTATTCATACCAGGGAAGAAATGTGCGAACATGCTTTCCGTAAGTTTACTAATTCTAAACTAGATTAGTAAATAACATTTATAGATATCCATTGTAATGATGTATTTCATACTTTATATACAGCTGAAATCTACACATCTGAAAAGACTGGTTCTGATGAATCAGGAGATGGGACCGAAGGCAAGCCTTTCAAAACTGTCCTTCAGGTAAATACTCAGGTTTTATGGGTTACCTAAGATCTTGATAAGATGTAAACTTACTATTATCATGATCATAACATGAAGATATAGCACGTTGACAAAGCATTGTAAATGTCAATTGTTTGGAACCAGTTCAAGCTGAAGCTCTCAGTATAATTTTGTTGCCTCTAATATTGTTTGGTTAGTACGATAACATCATGGACAATAACTACTTATTAGCCATGTTAACATGATTAATGCCACAGACTAATGTCTTTTTCCCCATCATTTTCATAATAATCATGATGATATATTTTTCATGTCTATAATGTTCAATAATGTATGTGTTCACTATGTTCACAGGCCATGCGAAGGCTGGAAAAGAACCCTTCCCAACTATATATGTTGATGGCAAAGAAGGACAAGTATGTGATTAAAATTATGTAGTTTGGTAGAGTTGATTAATTCAGTAATATAAATAGCATGAACATGTTGTACTGTATTTCAAAATATGTTGAGTCGACTAAGCTGTCTGCAATGTGTTTTACATATGTGTCACATCATCACTCCATGTATTAACTGATTAATCTTCTGTATCGTATTGTAGTTGTAGTAATTCATTGTTCCCATGGCAGTTGCTGTATTATTTGAGCATTGTTTCATAATGCATATCGTAAATAGATGAGGTTAACTTGTCTTTGTAATTTATTAAAACCTCTTTTATAACCATATATATTGTTGAGAATGACTGTCACCAGTTTCTCAATATTCATTCTGTCACCACTGATATTATTCTCCTGAACTCTTTATGTCACAGAAATATGAAGTGGTATCCAAGTCCCAGGTAAAGAAGATCCAGAAGATCTGGCAGAGAGAGCAGCACAAGCAGACGGACAAGGCTGAGAGAGATGTGAGTCCATCTTCACCTCAATCTGGTGGTGTCTGGTGTTGTGGCTAATTTAGCCTGTCCCCAGACCATTCTTTCCCTCTGAGATGCTTAGGTAGACTCTGCCCCCAGGAACCAGGGTTTCCATGGTGATGCTTGGGTAGATTCCGTCCCCTGAACCAGCATATTCCTCAGTGATAATGGTGTTGATTCTGTGTCCCATTGACCAATGTTTTCATAGTAATGCTGGGGTAGAGTAAATCATCATGACCATATTATTTGGATCGTATTATGTGCAACAGATACTTTTGTACTGTACAGCTCCATAGAACATTGGGTAAGGATATAGGCCAACATTCGTTCAGGCCCTGGGGATTTGTGTCCTAATAACTGCCTTGGTATACATATGCTAAATACTTTGTATGCTTAGGCTGCTGATGCTCAGAGGAGAGACATGAACCTTGAAGAAGCGAAAAAGATCGTCCTTGAAATGGACAAGTCCTTGCCAGAACCAAAGCAGGTAAATATGAAAAGATAGATATATGGATTCCTTTCAGAGATAAGTACATTGTACATTGCCCAGGTGGAAACATGGTAGTTTTCAGCACATTACCATGATTATCGTGCCAATAATCACTTATGAATAATGCCTTTTTTGTGAACATTTATGTGAAATAGCTGAATGAATTTTAATTCTTGCAGATAAAAATTCAAGACTCTGTTGCCAGTCGTAACATCAGAGTAAAGGTATTTGGTTGGGTCCATCGGCTGAGGCGTCAAGGTAGGTGACGATTCAATGTTTGATTCTCTTATCTTTAGCAATTTGCTTGCAGAGTTAGGGACGATGGAGTAGCCTAGTGGTTAAAGCGGTCACTTTTCATGCCGAAGACCAGAGTTCGATTCCCCACATGGGTACAATGTGTGAAGCTCATTTCTGGGGTCCCCTGCTATGATCTTGCTGGAATATTGCTAAAAGCAGGCTGAAACCATACTCACTCCCTTGCAGACTTGAGTCCCTCGGGAATGCCAGAGACCAACGATCATGGGTGTTGCAACCTGGGTAGCCCTGATTTGTCAGCCACCTGTGCTTTTGGGTTTCATTAGAGTGTTACACATCTGAGACCTGCCTCACTACAGACTCTCCTCCACACTGACCTGACATGCTGTAATATATCTTGAATACTGTTGACAGCAGCATAAACCAAACTCACTCACTCACTCACCCACCCACATATTAGCTGGTAGTGGCCCAGTAGCGTTCAACTAACAATGTGCATCATGCAGCTACAGATCTTGATGTTCTGTTGGAGTCATAGACCTACATCCTGATTCTTGTTTTGTGTTGTTTTAGGAAAGAACCTGATGTTTGTTGTTCTCCGTGATGGGAGCGGATTTGTTCAGTGTGTGATGAATGACAAACAGGTAGTGTTATAAAACCTTGTGAAGTATGTTGGCACAAATAGGTCCTCATTATTAGTATTTCTTTGGTTTGCATTCACTAGATTCCTGTGAATACATCCAGCAATATGTGATGGGTTAGTTTAAGTCAGGTAACAAAAGGACTGTGTGTATTGCTCATGATTGAACGATTGACTCTATAGAATAGATAACACGTACAGTACCTGCTTCACTTGAATGTTCATTGATCTGACTACCTGCTTGTTTTCCCTCAGCTGCAACCAGGCTTTGACGTTTTGGTTTGTTGGTTAAAAATACTGACACAAAATGACACTTGATGATGTTTAGGTGATAATGGGTTGTTTTTTTGTTTTTGTACACTAAGGATAATCATGATAATGCGATAGGATTTGAATGGAAATTGATGAGTATACGTCTCTGTTCTAGTGCCAGACATACGATGCCTTGACACTGTCAACGGAAGCCGCCATTGCTGTATACGGTGTCATCAAGGAGCTCCCAGAAGGAAAGACAGTAGGTAGTCAGGAATCTTTGTTACTCTCATGCCCCTTGGAGTATCAATATTGGGCAATGATGCTTGATTTGTTTGCTCTGTGCAATAAACAAGAAGTTGTTATCCATAAAGTTGTATCCTTTGTTAATGTTCCTATTAGTTTCATTTAGCTAGGTAATACAAAGTCATCTGTGTTCTCCCAAACCTTGCACTTGGTATTCTTTTTTCGGTACAAGTTTGTAATACAGTGAATTAGGGAAACATGCAGAGATGCCAACCCTTACGCTTTAGGCGTAATTATTACGATTTTGACCATTAAATTACGCCATTACACTTAATCTGCGAAAATTACGCTTTTCTACTGGTTTTCCAAAAATCAGTTAAGTGGATAAATTTTCACAGGGAAGTGTTTCGTAACGCACAGGTGCAGGGGTGCAGAAATGGCCTTGCACCGATAGGATATTGCTTACTCTAAGCATCGCACTCATTCCAATTAACTTGCAAGGAATTAAAGTATGTTGAGTCACATGACCAACAATTTTCGATGTATGGAGATTCATAATGATTGGTCACATGTGTTTCTGTCTAGAATCCTCCTTTCGTGAAAACGTGTACCATGTTGAAGCGATCGGCAGACAAGTATTACACTTTTTAGGTCCAAATTACACTTTTTGACATCTAGTATTACACTTAGGCCCCAAATAGGGTTGGCATCTCTGAACATGTCTTTCAACATGTGTGACACAGAACTTTAGGAGTAGAACTGCTGTAGGTGTGAAGCCTGCAAAACATTCTTTGCTTAAACTTTCCTAACTTCTCTCTGTAAAGTCTAACCTTCCTCTGTAAAGTCTAACCTTGATGTGTATTTCAGGCCCCAGATAACCATGAGTTGGCTGTTGACTTCTGGGAACTGGTGGGAGGCTCTCCACCAGGGGGTGCTGACAACTTGCTCAACGAGGTGAGTGACTGCTGGAACATTCCAGTTCAGTGAGGTCCAGTTCAGTGAGTTTGCTTGTAGAATACCCGATGAGCTGATAGCTTCTGTCTTTGTACAGCTTTACATAGACTTACTGTCTCTAAAGTGTCCTTGTTCCAAGTTTAGCATTTTGTCTGTGGAAGATCTTGACGTCAATGATTCTGAATTACAGTGAAACCTGCCAACATAGGCACCTGTCTAATCCGGCAAACTGTCAAAACCGGCATAATAGTTTGGTCCCGCCATTTTATAACGATATTATGATCATTAAAACATTGTCCAATCCAGCACGACTTTCCGGTCCAAACAAGCAATTTTAACTGTAATTAACACTGTCTAAACCGGCATGGGTATGAGCAGTCCAATCAAGGACCCATAATCCAACACACTAATTAATCCCCTTAGCAGGCTAGATAATTAGGAAGTAGTGATTGCGCGGTGAATCAAACGCTTTAAGCCGGCATGGGTGTAAGCAGTCCAATCAAGGTCCCTTAATCCAATACCCTCTTTCGGCACGCTAGACTATAGAGATAAAGAGACTGATGAGTGCAAATGGCAGCCATGTTGGAAAATGATCGTAACTGTCTAATCTGGCACCCTGTCTAAACCGGCATTTTATTTCGGTCCCGTGGGGTGCTTGTTTAGACAGGTTTCACTGTAATTGACAAGTGGGCTAATTTGATGATGATTAATAATGGCAGTGGGATAAAGATGGCTGATGATCATTCCTCTTCTGACAATAACATTGAGTTTGAGGAGAGTAATATTTTGGTGATAATTTAATGATGACAACAAAAACTGATTGAGGTAGTGGATGACTTCAACAAACTTTGCTACCAATCATTATATGAGCCGTGTCTGATATTCATGCCACAATGTTTATGCTGATAAATGTTAGACGGAGATTAGTTTTACAGTTTGACAGTTTTGTCCCATATTGTGTTCCCAGCAGCCTTCACTGGTCAAGTGATGGATCTCTAGGTCAGACATACTGACACACTCCAATGTTTACAGGTTGCTGTCAGTTGGTTAAATATTGCCATGTGTGCATTAAACAACATACAAACAATATTGCAAGTGTGATTTCTATATTGCAGATTGATTCATAGCTGATCTGTCGTTTATTTGTAGGAAGCTCATGTAGATGTTCAGCTTGACAACCGACACATGATGATCAGAGGAGAAAATGTGAGTACATAATATGCATAATGTAATACATGACAGTTGTTCCAAGACATTTATAACCCTCCTCTTAGCAAGCATATCAGCAATTTAACAACATGGCATTCTTAACATGGGTATGGACTAAAAATAGATTCATAAGCTTTGTGTTTTATGTAGATTGTTGTATGTTTGTGTATATCAACTAGGTATGTTACTTGGGGTGGTGAGTTGACTGAACTTTGAGGTGGAGAGTGTTTTTCAATATTCACCTCCAAATATGTATCCACATCTGTCCTTGCTGGTTCCATGTCAGTGGTATGATCTGTGTTAGCTGTTGATCACTGGATTGTCTGGTCCAGACTCCATTATTTACAGACTGCTGCCATGTATTGCTATGTGTGACGTTAAACAAAAACTAATCAACCAATCCTCTTGAGGTGGCGGAGTAATCTAGTGGGTCAAAATGTTCGTTTGTCATGCAAAAGGCCTAGGTTTGATTCCCATTATGAGTACAGTGTGTGAAGCAATTTACTGGTGTCTCCTACATTATAATAACGGAATATTGCCTAAAGGGGTGTAAAACCATACTCACTCACCCGCTCTACTTGAGGACTGAACACAGTGATATGGCTGAAATACTATTGAAAGCATTATACACTTTATTTAGTATACACATTGTTCAGTTTGTGTTTTCTGTTTGCAGACATCCAAGGTTTTGAAGATGAGATCAGTAGTCATGCAGTGCTTTAGGGCTCACTTCATGGACCGGGGCTACTTCGAGGTCAGTAGAAGTGTCCCTCCTCTATGTGTGTTAAAGTATCCATCAGCTATATTGTTTAGATGTGTCTTGAATAAAAACATATACATATATACGACCATGTTTCAGTAGATGTCCATACAAGTGAGTTAACATGATGATATTTCTCTTTGTTTAGGTGACCCCGCCCACTCTTGTACAGACACAGGTGGAGGGAGGTGCTACCCTTTTCAAACTCGACTTTTTCGGAGAAGAGGTAACTTAATAATCACGGCTTGGATTCTTGAGTTTGCATAATGACAAACATCGTGATATTTGTATAGTTGATTATTTGTATTTTAAATTCCTTCATTAATGCTGATACTACCAAGAAGTCAATCACCTCTTCTGTTTTTTCATAACTGAAAACCACTGACTGAACCATCGACTCACTGAATGACTTGAGTGGTGGGGTAGTCCAGTGGTCAAAGCGTTCACTTGTCACGCCGAAGACCCAGGGTTGATTCCCCACATGGGTACAATGTGTGAAGCCCATTTGTGGTGTTCCCCGCCTTGATATTGCAATACTCACTCACTGACTTAACTAGCTGACTGACTTGTTCACTCATTCACTCACTGCCCAATGATTGACTATTCACGAGGTCATTGAGTTTAACCAAGAACTGGGTTACTTTCCTCAGTGACTGCTACTTGTTGTTCCAGGCCTTTCTTACCCAGAGTTCCCAGCTGTATCTGGAGACCTGCCTGCCGTCGCTAGGAGACGTGTTCTGTATTGCTCAATCATACAGGGCAGAGAAGTCCAGGACAAGGAGACACTTAGCAGAGTAGGTTAAACACAAGGTTAAACATTTCACTGACAGTTTTGTAGCTAGTATCATCCAGGTGTTGTAAGTTGCTAATGTGTAACCTGTCCGATTATTTGTCATCCCAAGATGATGGTTTGGGATTTTGTCTGGTTGGCCTTTCACAACAGCTAACCTCTTTTAGCCAGTCTATGTTGACCTTCACAGAGGCTGACATTTGGCCATGACACCGATTCAGTTGTAAGCGTAAGTTCCAGAATTGGAATCGAGCGAGTGCCAAGTTACGTTATTCTAGCAGTAACTCATGTAATGGCTTTTGCAAAGGTGACAAAATGGAGCTTTTGTGCTCATTTTCACTTTGACCTATTATATTGAAATACCACTGAACTTAAAGTATGGAGTTTGAAATAGTCCTAGTTTGGGCCAAAATGCTGCTTTTGAATGCTAAGGGCACGGAATCCTTGATACATCCTCCAATGATACATTGATAAATCCTCCTCCATGATACATCCTCTCCATGATACATGATACATCCTCTCCATGATAAATCCTCTCCATGATACATCACTCAATTTCCATTTGTTTGCACATGGGCATAATGGAAAATTAAATTCAAATCTCTGAACAAGTTGAAGAGATTATCTTGTTCTGTTTGAATGTATAGATGACATGTTCCCTTTTCAGATATACCCACGTGGAAGCAGAGTGTAGCTTTATAGACTTTGATGGTCTGTTAGATCGTCTTGAAGACCTTGTGTGTGATGTCGTGGATCGAGTTCTTAAAACACCGTATGGAGAGATTGTTTATGAGCTTAACCCTGTAAGTTGGTGTTTGTAAATTTGTGGTGTACAACAAAACATTGTGATTTCATGCAGAACTCGTTACTACCTACCAACCCCTGCATGAGACCATTCTAGTACAGGTCTGGGCTAAAATTGATCTCCAACAACCCATGCAGCCGTCTGTAAGTCAAGTCTCAACCAGACAATCCAATGATCATCAGCATGAGCATCAATCTCCACAATTGGGATACGATGACGTGCCAACGAAGTCAACAAGCCTAACCAACTGATCCTGTTAGTCGATTCTTGCAACAAGCATAGGTTGCTAAGGCCAATTCTAACCTGGATCTTCACTGGTAGCATGGCAAAAGAGGTCACTAATGGAATTGGATAGTCAGACATGGATGATGACATGGATGATTATATCTAAATGGCATGAATCACGAACAGTCATGACCTGGAATCAATCACTGGAACATCTGGTCTGGAGTCAAATAGTTTCAGGTCGCAGTCACACAGCTGGAATATTGCTGAGTGCATGTTAAATCATCATACATGAGACTGCTTGACAAAGTATTTAATTAAATGGTGACAGCATCTTTGATTTTCTATGATGATTTTAGAGTTATGTGAACTCATGGTAACATGCTTGTGATAATTATTATTCTCTTTCTTCAGGACTTCAAGCCACCAAAGAAGCCATTCCGTAGAATGCAGTACAAAGATGCCATTGTCTATCTTAAAGAAAATAACATTACTAAGGATGATGGGACTTTCTATGAATTTGGAGAGGTGAGTTTTTTGTGTCTTCATTGTGTACCATTGGTGAGTTTTTGTGTCTTCATGTACCATTGGTGAGTTTTTTGTGTCTCTTTTGTACTGTGGTGAGTTGAAATGGATTTTAATGTTACATTCTTGATAAATGCACGTATTTTGCAATGTGAATACTCGATATTGTGTGACGGTTTAAACTCCGCGAGACTATATGCTGGCCCACAGAGATACCATGCAACAATTTAACATGGACTTACACTGACTCTAAACCATCCAGTCCATGCTTTACATCGTTAATGCTGTGCCCCAGGCAGTACCAAGTACCATCTTTAGGAATCATGAGAACCATCAGCCCTCCTCTCCGGTCTGAAACACTATTCATTAGAAAACGGAGGCAGTTCCACTGAAGTACTTTCAAAGCATGAGCGTGCACTGAGGTAGAGAGGTTACTGCACACATTGACACTGGGTTGTAGTTCATGTATACGATTTTATTCCACTGTGATGTTTCAAGACTGATGTCTGGAATTTATAAGGGTATTGTTTTTATGATAATCTTAGAGCTGTATACTTATGTTGTAAATGATACAATCTCTTCACACCCTTGACCACATGACCCATGAAGATCCGGGTTAGAATCGGTCTTCAGCAACCCATATTGGTCGTAAAAGGCAACTAATGCAATCAGGTGGTCAGGCTGACCAACTTGGCTGACACATGTCATGGTATCCCAATTGTGTAGAATGATGCGCATGCTGCTGATCACTGGATTGTCTGGTCCAGACTCGATTATTTACAGACCCCCTCCACAGATCTGCAATATTGCTTAGTGCGATGTTAAACAACAAACCAACCAACCTTGACTACATTATTTCCCGGGGTGTTCAATAATGACATACAGGTCGGGTTTGAGTTTAGTGGATTTATTTTTCGGAGGATTCAAATTGAGAACAAACACCCTGAAACATATACATAACAATAAGTACATATATATACACACATGGGTATGTAAGGGTACTTCACAATCACAGTCATGATCTATATGCACACATTTAATCAAACGGATGACGTGATATAATGTAGTTAACCAATACATTTATCAAGTACATTCAAGGATAAACTACACTGGCTATGTATACATATGATATGCATATAGACCAGGTTTTTTTATGAATACACAAAACGAGTTACAAGTGTACCCTGTGGGTTGTACAGGGTCATGGACTGACTGCACCAGTTGATTATATCAACTGCATCTAATTACAAACAAATATACAAATATAAATACTAATGACAGACTGGGTAACATACCATGTATGACCCACGACATACCTATGAACACTTTAAAACATACATAGATACATAGCCAACATAGTTATAGATAAACACATAAATGATAAAAAGTAATACTTGCTCACTCATTCTCAAGGACAGAAATAGGGAAGTGAAAAGCTGACGTTTAGGTGAATTAAACTGTGTATAGACTTACTGTTTTAGTTAAATTACATTTTGGTTATACCTATATTGATTATATAGATAATATTTAAACATGATTGTACCATAACTGATTCAGCACTATATACAAGTACATAATTGTAAAAACATACAAAATACATAACTTACCTGTAGTAATGTCTGGTCAGCCTCAGTCTACACTGGCTTGTGTGTGTGTTATGAACAAGGCCAATCAGGCTTAAGCTGTCTTAAACAAAGGTGTGACCCAAGCTGTACAATCTTACCCCACAGCTACCCAAAGGCAGTTAAATAATATATAAGGCAACCAGGAGCTAAGTAGAAAGCAAGTTTATTTTATTCTGTATGTAGCCATAGCCATTTGTATAGCTGTAGTGCAGTAGTTTCCAGATAGGTCACTTGGGAATATCGGCTCTGGGCCGTTGGGTACAAGACAAAGACAATGGCGATGATTTGATGAGTTTATTATGAGTATGAGGCTGTTGCCGAGGTATCTGAAGAAAGAAAAGATGTTTCCACCTCAGCAACAGTAATAGGAGTGATAAAATAAGTCACTTCATATTGAATTAACATTAAATATTATATTATGCATTGTAAATAAGTATCACAGTTAGCCAAGGGAATAAATAAAGTTCTTGCAAAACAAATCTATAAATGTATTGAACGCACATGGTCAATACAATGCATATACGTTATTACTGATTAATTGCTTTAAAGGTTAAGATTATAAATTAAATATTTCTCTCAATAGTTTTAAATTACAGTTTGAATTAACTTAAGCACCTTATTATAGAAGTTAAGATGAAATTGAGGCAGATGGAAAAGGATTAGAATATGGCCATACCTGAAGAAAGAAAAGATGTTTCCACCTCAGCAACAGCAATTGGAGTGAGGTGGAAGACAGGTATGCCACAGGAAGTAGACAGGACACAATAGCCAATTAGAAGACAGCTAACACATCAAAGGAAGCTTTTGATGTGACTTATAAATAGAATAGGGAAAGCCCAGAGGATGCGTTTCTGTTGGCATTGGCATCGGCATTCCCATTGTTTCCAGAACATAACTCTAAAACTACTTGAACACTTTTCACCAAATTGGTATACTTGTAGATGTGCCTTTTTCGGTTTGAACTTTTCTTTCAATTTTATATTTATCTGTTTGAATGGCAACAAATTTGGACTTGGTCTTTTTGAAGGGTAGGGTTTGTGTTTGAAACTCTAAAACCACTTCACCCATCTTCATTAAATTTTATATACTTAAAACAAATACCTGTTATTAGTAAGCTTAGAAACATCAACCATATACCGGTACATGTACTACTATAAAACATGTATGATATGTATTTTCATACCTACAGATTTTGACATTGAAGGAAACAAATGAATTGTTTGAGGTCTCAACGTTGAATTGGGGAAAGGGGGAGACATCTCTTTTTACTAGTAAAATACTTTCTAGTTGAGCTTACTTTTGGGGCAATGTTAATAAAAGCACTGCTACATGTACTTCACAGTAAATGTTAGTACATTATTTCATTACAACATTAAATGTATACACACAATTATCCCTACATCTGCATGTATTTGAGAAGTAACGTTTAGATGAATGTTTACAGGATATCCCAGAAGCCCCGGAAAGGAAGATGACCGATAAGATTAACGAACCTATATTCTTGTGTCGCTTCCCTGCTGAAATCAAGTCATTCTACATGCAGAGAACTGAAGGTGATCGCAGGCTAACAGACTCTGTAAGTGTAACAGAACCTAAAACAGCTTTCTCATCATAATATAGAGTATGGATATATTCATCACATAAGCCATTTATGCATTTTGTTTATCCATACATTCTTGTTAAATGCATCCTTTCCTTATGACAAAATAATTCAGATCAATTGTGTGATCATGAACATAACACCGGTGTAATCAATTACATGTGAGGTAGCCTGGTGGTCAAAGTGTTTGCTTGTTTTGCTATTGACCAAGGCTTGATTCCCTACATTAATAGGTCATGGTATATTCTGTGTGTGAAGAAAATTCTTGAAGTCCTGTTGTAGACATTGCTGTACTATGGCAGTGAAATACCCTGCTCAGTCTCCAATATAAATCTGGTAGAACTGGTTAGAGCTTTGGTATATTGTGTCCTGTTGTAGACATTGCTGTATTATGGCAGTGAAATACCCTGCTCAGTCTCCAATATAAATCTGGTAGAACTGGGTAGAGCTTTGGTATATTGTGTCCTGTTGTAGACATTGCTGTATTATGGCAGTGAAATACCCTGCTCAGTCTCCAATATAAATCTGGTAGAACTGGTTAGAGCTTTGCAAAGTTGACCCGTGTTCTCTTGTAATTGTGTTGTGACAGGTCGATCTGCTGATGCCAAATGTTGGAGAGATTATTGGAGGCTCTATGAGGATCTGGCATCATGAGGAGATGGAGGAGGGCTTTAAACGAGAAGGCATTGACACAAAGCCTTACTACTGGTACATTGATCAGGTAGGACATGCTTATTGTCGTGTCCATATGAAGAGCTGATGCCAAGCCTCCTGTCCTCAGGTGCTTGGATGGAGTTTGGGCTCCATTTGGCTAAACAATCATAGCACTACAAGTGTTATCAGTCTTTGTTAAAGTATGGGAGTTGCAATTGTCTTGGCACTAGTTGCATTGTGGAACGGAAGTCTGTTTCTTAAACATGTATTTGCCATAGAAATTTTTACAGCCATGTGCCAATACTGGAATCTTTTAAAGTGAACTAAAGCTAGACAATACAATATGTTGACATGCCAGCTGTAGTTTTTTGCTTAGAGGAACAAAGTCACACCTTATAGGACAAGTTTTTATGGATAACAACTTCATTATTTCGTGAGTGCAACGTGTCAATACAGATTCTTGTACCTTTACCTTTACAAGAATCTGTATCGAAACGTTGCACTCAAGAAATAATAAAGTTGTTATCCATAAAAAACTTGTCCTATATTGTACTTCTCAGCTTCTATAATGCCACTCAAACCTGTTTTTAAAATATGTATCTCTCTACTTAGCTATATTTTTTGGCAAAACACATACAAATTCAAAAGCACCAATTAAACCAACAAATAAAACATTTCTATCCACAGAGAAAGTTTGGTACCTGTCCCCATGGAGGCTATGGTCTTGGTCTGGAACGTTTCTTGTGTTGGCTGCTCAACAGATACCACATCCGTGAAGTGTGCTTGTACCCACGCTTCGTGGATCGCTGTAGGCCTTGAACCACAGGCTGTACAGCACACACATCGTCTAGAGCCCTGTTGTATATACAAGTCTAGTCTCTTGGTAGGACAATTGGGGAACCTTGAACTGACTGGTAACTCTTTGATATGCTATAATAATATATGTAGATGCAGTGAGATCACGGAAATACTGCTCAAAGCAGCATATAGACTTTTACTAATGTTTAGGTGAAGACTTTTTGTTTAATGAAATGTTAGACTAGATACAGTTGTGCCAAAGGTGTGTTATTGTAGCATTCTTCTACTTTTTGATAAGTTTTCATATTGATTATTTTCTGAGAAAATGCAGCAGGTTATACCTTCTCACACCAGACAAAACATGTCTACTTTCCTTCTAATGTGGTATGGGATCTTATTGAAATGGTTTTTACAGTCTTCAACAACTTGACTCACTTGACAGTAATAATCTGGCACTCATCACTGGTGTTTTGGTGCAAAAACAACTTTATGAAAATCATATCTACCAAATTAAATATTGTCACATTTACTACCCAGCATGGTTGTCCAGTTACAGATATATATATATACATATATATATATTTATTTATTTTAAATGTTTCTTCAAATGGGAGGAAGTAAAACAACACGTTTCAACAGACCCAATGTATGGAGAATTAGTAATCTCAGTTCTTAGATTTCAAATTAGGAATTTGGGAAGAAAACTGTTTGAAGCAGGAAGTTCTTCCTGTCAGTAACATGAGTACAAGTGTACTCACACAAGCATAGAAGCTTCTCCCTGGAATATAGTTTTAGATGGTTTTGTATAATGTTGGACACCTCTCTCAGCAACATTCCAGCCTATCATTCCAACTGAAGAAGCTCCACCTATCCTGTTTTTGCAAGGCCACAATGCTGTTGGGATTTTGAGTACTTAAGGTCCAAATCAGTTTATGTTAAAGGTGATTTAATGGAGGAGATTGTCAGATTCTGTGACTTGGTTGATTGGGAGTCCAGGTATCCGTTGATCCACATGGTGTGATTCACTAGAACCAACTTACATAAATAAGTGATCGTGGTCCATACTTGGTTATTCATAGACCACCGTCACAGCTGAAATACTGAGTTTGGCATTAAACAACCAACAGTAATCACGGTCCATACTTGGTTATTCATAGACCACTGTCATAGCTGAAATACTGAGTTTGGCATTAAACAACCAACAGTGGAAGCATTAGGCTACAGTTGAATGGCTGGAATTATTGCTGAGTGCTGTGTTGAACAACAAACAGTAGGCTATAGGTGAATGGCTGTCAATTAGAGTTACAGGTGGGAAGGTGGTGTATTATATTGGAACTATATGCTACGTTTATAAATATTAGTTTGGATTATTATGGTGTTTGGAAACTACAAGACTGGATGCTGCGAATAAATTTTGTTAGTGAATCTTTTCATCCGGAATGTAATCATGCCAGAGTTTAGTTCTGACTGAGTTACATGACCCAGGCTTATCATGGACCAGTTTCTTAAAGAAAAATTAAATTCAATGTATTGATGGGTTTTCTGAATATTTCATTGCTCAAAATCTCCATCATCTGCAGAACTCGTTTAAACTTCCTCATGTTGTTTATTATGGCTTCATTGTTTGTGTTGTTGTCTGCAGTTTTACTGTCAATCATACAGTCTCCATTTGGACCACGATTGCTCTTCAGGGAGTTTCCTTGATCCTTTAACTGATGTATCCAAGAACATCTGAACAATGAGATTACTGTTATGTCCATATTGTTTCTTGCATATCTGAGAGGTTCTCTATTTACTGACACTTTCATGAATGCATGTCTCTTTGTAATGGCTCCTGGTGCAGCACTGGACTCAAGGTGATGGAGAGCCCAGAATGAAATGTGTTCAACATGCAAACAACATCACTGTTTAATTTATTTCCTTGATGTACTGAAAGTGACACATCTTTGCTGCAATATTGAATAAATTGCTGTACACATACCAACAGGCTTCATAAATATGTACACAACAACTGCAGTTCTATGGAGAGTTGCCAGTATCAGATCTTGAATCGATTGTCAAGGGCGAACCCACCCAATTGGTATACTTGGCACAGTGTGTCCAAATCCTCCATGCTTATTGTAATCCAACTGACAAACCAATTTATAACAACTAATACAAGATGGAGGAGTTGCTCATACTATCAACCACTGGTTTGTCTGCACCAGGCTGGATTATATATGGGTCATGATATGTGTGTGAATAAATAACATCTCCGTTCTTGGCCAATAATTGAAGAGAGTTACATCAGCCACATTACGTCAAACACTTGTCACATTAACACACATATTACGCTATGCACACATTTGAAATTGTATTGGTGTATAATGCTGCTCTCGGCAATATTTACGCTAAATACGACAGTATGTCCCAGACAAAAAAGTGATTGACATGAGCATTGATCCATGCAATTGGGATACAGTTGGATACAGTGACAAGAAGCAACCAAGCCAGGCAGCCTGACCATCCGATTCCTCGTACGAGAAGCACAGATTGCTGAATCCCAGGATTGGGTTTCCCAAATGATTTTATAAAAAAAGACAACAGGAGTAAAAAGTCAAGGCATAACATTATATTTATCATCAATTGACTCTGTTTCTGGTGAATGATTTGTATACACCATACAATAACATGGGCAAAGGAAAGTCCATTTCAACTGTTAATGCTTTTTTTTTAAAAAACGTCAATAACCTCAGCATATTTTATACTTCATACATATTACAATACTTTTACTCATAATCAATATCATGTTTTAAAAAATACCACTTCAAAAACTACTACAACGATCACACTATTTACAGCAACTTACAGCTACAAATGAACTATATTTTTAAAAGAAACTTTTGGCTCACCAGTCTAATAAAATAACATCTTTTGTTGTTGTTTTTTACAATAATAAGAAATGTATTCACAGAAAATTTGCACATGAGAAATAAATGCAGCTGAAAAGTATTTATGAAGGAAATACAATATATCACAAACTTTCTACAATCCCATGGTAGGTAGATACAACACACACTTAATATTTTTCCTTTGTCCTGGACAACAGAACTTGTCCATGGCACATCCATTGAAAAATAACACTGTACAATGTTAGTGACAGAGTCAGTTTACATCTGATCTGACAGTATTTGTGTTGTCTGAGGGAGAAAAGCCCCAGTGATGTATATCATTCACATCATTTACATCTGTGGTAAATCCAAACAAGGATAAAAGTCATGGTTCACAATAGGGGTAATCTTGACAAACCCATGACAAAGTTAATGCTTTGTTAAATCCCAACAAGAAAGATTTAATATGGAGCTGACATATGAAGTTTCATTATCAGGGTAAATATTCTCCAAATATTCTTAAAACATGTTAACTGGACACTGACAGAGGCTGCCAGTGTGTGACAGGTGTCAGTGTTTCTTAACAAGGAACATGTTGGATGAGAGGTCAGGGGGTGTGGGGCAGGCATCATCTTGAGGGTGTCAGTGTGTGATAGGTGTCAGTGTTTCTTGACAAGGAACATGTTGGATGAGAGGAATGTCCGGGGTTGTGGGGCAGGCATCATCTTGAGGCTGCCAGTGTGTGATGGGTGTCAGTGTTTCTTGACAAGGAACATGTTGGATGAGAGGAATGTCCGGGGTTGTGGGGCAGGCATCATCCCAAGACCGCCAGTGTGTGATAGGTATCAGTGTTTCATGACAAGGAACATGTTGGATGAGATATGTCTTGTGTTAACAGGCATCATCCCAAGGCTGCCAGTGTGTGATAGGTGTCAGTGTTTCTTGACCAGGAACATGTTGGATGAGAGGAATGTCCGGGGTTGTGGAGCAGGCATCATCTCGAGGGTGTCAGTGTGTGAAATGAAGTTTCATTATCAGGGTAACTATTCTCCAAATATTCTTAAAACATGTTAACTGGACACTGAGAGAGGCTGCCAGTGTGTGATAGGTGTCAGTGTTTCTTGACAAGGAACGTGTTGGATGAGAGGAATGTCTGGGGTTGTGGGGCAGGCATCATCCCGAGGCTGCCAGTGTGTGATAGGTGTCAGTGTTTCTTGACAAGGAACATGTTGGATGAGAGGAATGTCGCGGGGTTGTGGGGCAGGCATCATCCCAAAGGCTGTCAGTGTGTGATAGGTATCAGTGTTTCTTGACCAGGAACATGTTGGATGAGAGGAATGTCTGGGGGCTGTGGGGCAGGCATCATCTCCAAGGCTGTCAGTGTGTGATAGGTGTCAGTGTTTCTTGACAAGGAACGTGTTGGATGAGAGGAATGTCTGGGGTTGTGTGGCAGGCATCATCTCGAGGGTGTCAGTGTGTGATAGGTGTCAGTGTTTCTTGACAAGGAACATGTTGGATGAGAGGAATGTCTGGGGTTGTGGGGCAGGCATCATCCCGAGGCTGCCAGTGTGTGATAGGTATCAGTGTTTCTTGACAAGGAACATGTTGGATGAGAGGAATGTCCGGGGTTGTGGGGCAGGCATCATCCCAAGGCTGCCAGTGTGTGATAGGTGTCAGTGTTTCTTGACCAGGAACATGTTGGATGAGAGGAATGTCTGGGGTTGTGGGGCAGGCATCATCTCGAGGGTGTCAGTGTGTGATAGGTGTCAGTGTTTCTTGACAAGGAACATGTTGGATGAGAGGAATGTGCGGGGCTGTGGGGCAGGCATCATCCCAAGGCTGCCAGAGCTGGAAGGTTGGGCCATCGGTTTGACACCAGAGGATGCAGCAGCCTTTTTTCCTTTGTTGTAGCTGAACTGATTGAAGGAACTGTTGCTGTAACAGACAATTCACAGGTGCTTCGGTTTTCATTGTAGGTAGATTTCAGAAATGGCAAATATTATGGATCTTATTTCCTTGTTTTTGCGGATTATGATAAATTTATACAAACCTGTAGAGGTTATGAATTCTTTGAAGAAAGTCCTCCTTGGGGTACTTATAAGCATTAAAATGTCCATTTTAAAACCTACGACAGTTGTGTGAACTATATTTCAATAAAAATATTTACAAAACTAAAAACACGCTCACGGATCAGACAGAATGAGGAATCTGGACACCAGTATAAAACACTGAGTAAATCAGCCGGTAGGCTCACTCGGCCCGAGGCGGTTACTCTGTCCACTGTGGAGAATCGCTTGGCCAACCCGAGCACACTCCACGCGAATGTTTGTCCAGCTGATAATGGCTTAATGAACGCATCTCGGTCGGCTCCCTAAATAGCCGCAGAGCAGATCTCCCTCAATCGGCAGAGCAGCAGCATACGCTTTAGACGTGGCAACTGCTCGGGCCGAATGAGCCTTTAAACCCTCTGGGGGAGTCATACCCTTGTGTATGTAACCCATACAAATCACGTATTACGATCCACCTCGATATGGTCTGTGTGGTAACTGGGTGACCTACTTTACCATCATTTCCTAACAGCAGAATAACTTCTCTTCACGGATTGACATTGTTCTCTTTGACATACGCCTTAAGTGTCTTACGCATATCCAACACATGTACTCTGGCGCTTTTGCGCCTACCAGACGGCTAGCAGGAAGCGAAAGGCAGGCAAATCAATAGGAGCGGTGACATGAAACGCTTTATCGATTTTAGTTGGCAGGGAATCAGGTAAACGAATACTTACCCTATCTTTGTGAAAAACGGTAAGCTCCGGGTCTGAGGACATAGCATGAATGTCTCCCACCCGTCTACCTGAAGTAATGGCCACCAAAAATGCCGCTTACCAACTTAACAGTTGAAGCGACAACTCCCCGACATATCGTGAGAAGAAAGGACTAGAAAGCCAATCTAAAAACGATGGACAGATCCCATGGCGGACTTGTCCGTCCGGATCTAATCGGACTTACTCTGTCCACACTCAAGTTAAGAAACGCTGAACCAGAGGGTGTTGTCCTAAAAGGGCACCCTCGCTACAGGGTACGAATTCGTCTTTTTTCAGTACCTGCACCAAGTGCAGTTGAGTGTTTATACCAAACTGCACCAAAGAGACTCAGACTGCACCCTCAGTGGTCACGTTAATGTGTTCCATTTTATGAGTTTGTATAATTAAAAATAACTATTAAATACACTTGTTTTGTTTTTATTCATGTGAAAGAAAGCTGAACAACTTAGCATGAAAAGGAGAAAATGTTTTGATGCACTAATATCATGGTCTATTAAGTGCAGCATGGTATCATTGTTAGTCTTGAAACTCTTAGTATGGTAAGTCACATTATTGCTACATACTAGCATTAGTAGATTTACTCACTCAGTCATCCAAGTCCTCATCACTATCATCACTTGACCATGCTGCAGAGTCACTGGGAACCTTTTACTTTTACTCAACCAAAGACTTACTGGTATATCAGCATTAAAGTCTTTCAGAGCTGGACCATTTAGCTTGAGTGACATCAAGTCTGTCAGACTGTCTGACGTTAGTTTAGATCTCCAGTCTGTTTTAACACGCTTCATAAGTGAGAATCCCCTCTCACAGATGGCACTATTGACTGGGAGGGAAATGATGATCCTCACAAGTGCCATAAGATCACCATATTCTGGCAACTGGGCAATCTTTTGCCACACATCAAGGAACGATAATGTTGCCTCAACACTTTTCATCTTCAGAATTTTCTTTTAAGCACCAGTCCACTGTAGAAGAACATTTTCCAAAGAATATCCCTTTCTGTCAGGGGGGCTTGAAAATGTGTGAATATTTCTGTTACTTCACTGTCACCATATGTCCTGAGAACATCTGGGTCACTTGGCCATTCATCTGGATTCGTGCACAGATGATCCTGCTGAGACAGCATCTTTAATGTCAAAACGCTTGGCAAGGTTTTCTTGCATATTTGCTACAACTTTTCACCATCAGAAACAGCATTAGCAATTTCTGTTCTCAGGTTTTTCCTTAATCTTCGATCGGGCTTGGTGCCCTTCAGGTATGCTGAGGGAGTGCCCATTGAATTGGTACAGCTTCTTGGTATCACTGGGTACCTCTGTCACATGAATACCCTGCATCATGGTATCTTTCAGGTGATCCCCAGACATCTTCTCCATTTCCGCATTACGTTGTTTCAATGGCTTCATGGACAGTGTAGGCCTGACTTGTCTGACTGAAAGACTTTACTTAGTTTTGAGAGCATGTTTAGGAATACCAAGTAAAAGTTCAAAACATAATGAATTTGATAGACTGTATCACTTTCAAAATGGCTCTTGCTTTTTTCCTGATTGTGAGCATTGCCAACCCTTGCCTCTCATTTTCCAAGTGTGTCACGATTGCATCATACGATTGGTGAACAGCTTAGATAGCCCTTGCATGATGTGGCACCCATCGACAACCAGAAACACGAACTGGACGCAACAGACTACAGTTCAAAGCCTCCGCAGCAGCCTTCAGCCCCTCCCATCTATTGGCTGAATATTTGTAGAAACTGTGCACATTGTACAGAACTTCATCTATCACTGACATGTAGGAGATTGACTTTGCTGAATCCTTTACTGAAAGTTCTAATCTATGAGAGCAACTAGATGGGGTACAAAAGTTTTTATACGTGTTGCGACTCCACTTTTGCTAATCGCCGGTCCAGACATTTCGCTGTTGAACACACGTGTGACAGCTGACGTGAGGCCGGAAGACTTCGTTACTAAGCGATAACGTTTTTTTCCGAAGTTAAAAACGAGTGCAAAAAAGTCCTCACGGAAATATCCGAGGACAATGAAGTTACGACCTTTGAATGTTTTCATTGGCTGTTAGCAACAATGACGTAGGAAAAACTCGAGAAAGTGTTGTGATTGGTTCATTGTCATGATGAATATGCAAATGAAGCCCGTATTTAGGTCAAGTCTATTATTGTCAATGCGGAAGTAAACCACTGTTTACGTATCGCTAACCTTTCAAACGTTTTAGTAATCGATTTTTTTAATTATTCTTCGAATGTAATACAATTTTTTTCAAGCTGCACCTGGTGCAGTCCGGTAAGAGATATAAGCTGCACAAGGCAATTTTCACCTGCACTGGTGCAGAATTTATATAGCGATTTCGAACCCTGCGGTAGTAATGTGGAAAGCTGAAATAGCTGTGGAGTAGCCTCGGATAGTAGACGCGGCTAGGCCGGCTTCCAACCGAGACTGTAAAAACTCCAAAACTTTGACTACAGTCGAAGAAAAGGGATCAAGTATCCCTCTGTTTCCACACCAGCGCGCATAACAGGCCCATCTATCCTCATACTGTAAGTTAGTCGAATCCCTCCGCGAAGCCAGAATTGTGTCTGCAACTGGTGCAGGAATTCGCCCATGACGGAGGCGACTCCTGACAGTGGCCAAGCCACCCACTGGATCCATGGATCCGGGTGTGGCTGGCCTTCCTGGATAGGAGGTCCGGTCGCATCGGTAATAGCACAGGAGGCTGTACTAGCGATCTGAGTATTACCGGGAACCAGCGCTGAGGCACCACAGAGGTGCAAGCAGCACAAGTAGTCAGCTGGTTGGGTGGCTAGCCGCGATAGGACTCTGGGAATCAGGGGTATCGGTGGAAAGCCCACAGAACCCTGTCCATCCAATCTAGCTGGAAGGCATCGGGCGCGATCGCTCCCGGATCTGGGATCCTGGAGCAAAACACCGAGTCTGGTTCGTCACCCCAGAGGCAAACAGATCCACCTGGAACGACCAACGAACAACTGGGGAGATAGCCCGAATATCTCCCGGTCGAGTAACCACTCGTGAGGGGCCAGGATCTGACGTGAGAGTGCATCTGCACGCCGCGTTGTCCTCCCCTCGAGATACACAGGTACGCCCGTGTGTTGAACCAGTCGCACCACAGCAGAAACTGCCACGCCTCCTGGAGGAGTGACGGAGACACCGTACCGCCCTGCTTCAGGATATAGGACATCGCCGTTTGATTGTCCATTTCTAGACGAACCACACGGTTCCGAACCTGCTCCATGAAGCATTCGAACACCCGTCGGACCGCTCTCAATTCTAACACGTTGATGTGTAAGGTCGCCTCTTTCACGGACCAAAGTCCGGAAGCTGTGAGGTCCCCTAGGACACCCCCCCACCCTGAGAGAAAAGCGTGGGATACCCCTGACTAGATTCCCGGTGTCGGTCCACCACCTCAGGTGGGGGAGAAGCCACTCTGGAGTTAGGAGAATTGTCTCGTAACACCCCGAGTGTGACCACAGCTGTGCTAACGCTTGCTGAACTGGCCGCATCCTCAGACGGGCACGCCAAACTACGTCCACCGTCACCGCCATGTTGCCTAGCAACTGAAGCCATGTGGGTGCTGAGGCCCTGGGGGACTGAAGGAATTGTAAAACAACCCTTTGGACTTTGGAAATGCGGTCTTGAGACAGAGAGACTAAGCCCTGCTGTGTCTCGAATCTCGCCCCCAAGAAAAACCAGATCCTGGGATGGAACCAGCTCGATTTCTTGAGGTTGATGACCCAACCCAACCTGGTGAGAATATCCATCACTGTCTGTGTGGATTCCCCGACTCAAGTGAGTGGAAAGCGCCTGAGCAGCCAGTCGTCCAGGTACGGGTAACAAAAGTTGCCCTGTGCCCTGGCGACTTGAGCTGGCACTAGCATGAGTTTTGTGAGCACCCTTGGCGCCGTGGAGATGCCAAGGGGAGCACAAACTGATAGCACTCCTCCGTCGAAGGAAAAACCGGAGGTATTTCCTGAACTCGGGGTGCATTGGTACATGAAGGTACGCGTCCTTGAGGTCGATTGACGTAAGCCAATCCCCTGCCTCCACAGATGAGATCACCGACCGCAGTGTCTCGATCTTGAAGGACGGTACCTCTAGCAAACTGTTCAGACCCTTTAAATTGAGAATGGGTCTGAACCCTCCGTCCTTCTTGGTAACCAGGAAATAGGTTGAGTAAACCCCTTGATTTTCCTGGCCCGTCGGAACCACCTCGATGGCTGCCTTGTCCAGCAACGCCTGGACCTCGGCACGGAGAACATCGGCCTTTTCACTGTGGCATATGACCATCCCTGAGTGTGGACAGGACCCAGGGATTTGATGTGGCTTTCTCCCATTCCCGATGGAAGAGAGGTAGCCGGCCGCCGACAGGGACGTCTGGTAAGAGGCAGTGAATCCCGGCAGTCGGCAGTGTAACAACCGCTTGTGCCGGGACCAACAAGGGCTCTGGAGGAATGCTTACTGGGAAGCCGGGGCCGACTTCCCCTTCCTCTGAAAATGCTGCTGAGAGGAGGCAGCCTTGCCCCTACCTCTACCCCTGCCCTTGCCTCTACGTGCCTGAAGTGGAGCCGTCCACTTGGGCGCTTCCTTTCCTGAAGAGGAAGGGTAAGCTGAGGCAAGGACGGAAGGCGGGTGCGAGCAGTGAGGGTTGCTCGAGTAAGGGCTTTGAGTCCTTAAACTGGCTAACCGCCTCAGCGGCCTCCTGACCACTGTCAATGCCCCGGAACAGGGTTGAGCCCATCCTGAACGGCAGAGACAACAGCGCCTGCTGTGTAGCGGTGAATATCTGGCCACAGACAGCCACAACCGGCGGAGGCCCATAACCGCAGACATCATCTGGCTAGCGCTACGGCCGAGAATGGCGTCGGCGTGCCAGATGTGAATGCACCTCCGTGAGCTGCCTGCAGCATAGTGGACGACGTCAAGGCCGTCGTCGTCCACGCCCTCCTGGTCCACCAGCTTCCTCTGCAGGGCCGAGGTATGCTGAGTGGACGGAAACCTTAAGTTGTTGAACGGCGTTACGGTATTGTTCTTCAAAGGAACGATATGCCGATTTCAACACCTGGTTGTTGGAAGTAACCGGAGGCGAACGCCGACCCTGACGAGCCGACGTGTGGCTATGGCCAGATGACCCCCCCAGGGCGACTGAGGCATAAATGCACTCATCTACCACCGGGGGGTCATAAAGAGCCCCCTCTCCCATCAGGTAGCGCCGGTTCAGCTCCAGGAGATCGAAGCGTGACCTGCCACCTGAGAGGAGAGGGTTAATAACCTCACGGAAACCGGACATTGCGTCCGAGATCAGCGAGCGAACCGAAGTCATCTGTTGCTGCAATATGGAAGTTAAATCATTAATACAGAGGGGTGCAGAATCTGATTGAGTGGAAGTGGAGGGGATAGGGGAAGAAGGTTTATACGCCGTCTTGGCCCGCTTACCCCCACCCCCGCTAGTAGAAGAAGAACTCTTCTTACTTTTAGCCACTTTAGATGGTGGGTCCTGAGCCCATAAGTACCCCCCCGCCTGCAGCAGATTTGTATAAAACAAAAAATCGGCAGATCGACGCTTAGTCGTCTTGGGTGAGAAAACCTGGCAACTTTCACACGATTGATCATCATGATGCTCAACAGCCAAACAACGTAGGCACACATCGTGCGTATCCTGTGGTGGCAACATGGCCGCACATGCAACGCACGGGTGAAACTGTAACAAACAGAACCATTTTTAATGGAAACTGCTGTACAGTCTAAAATACATACATATATGCAACACAAGTAAAATATAATCAAACGGGCGATAAACCCTATGTGAAAAGCTAAGGCAGTTTTACCCTTTAACATGTATCATGAACAAGGGACGAAAATGCAAGCTACCTGCGTAACATATACAGCGTAAAAAAATATGAAAAAACTTACCCAACTCACCTTACATTGCTGGAAGTGAAAACGTTAGGCAAGCCTACAATAGTAATGTACAAGAAATTACCCTACCACCCTAGCGATGTAACTTAAAAAAGTTACCACCGTAGGACAGAAGGAATCCAAACCGACCGCCATCTTGCCTGCCACATGGCTGGAAAATGGAGCCTGTCCGACTAAGTTACAACAATCATGAATGAAAAAATCAACCTACAATTCCATCTAGCGCCCGTGCGAGAGAAAAGAGGAACCATACATACATTAGTTGATTCTTTAACACTCATTTTCATCAATGAACGACACGCACGTCTCTCTTCTAAGACGACAGCATGAAAAGTGAGGTGCGAGGTTGTCGGCTAGAGTTACCTGCTCTTGCCGGTAGGGGGCCCCGCGGGGGCCCTGTAGGGGTGGTCTCATAACGCAGAACGTGTTTTTTCGTTTTGTAAATATTTTTATTGAAATATAGTTACAACTGTCGTAGGTTTTAAAATGGACATTTTAATGCTTATAAGTACCCCAAGGAGGACTTCTTCTGAAAAAGAATTGGTAATATGTTTTCTCAATGTAAATAAACATTATTTCAAATATCTTGGTATCTCAATTTCTATATCTCGACATCTAAGTGGTGGTGGTGGAATTGGGTTTAACGTCGTGCTTGAGAATATTTCGCTCATATGACGACGTGCATGCGTGTGTAGGTGTATGTGCGGCTGCTTGTACTAACCCAGACTGAAGCTGGTTTTATAGTGCTAGCCCACTGTGATACCATGCCGCAGTGAAGCATGAATACCCCACTCAGACACATTATACTGACTCCGAGCCGACCAGTCCTTGATGTACCCAGTAATGCCGAGCGCCAGGCAGGGACCAACAAGTACCATATTTTAACGTCTTTTGGTATGACGCGGTCGGGGATCGAACCCGCGACCTTCCGCACTCCGGGCGGACGCTCTAACCACTACACCACGGAGGCGGTCCCTCGACATCTAAGGTCCAGCTTACCTGTTGAACTTCTTTCCAGAACTCTTGCCCCGTGTTGAACCTTTTTTGGCCTTTTTACCTCGAAAACTTTTCTGTTGAAGCAAACAATTTGAATCTTACAAAGTAGTACTATTTTGAAGGTATTTTGCGAAAAAAACCCAATAATATGACACAATACCCTGTGAACATCTGACATGCTGAACACGTCTTTACTCAAATTGCCTTGAGCTGAATGATATACATGTAATCCCAGTAAGTCATCCAAGCTGTTCTTACCTTGCCCCTCCATCCTGATCCACCTCGTCTCCCGCGGCCTCCTCCACGACTACCATTACTGTGGGACTCTTCAAAGTAATGTGATGTCCATTCATCTGTTGCCTCTTCACTGCCTTGATCCTTCTGACTGCTACATCGCCGGTCATCCTCAAGGGCTGTGGGACAATATAGATTTTCACTTTGTTGTTTAACACCATACTCGGTAATATTCAGTCACATGGTGGCAGTCTTTACAATATAGAGACAAGACCAGATAATACTGACATGAATATCATCCATTTAAGCAACTGGGATATGACATGCTTCAACTTATCCAGTGGGCCTGATGCCCCAATCCTGTTAGGAGCCTTTTATGGTCTTTCATGAAGATCAGTTGGATGTCCACAGGGAACTTTTCCTTAAATCCTATCATGTAACACTTATGAAATGTGAGAGTCCAAATGTGTAAAAACTGACCATACTATCACTGCATTATGGTTACAGATCATTGACAAGCTAATGTCTACAATCATTGGATATTTCACATATTTAAGTGCTTCCTCATTAACAAGATTTAAACAAAGGCATAAATGGGATGATCTCAATCTTGTACAGTCGACAGAGGCAATATTGACAGCCCTAAAGCGAGATACCCCTGGAAGCCTTACAAGGAGTCCTGCCTTGAAAGTCACTACTTACTGGAAAACATACAGCAGTATTTGGTGGTAATGTCGAGGAATCTCTCGGCACCGTAGGCTGTGATCCTGTAGTTTGTGAGGCCATCAATCTCACTATTCCTCATCTCCTCCAGGGTTAAAGGTCGCTTGTCTGCCAACTGCCACAGGATTTGGTTTGTGAACACAGAAGTGTAATTCTTGATGTTGTGCTCCCTCGCTGCAAGACAAGACACGACAGTAAACATCAATAGTAACCTGTTTGAGTGGCATTTTAGAAGTTGAGACGTACAATATGGAACAAGTTTCATATAAATACAAGTTTCACCAAATAAAGAAGTTGTTATCCATAAAAACTTGTTCCATATCAATAGTAACCATTAAACAAAAGAAGTTGGATCTTGGATGCATACATCCTTGATAATCTCCAGGTTATATGTTACGATCACTCTCCACTACACCCTGGATGCATACATGGCTTGGCCCAATGAATTTATTACCTCCCTTTGCTGGCTTTTTATCCAATCAGGTGTCTACGCTGGGAAGTTGAGTGAACTAATCACAACTCACCTTCGCTTCTTAATTATCTTACCGTTTAAACTTTGCAACACAATTGATGCAGAGGTCCTCTGAAAGAGGTAGAAGGAGTTCTTTCATATATTTTTTTAAAGTTTCAGATCTGTCAATTTGTCTGTATGATTTCCCCAAAATCTGAGTGGCACTGCGAACAAACCTTCGACGACTGCGACCGCTATCTTTGTTGACACTGGCAAGCTCGCATGTACCGGTGGCTTAGCTGATTGGCTACTGTGAGAAATGTGGAGCCAGCAAAGGGAGGTAATATAATTATCGGGCCAAGCCGTGGATGCATCCAGGGTATAGGGGAGAGTGATCGTAAGATATACCCTGGAGATTATCGAGGATGGGATGCATAATGCTCTAAAGTAATTTCTTTGAAAAGCATTTTAAGAAGTTGTGAAGATTAAGGAAAACCAAGTTTTATGGATAGTCAGCGTCTTTATTGCAATGAGTGCGACATTACGGTTCAGGTACTCATTGCAATAAAGAAGTTGACTTTCATAGAACTTGGTTTCCTGTTCTAAAGTAGGTGATGGAGACACTGAAACCAACCTATAGTCTTGGCCATGGCTAGCAGTTCCTTGTAGCATTCATCCAGCAACTTGTCGTAGTCACTCTGTGCCTCCTGGCCAATCTTCGCCACCTCCGTCCTGCTCCTGCTGTTGCCATGAACTGCAAGTTCCACCTGGAAACCATCACTTAATTAGTGAACACAGAAGATGCATGTTTCATCCATCCTGAGTCCAGATCATGCCTTTTCATGATCACCTTCCAATTCAATACAGGCTTCATCAGTTTGGAGTTCAGAGTCCTCACAGGATATCTGAATGCTGGCTGATCCTCTCAATATCTGCCACATGTCTCAAATTTCAATGATTCAAAAAGTTGTGAACAATCTGCTAGAACTTTATCAAGTTTCTAATGACAACAAATGTACTGTAGAATCTGTAAACACCTTATTTTGTTTCTAATGAACTAAAACACTCTCCTAACTCCCTAGGTTTCTAATGATATCAGATCTACTGACAAATCCTCACAACTTCTTACAATATAAGTTGCTCTTATCAGAAACATGTCATTTTTATGATAAAATTGATATTTTATACATATCCTGACTCATGCTATATTGCTTATCTCCCTTCTACTTCGACGGTTAAGTGGAAACTTGAATCCCTTCCAGTTTCCTGAAAAAAACATACTATCACTCATCCCGGAGTGGCCTCCCTTGCCTTTCCCGCCAAAAGCACTCCAACGTGACCAAAGGCAGGCTGTCCTCACTCTCTCCGAATATGCCTCCGCACAGGCGTACAGGGAAGCCCCTAGTGGTGAGAGGGGACATTTGGTAGGGCTACATCTCATGAGTCAGGATATGTATAAAATATCAATTTTATCATTACATATATTTCCTTATCCTGCTATATTGCTTATTGAATTCAATGGAATAGGTGGTGGGTCAGCCACCTACAGGATTCACTGTGACTGAATAATCACATTAGCGTTTGCTCATATACCCTATGGGAACTCTGCCTGTGGCTTGAACTGCGTTGACTGGTCTGCTGATGATCGCAAGACCACCTTCTCTTACGTCCGCAAAATTAAGTATACCATGTAGATTTTGTGGATTTTAGATAAACTAGGACGCCTTGATGTCTAGTTATCTTGAACGAGCCATATGTTAAGGTAAGGACTATCACTGAAACTGAGCCTATATCACCCATGCATTGGCTTATCTTGTAAGACAGGGGAACATGGACTCTGCCGGTGGCAATGGATCAGTTGCCTGGCATCAATGAGTCTGCGTGACAAGGGTGAGTATTTTCATCGCCTCGCTGGATTCGTGAGGTAACTTGTAAATGTAGATCCTTTTAGATGTCTAGTAGCTCTTAAATGACAGGAGTCAGCTACTTGCAGGGATGAGAATGAAGTTTTGAGAAAAACTAGCCGAAGCTCCTGATATTTAGCCATTTTCGACCTTTAAAACTGGCTCAGAAATGACAAATATTATGAACACAGCAACCATTAAAAAAAAATTAAATCTGCTGAAGCACATTCATACAATTGTCAACGGATTTAGATGATTCACAAAAATGACCCTTGGCCTTATGAAATTTCTCATCCCTGTACTTGTCTGGCCGAAATTCCTTCAAAAGCAGCGTACTGTTCAAAGCTGTTGCACTTGTCATCATATAGATTCCAAGTAGATTGTCGTAAAGCCAGTTTAACTGCCTTGGCTGCTCTAACAGAGTACCCTCTTCTCTTCAAACAGTGCGTAAAATGTTCCATGCACATAGCTGAAGGCCTGCTGGGTTTCCGTGTGGTTGTTTGGTGTGAGGGTGGATGAGTAGATTTTTAGCCACTCTGGTAGTTTTAGTGCTGGCTCGCCGAACTGTTGTATGAAGTCTGGGAACCAGGTTCTCGCCGGCCAGTAGCGCACGACCAAAATGAGTTGTAGGACTTTGGTCTGGCTGATCTTGTGTGGTACCCGAGGTATCGGTGGTGGGAACGCGTCGAGCCCATGCTTGAGGATCTAGTACCGGTCCAAGTTGTTTGTTTTGTAAATATTTTTATTAAAATATTGTTATAACTGTTGTAGGATTTAAAATGGACATTTAAATGCTCAAGGAGGACTTCTTCTGAAAAAGAATCATCATTTCAACCCCCCACAATGTTCTTGACCTATTTCCTGTCTCACCTTGATCTTGCCCTGCATGAGGTCGGCACTCCTCTTGCCCTGCTTGATGTAGCAGACGGCATGCTCCATGGCCGTGATCTGGAGATCCTCCATCAGGATGCAGTCAATCACCAGCTTCCGGAACAGCCGCTCTGCATCCTGGCGGGAGTATGCGCTGCCTCTCCCATGAAGGGGATGTCTGTCATGGCCAGTTTCCTGGATCTTTGTGTTCTTTGATCCTGGTCGATACACATATGATCAATCATACTACAATGACATGTTGCTTAATTCTCATCAATGGCATCTCCTAACCTAATTCACATAACCAAAGGAGCATTTTTGGGCTTGTGTATTCGTTGTAAAACTCCTCACTCAGCAATATTCCAGCTACAGTCTGTAAATAATCTAGTCAGGACCAGACAGTGACCCTGACCATCTGATCACATCTATCACCTCTTGCAACAAGTATGGGGTGCTCAAGACCAGTTCTACCTGAATCTTCTACCTGAGCATAATTTCAGCCATGTGACAGCACTGACACTTTTCAGAATTTCTTTGGAATATATGACCAATATTTGAATATTTCAGTTGATAGACTAGAGTACCAGATGCACACATGGAGTCTTTGAGGCTCTAGATTTTGTCACTGCAGCTGAATCACTTTGATGATTATTGTTGAAATCATCCCCTACCTTTGAAAACTTCCACAAAGTGCAGCATTGTGAAGTTTCTCCTGCCGGATGTGAGTTCCCCGACACACTTGACAACAGCCTTGGCATCCTCTGTCACGTCCCGGAGCTGGAACTTATCCTGCAAATATAGCAACTCAGTAAGTTGTGTCTGCTTGTCATATCAAAAGGAAATGCTTTTCACTGGTACAAATTTTCAGAGTTTCCTTTCCAGAAGTACCATGATTCTCTAGGCTGGTGACATTCCTCAATGATAGAAAAACTCTAGTGTTCCTTGTCAAATCACTAAGATGGAACATTTTGGTGATTTGCACCAAATCAAAATTGCAGTGAATATTTTGATTTTTTGAGTGTTATTTCCTACCACTGTTTCACCAACCTAAGATGATGAGAGGTTTTAAAGAAAGGGTAGTGTAAGAGCGAATTGTCCTGGCCTGGTTAGATTTGTACTATTTTACCTCATGCTAAATCACTGGAGATATCAGTTGATCTCACATGATCAATATCTTGAAGGGACCAAGTTTTGAATAACAAATTTGCAGTGTCAAAGCAAATTCTCCTAGTTAGATTTGTACCCTTTTACCTCATGCTAAAGTTTATCCCTGAAGATATCATTTGAGCAATATCTTGACAAATAACCACTCTTCCAATTCTCAACAAACAATAACACATGCCCAGCAGTACTTGACACGGAACTGTCCTCACCTTTGAATCACAGTTGTCACAGACAGAACCGCGGAAGTCGTTACACCGTTCTCGGTCAAAGTGATGCTCGCCAAAGTATTGTAGAACTTGTGCCCGGCGGCAGTCAGCCACGTTCTCTGCATACTGGACCATGCGATACAGGTTGTCAATGTGGACTCGCTTTGATGCATACGTGGCATTCTGGTCCACTGAAATCACAACCTTCTTAGGAGTCTCAGATCTTGGAAGGATCTCGTTAAACTTTGCAGATTGAAAATGAAAGAGTTCATTGCCAATGATGTTTGGAACATGTACTTGTTGACCAGAAAAAACATATACAGTCAAACACTGTTGAGCCAAACTTTGATGTGAAGAAACATTTGGTTGTCTCGAAGCCATTTCCATTCCTTATCACGCACAGCACAAACGTATTCTGGTAAGTCAATCCTGCACCAGCTTATTGGTCATCGCGGTTCACTTAACAACATTTAAAATACGGAAATCTCAACTGCACACTGTGTGAAAAAGTCTAAAACATTGATCTCTTCCAGTTGCAAACCAAACAATGTGCAGATAATTAGATACAAACATACTGAACATACTGTGAATCCTAACATAGAGTTTCATATTGGTGCATAGATAGAGATTATTACACGAGCAAGTGTGTCTCGCTGAGTAAGAAAAAGAGACTTATCTGAAATGAAAATGTGGCAATACACAGTTTTGCATGAGTTTATCAAATTGTATAAATAATCGGCCAACATGGCACTTCCACTTCAAACTGCAGATAGTGTAACAATTTCTATATTATCCATTTTATTCATGTACATTTCTGGAGTACAACACGTTAAGCAAGTGTGACTGCCCTGTTCAATGACGTCACGTTCAATTGTTACGTCACAGATGACGAAATAGAGAAACAATGGTGGCTAGGCAAAAGTGATATGTGCACATATGATATGTATGACACTGGTTATGTTTCACCATATGGATAATAATGCATCATATTACTGAGGTTGATATCTGTACATTAAGTATCCCATTAAGGAGTGTGATATTGTTGCATAGTGTATCAGGGATTTACCGGAAGCGAATTCATGTGTCCTATACGCATAAAAATTGACAATGGACGCAACAAACTTTATTAACGCGTCCACAGGGACTGAGAAAAGGTCCAAATACATTTTGTAAAAATTCCAATCAAGTGACAATAAGTTATCACTGAGTTTGCTACCAGCTGGGTTATGGTATTATTTGTGATTTAATTACTGTAACAATGTTTTTACACCAGCAATAATTCTGCCATATTGTGGCCATCTGTACATCACCTGGGCCAGACATTCAGAACAGCATGCCATGGCAACTGAGGATAGTGACAAACACCAAGTAAACTCTGCCTGACAAGCAACACAGAGATGGTGCTTCATTCTATTTCTGGGTGTATGGGTGTACACAATTGAAGGAGCCACCTACTTTCCACCATACGCCTGAGCCTCTTGACATCTTGGTAGGAGTAGAAGAGGACACACTCTGACAGCAGCCCATCTCGGCCGGCACGGCCCGCCTCCTGGTAGTAGCCCTCTATAGACTTGGGCAGGGAGTAGTGGATCACAAACCGAACGTCAGGCTTGTCAATTCCCATACCAAATGCTATGGTGGCACAAATAACCTGAAAATGTTCATTTACTTATCAGTCTTTATACTTAACATACTCCACTAGGTTTTAGAACATATAAAAGTTGTTTTGTTTGTATGTTTTAAACACTACACTCCTGCTATGTGGCAGCAGTCTGTAAATAATTGAGTTTGGACTAGACAATCTGGTGATTAATAGTATGAGCAGCGATCTATGCAACTGGGAAAGAAAGTTGTAGCAATGTTACATACACATATCGTCCAACATGAATAGCATAAGATTAAGACACTTCTGATCCCAACAACCTTATTAACTCCTAAATCATTTATATAAAGCCACTTTGGCATGCATCTAATTCAGTGACTAGTTAAACATGTAGACAAATCGGTAAACAAAGGCAGTTTGTTTTCTACTGAATATTTTTTACAATACCAACACTATGTGTAAACAGATGGGATACCGTCAACATAATGTTATGATGATGTACAGCAGAGTACATTCACAACAGAAACGCTTATAATGAACTGATGGATATAATGAACTGGTTGTTTTTAGCCAAGGAAATTTGCTGTATATTTTAGTCTCAATGTTCATAACTAACAACAGTGATAACAGACTAAAATTACTGGTCACATTGTGTTAATTATAACCAGTATAGTACAGTATCCTGTAGATATCAGCATGTTGTGATATTTATAACAGATGGTCATCTACCAATGTAAAGTCAACATACTCACTGTCTACCACATGTCTGGCCTCTGCCAGTTCTTGCCGATGCTCGTCACTCAGTCAGTCTGTCCAGTCGTCCTGTCATTTCTCGACTGCCCTGCTCATGTTCACTTGTGCAATCGTGGACAGTCACTTCCTTAAGTACGAAACATAATAGTTAACGCCTACAAGTTCCATCAGTATGTCCCAGATGGACACATGTTGTTCTGTAGAGAATATGGATGACGTTGTGCCTCACCTTACACCTTTCCCCGTACAGCCATTTCTCCTGTATTGCGACCCTCTGTGTATCCTGGAGTCCCGCGTGGTAGGACACAGCATCTACCCCAGCCTTCTGTAGGTCCTTGGATACAGTGTCACACTCGTTCCTGTGTGTCGGAATGTAACAGAGTACAGGAATGCTTCACACCAAATAGGACTGCATTAGATAACTAGTACTCCGCAAAATGATTTGTAAACAATATGTGCTGCAAGATCTTTCCTGTCTCATTATGTTGGTCAAACAACATTTTTTTGTTGTTGTTATATGAATCATTTAACCTATGATTTGCACTGAAATTCATTCACAAACGCTATTACGTTTCAATATTGATTACTAAAATGGTGGAAATCGTGTTTTTCCTCTCCTGTATTTATGTTTCCTATATCCAAGAATTTTGAAGGTTGAATTGATCATGCTAAGTAATATTTACTATATAGAAAACAGGATCTGCATGTACAATCAGCATCAATCACTGTCAGACACTCTAGCTCCCCATCTACTGCAATACAAGTGTTGACACAACCCTAATACAAAAGGAACAAACATTGGAAAACAGAGTGGAACAAGTGGGTTTGATGAAAACAGCAACACTGAAAAACAGAGTGGAACAAGTGGGTTTGATGAAAACAGCAACACTGAAAAAACAGAGTGGAACAAGTGGGTTTGATGAAAACAGCAACACTGAAAACAATAATTTAATTGGTGATTTTTCCAGACATCTTTGATCATAATATTTATTGTTCTGCCCACCCTTTGCAATGAAGAAAAGAAGAATTTAATATAATCAAAAGACATAAAATTGAATCTGCCTTTCAAATTGTTATATTTACCGAGAGAGGCAGTAGACAATGCCATATTCTCTTGGATACTTGTCTTTGATGAACTTGATCACATCAGGTGTGGTAGACTTGGGCCGTTTGTTCAGCACAAGGTACTTCAAGTTGGGTCTGTTGAAACTCTGCATGAACCTGGCGTGACAAAATGTATACATTTGAATATGCCCTTAATTAGGGGATAACTGTACTGTGTTTGATGAATTGGGGACATATACCGGTGGTTATATAGCCGCAAATTTAGTTTTATCGGCGACGTGATATAACGTTATATTTGCGGCTATATAACCACCAGTATACGTCCCAATTCATCAAACACAGTACAGTTATCCCCATTCTAATTCAACTCGTTTTACGCTGTTTTTTTGTGTGAAAGCAATTCATTATTTAAACCAGGTCAAAGTTCCTCTGGGTCAAACGTTAATCATATCACTCCTTGAACTTACACCATCGCCAGAAAAAGTTCCCTTTTCAAACTTAACAGGTTTATTATGTGCACACTGACTAAATCTGACAATGATGAATAAATCATAGTGTTATAGCTAAAATGGACAGAATTATCATGAAACTGCCATCTTGTTATCAGAATTGAGCAGGATGCTGCAAATGATAATGGCCTGCTGATTCCTCAACGATGGGCCATTATCAGTTCTGTTGTTCTGTCGCTGCATTATGTTCTCAGCTTAAAGACATGTTTAAAGAGCCAATTTGTTCAAAGGTCAACAAATACATGCAATATTGTGGATTTATCATGCCATATGAGATAGGACTTAGACAGGTGATTTGCATCCTAGGTACTTTAGTGCAATGTCTTCAACAAGTGTTAGAGATGAGTAGGCTCACCATTTTGGATCTTTCATGCCCAACTGGTGTAAAATGTCCTTCCTCACCCGCGGTGTTGCAGTGGCTGTCAAAGCCATCATGGGAACACCTGAATACTTCTCCCTCAAAATGTTCAACTTCTTGTAGTCAGGACGGAAGTCATGGCCCCACTAGTATAGAAACACCAAAGTAATACATGGATCATATAACCTGCTAGTACTGCTCTCATAGTTGGAGTGTCCATCTGGGTTTGTCTATGACACTTGGTTTGAATCCCACCTTTATTCATGCAATTCTTGCTTTGTCAAAACCAAACATGACCTGCATAACTTTTAGGGCTTTCCATCATCAATAAGGCCAAATAACAAAAATGTTGTGGTTCCAATCACGGCTCTTAAAAATTAGGGTAGGTAAATAGATTTTTTTGTACATTTATTTGGAAGTAAAGTACAAACTAATAACACATTTATCAATGTGTAATTGTTTATTCAAGCAAGCTTGCAGCCATCATGTCGACTTTCCCTATCAGAATGACTGATGTCCATCAGTGCCGGGAAAAAATAATGATATCTGAAAGCTTATTTTATTCCTACCACTTTAAAAAAAAAAAGGATTGGAACCAGAATTCAAGGGTCGGTCGGGTAATTGGAACCGTTAAGTGAAATACCTCAAAGTAGCTCCCTGTTTGGTAGCTAAATCATCAAAAGTCAACAACAAAGTAAGAGTACATTATGAATGATTTCGGTAAATACAATTGTTACACTTACAATGTTAATGTGAAAAACATTCATTCTTTGCTCTGTTGACCTACAGCACAATGCATTTACAACTATCAAAGACATGTTAGGATAGTGTAAAATAATGTAATTTTTAGAGTAAAATTGATATTTTATACTTATCCTGACTCATGCTCTTTTGCTTGTCTTCTTCTTCTTGCGAACTTAGTGGAAACACTTGTATCTCCCTAATTGAAGCTCCCTTCAATGTAAAATCACTAATTAGTACCCACCACGAGTTACCCCCTTTCCACAAGCGCGGGAAACGAGGGCGCCACCTTCACCCATGTGCCTCACTCTCTCCTCATATACTGAGCCCAACATTTGAATTTACAGGGAAATCCAAAGTGTTATGTGGGGAGGATGGGAGGGCTGACCTCATGAGTCAGGATAAGTATAAAATATCAATTTTACTCTAAAAATTACATATTTTTCCTTATCCTGACTCATGCTCTTTTGCTTGTAGAATCCTACGGAACGGAGGTGGGAGTAATAGAATACCAAATATATAATAGCAAAAACCTCTTTTAGAGTTTTGATAGCTAATATACCTATATGATATAAACATAGTACTGCGCTTAAGATATGAATAAGCTTAAGTTACATATATAATAGCAAAAACTCCGTAGAGTTTGTTAGCTAATACATGTTATAATGTAACCATAAAGCTTAAAATATGATGAAACTTAAGCCAAATATATAATAGCAAAAACTTCTTTTAGAGTTTTGATAGCTAATATACCTATATGATATAACATAGTACTGCGCTTAAGATATGAATAAGCTTAAGTTACATATATAATAGCAAAACTCTGTAGAGTTTGTTAGCTAATACATGTTATAATATAACCATATTGCTTAGAATATGATGACACTTAAGCCAAATAGCAAAAAACTCTTTAGAGTTTGTTAGCTAATATACTTATATGATATAAACGTATTACTAAGCTTAAGATATGAATAAGTTTAAGCTACCTATATAATAGCAAAACTCCGTAGAGTTTGATAGCTAATATATTTTTATAATATGAGTATAGTACTATGCTTAAGATATAAATAACTTAAGCTACGTATATAATAGCCAAAAACTCTGTAGAGTTTGTTAGCTAATGCATTATCATGCTACCATAGTACTACTCTTAAGATATGATTAACTTAAGGTAAATATATATATAACAAACTCTGTAGAGTTGTTAACTTATATATTGTATGATGTAATAATGATAGTACTGTGATGATAAAAGGAACTTAAGCAAATTATATATAGCATGTAGCTATTTAGTACTGTTATAAGATAAGTAGAAATCTGTAAGATTGACTTATCTTCTCCGAGGAACTGTCAATTGTTGTGCGAGGACCATGGGATCGAATTGGTGGATACCTGAGACGTCCTCGGTGGTGATATCTCTCAGATAATGGTTGGCAACCACCATATCGGATCTCCAGAAATAAACCCTCCATTATTCCAAAAAAACATTTGTGTAAATCAATTGTAGAAGTTAACGTTCTAATATCATGAGTATTAAAGCTCATGGAGGGTCGGATTGGGTCCATCCGTCTTGTATGCACATAGTATGACAGTTCTGATCCAACGGAGATATAGTACGTGAGACTTCATTCTGCCTACGTTGAGGATAGAGGAAATAATCTGTTGCATTTTCCCTTCCTGTGAGGTTCGGTGGAGATAAATTTACAGTGCTCTTGCTGGCCATCGTGATAGAATCATCGTATCATGGAGCCCAAGTATGTTATCCAGGCGTGTTCATAAACCTCACTTGTGAGGTGTTGGAGTACTATATACAGATCCCCAAGTTGGAGCGTGAAATTTCCGTTTTAATTCTCCAATCAGAAGCTTAAGTAGGTTTACTAACCATCCAGTTGTGTTAGTAGCTTGATGATTAAATTCAACTGTAGTCTGAGACGCTGTGGGTTTAGATCAACTTGTATCCCGTCGTCTAGGTAATTAAGCTGCGAGGTTCTTGGCGATGTAGGTGCACAACCAGGTGTGTCTGTCCTCGTTGAACTTTATGTAAATTAAGCCTGACTGCCGTGCTCTCGTCCTAACTTGACAGGGGAGGCCTCTAACCTGAAGAAAGCAGCCCAATCATGAAGGTTCAGGTTAACTGGACTGTAAGGAGGCTTGCTCGTTCACTGATATATAGTTGTCACTTGTGGCGTAAGTCTTGAACTGTGAATTAAGATCGACCTCTGCGTGGAGTGTCGTTGTCCATCATGGTCCAATCAGAACAAGGCATTTTGATTCTGTAGAATACCAGCTGTGATGTCACCGGTGTAGTAGGAAAAACCTTGTATAAAATCTTGCCGTCGTTGATATTAGCATAATCGTCGGTCTTCACCGTAGCTTCGAAGTTACCCGAGTGACCACGTGTTTTGAGGGTTAATGGTAAGCGAAACCTTGGTATGAAATACCTCGCTCTGTAATATTAATGCTGGGTAGGTCATTTTCCTGGCTGTGCGTGAAAGTAACTTCAGTTTGAATCTAATTCCGACTTCCTTATATAAAGGTACAATAACCTTGCAAGTTGTCAGCTTGTAGACTGTATACATGAATGTATCGTCATAATTGTAGAATTAAAGCTCAACTTGTTGTACATATTTCTTCTCAGAAAAGTTGACGATTATGAGTTATACTACGCTGTAACAAGGCTGCTGTTCAATTTCAATATTGAATTGTCTGCAGATATGCGTAATGGTCACGCATGTAGATAATCGTATATCGTCGTCGGGATTGCATATTCTAGCCATCTATCTCGGAATAGTTGATTTCTGTGAAGATCTATGAAGCGTCGTTGACTAATTAATACAGCGGCGTTCTGTGTTGTAAAATAGCCTGTGCAATTGTCTTGGCGTAGGCTAATAGATGGCATCTGGCATACAGTTGATAGACAACTTATGCGATGTCTTGAAACGGACTGGCAGTAGTTATATATGACGAATGGCTGGTATATGGAGACCTTGGAGGAGACTTCCTCGGTGAACTCTGGAGACTTAGCGAAGCTCTCGAAGTATCCCTTCTGGAGTGAAGTAGACTTGGAGCCACTTAGCCTTCGTGACCTTCGCGAAGGTATCGAGATCAAACTCCGATTAGTATATATATATATATATATATATATATATATGCAGCACTTGCTACGAACGGCCTCTGTGTTTAACAGGATCGCGGGAGTCGTGGCGCTTCTCCTCCTTGCGATGTCCCTTGTGGCTGGTGAGGCTCTAGCTCCTTCGCGGAGGCGGCCTGGGACTTGCTGGTTCTGCATAAGTAGGGCCGAGTGGATCATCTTATCATCTTCAGAAGTCGTGTTACGAAGTCTGGTGATAAGTGTCTCATTGATCGTTCTAGATCTATTTAGGCCAAGAACATACGTCTCGTCATGGATTCAACTGAACCAATTTACGATTGTAGTTCTTATTCTTGATATTGATGATCAACTTGTCTATGGGTTGATTTTCTCGGAGACTTGTGAGGAGAACGTTGATAGCTTCGCGAAGCTCTTGTGTAGTCCCTCGATGTCCTTCTAGATGATGATGATCTGGATTCAGGTGTCGCCAGCGAATGCCTTAGCGAAGCTTCCTCGTCCGGTCGGGGAGAACGGCGATATGACCTTCGCGAAGGCTTCCGTGATGTCTGATGGTCGAGTCCACATCTAGGGATGAAACCGAAGAAGGTGATGATCTATCCGCCTTAGCGAAGGCCTTCGAAGGCTGTACATCTAGGTCCTTCGTCAAAGGTGGTCCGTGACTTCCTTCCTTGCGAAGGTGATATCGTCCTGGTTGCTTTCGTTGGCCGGGGGTGCCTCTGGGGTGCTGTCTACGTTGGAGCCTTCAGCGAAGGCTTCGGTCCCTGCTTCTGCAGTCTGTAGCGATCCTCCATCATGGTCATAATTTGCGCATCAGGTCCTCAGGGATGGACTGCGGCGAGTCGTCGGTGCCTTATCTGCGGTGTTAATGGAGAGGGTCCACAGGAATATCGTCCGACATCAGTGTAGAGGCATCAGGCTGCATGGTGATCTCTGCTGATGTCATTGTAGCTGTCACGGGTCGCTTCTTGTGGCGTATGTCGGAGGGATGATGATCGGCTGATCATCGTAGACGTCCAGGTCTGCGGCTGGAACAATCTCGGTTGAGAAAGTCCTAGTAGACTTCGTTGATTTCCCCTCAGATGTCAACGCTGCCCTCGGTGTGCGACGTCTGCGTTGAGTGTTGGTAGCGATGGGACCCTCAGGAAGATCATCGAATATCAGCGTTGGTACATCAGGCTGCATGCTGATCTGCGCTGACATCACTGTTGCCGACATCGGTCATTCTTTTGATGTACATCAGGTATGATGATCGGCTGATCATCATACAGGCCCAAATCCGGCTGTAGAGATGTAGTAGAAAACCTCTAGTCTACGGCTGCGACGATGGGATGTCTGGGGAAGCAGGACGCTTCTTGGAGATGGCGGACTCACGTCCCGCCTCTCCACCACTCTAGCGGAACACCACCACGGGAGAATTCGACCAACAACAGTAGACTGGCGAGGGTTCAGGTGTATCAGTCATACTAGACTCTGCATCGCGACCTATCTGCTGCTCGCGCGTCTCAAAGCGCCAAAGTAAATATTAATAAAAGGTAGAATTGGATAAATTAGTACCGCAACTGCAATGTGAATAAAATGAACATGGCCGTACTAAGGCATATTAAAAGCGGATCAGCAGCAGAATAAAACCGTAATCTGCAATAGTACAAAATTTTCATCAACGTAATCCACTGAAACAAACCGCGGCGTCCATGAATAAACTGTAGAAAAAGCGACTAAATATCAATATATAATCGTTGAAGGATACTAGCTAAACCTCTATAGATGTCTATCTGAGGTAACTAACTAAATATAAATCAAAGGATATAGTGTCGGGAGACACAAAGCTCTCACGTCCAGCTCACTGGGCGAAGAAGGGAGAGTGAGGCACATGGGTGAAGGTGGCCCTCGTTTCCAGCTTGTGGAAGGGAGGTAACTTCGTGGTGAGTACTAATTAGTGATTTTACATTGAAGGGAGCTTCAATTAGGGAGATACAAGTGTTTCCACTAAGTTCAAGAAGACAAGAAAAGAGCAGAAGACAAGCAAAAATTAGCATGAGTCAGGATAAGGAAAAACCTTCCAACAACTTGGATCATACAGATGGCAGAGATTCCAGGAGCTTGGCGCTGGCAGACAGCTGTGGGGACAACAGACACTTCAGGCATCTACATCATTACACATTAATATCACAGAGTCGCACCTCTCTAATCTGGACAGTACACCTCTCATTAAATTGTTAAGGAGTTAACAATGTGTCAACGTATGACATCTTTGAAATTATGTGTGTTGTTTAATGTGGTATTTGGCAATATTCTGGCTCTGTGACGACTGCCTGTTAAAAAGCAAATCTGGTCTAGACAATCCAGTGATTTGATGATCTATGTAAATGGGATAAACTGACATGCATCAATTAAGTCAGTGAGTCCGACCACCTGATCCTGTTAGTCAGCTCTTAGAACAAGCATGGGCTGTTGAAGGTTAATTCTGACAAAATGTTCACGGGTATAAAAATACGGGGACATTTACAACAGTGACTGGCTGGAAAGTGGATTCTTGATTAATTGGGGTTCATTACATACATACAACGATCTAAACAACTTTGATGATGAGAAAGATTTTAAAGAGTTAATGATGCAAAGTTTACTCAGGACAAGTTTGCAAAGCATGACCCTTTACCTTCTCTGGTGTGACATACAGCAGTTTGATGCCTGGATCTCTCTTAGACAGCTGGTGGTAGACATGCTGGGCTTGAGCCTGGTCGATGTCACTGGACAAGTGGGCAGCTGGGATCTGGGGAGACAAGCACAGATGTATAAACAAAAGAATGTTGAAAGAATCACAAAGAACACTTGCTGAAATGGGTTAAAAGGTCAGCTACTAAAAAGCATTCAAGACATGTTTTGTTGCGCTGATAATTGCTATGGTAGAGCAGAGTAACAAATCAAAATAAGAATTAACATAATCATCAACTGACATTCTTCCAGAAAATTCCAATAATTTCTACCAAGTGGTGAAAGACTTTGAAAGAAATGCTGCTAATTATGCAAGCTATTTTAAACTTTGTATTGAGTAAGAGTAGTCCACATATGTAGGAAATACTTACATCTAGAGAAATGAGTCTCTGAACCTGATCCTGGATGAGAGCTCTCAAAGGGGAGATAACTATACACACCCCGTTTGTGACTAGAGCTGGAAGCTGGTAACACAAACTCTTTCCACCACCTGAATACACAGGACACACAGTTTGACTGACAGGACATACTCTCATATATCAGATAGCATCCACTGAGTCATCTCCACCTTGTCATGCATAAACGACAACAGTAACTGTGCTTGGTATAACACCATTATGACTATTTGGAACTATGTATTAGCAGGTATTAGAGGATATACTTAAGAGGCTTTCACCATATTAGTGAAACCTAACAATCTGGTTTGTTGACATCTAATTGCGGCGACAGTCCAAGGTTCCAATGAAATAATTGCATAGTACCCACACCCAACGCAAGACAACAAATGTTAAGAACACAAGGACTTCCCACATTACCTGTTGGCATCAGAATGAATGTATCCAGTCCCAGCAGTGAGGCATTGATGGCCTGGAGCTGGTTGTGTCGGAACTCCCGCAGACCAAACACCTGCTTGAACACCTTGAGCAGCTCCTTGCTGTGAGGGAACACATGGCCGTCAAACTTCCCACTAGCTCCATCATCCTTGTCTGTGCCAGCAAACATGGGCTGGTAGACATCTGAACAGTCAAGTGTCAGATACCGTTGGTGAAAACACACACTCATCAAAGTTATTATGATTAATAAATTATTGTGATTATTTTTCTCTTATACAATATGTCCAACATTAGGTTGTTGAGATTTAAGAGCAAGTGAGATGGGGTTTAATGTAGCTTTGAACAATATTACATATATCACAGTGTGTCAGAAGCCTTAACTGATCCAGTTCTCAGACATTTACCTCTTTGGTAGGATGCTAACAAGCTTAGAAATAATCAACTATCTTTCCTTCATGTCAGTTTTTTTACCAGCATTGATAAATGAGAGCCATGATTACAACACCTAACAATAGGCAGGTGTAATGGTAACTAACCCTCAGCTGATGACAAATCCTGATGCTGAGAATGTTCCTGATGTGATGATGTAAATGAAGATGTTGGCCTGGACTGGGGTGTGTGTTTTGATGCTGATGCTGAAACATTTGAAGGGCTAGCATTCATGTTGACCAGTTACAAAATAAAGCACCACAATTCTAACCATCCTTTTTCAGAGTCTATTTGTAGAACTAACAGTGGGCTGCAGGAGAGTACCAGTATTTATTCTACTTTGGAATTAAATGGTAAGAACTGTCTATTAAAGAGATGTTCTATAGACAGCCCATGTTATACCATGCTTACAAATCTCAGACATCAGATACATACATTATTCTCATCATTACACATAAATAGTTGTTACATAAAGTCAGAATCACTATCAACTCGGAATTTCAAGACAGAGAGGAGCAATGACACAAACAATCTGTGAATGTTCAATAAAGATGCTGTCAACAGTATTCCAGCTTCATCAACCCACAACACGGTGACACACAATATACCAAGTAATTGTGCTGATCCAGTTCAGTGCTGGACAAGCTATAGAATGCCAGCAACCTATTCTAACCCTGGATCCCCTGTAGTCACAGATGATAACTGGTACTCAATAGTGCAGATTACTTTCACCTGATCACACTATACCAACATTTCCAAACGCAATGATACATACAGTTATGATAAATGCATTATTAAAAACAAAGATAAATCTCTCACCTGAAAATTGAGGTGCTTGACTGTTGTGATTGTAATTATCCTGAGATGCCTCCATAGCCTGGAAATCTTCAATGTTATAGAGATCATCAGGAAAGTCATCATCAAAGAAGGCACCATTGCTGGTAGGAGATGGCCCTGTCAGCTCTTTATTCTGCTTCACCTGCTTCTCCTTGTTGACAGCAGGCCCTTCTTGTAGGCTGTACTCAAATGTGTAGTTGCCTCCATGTTTAGATGTATCATTGAAGAAGTCAGCACTGTCCTCCATCACTGAAGTGTGTTCACCTTGGAAGGAAGACATGTTCACACTACTGTTCACAGAGAAGGTATCTCGAGGTTCTTGTCTTTGAAATGACTCTGAGTATGCACCACAGGACACAGAATTGTTCTGGCTATTTGAATTATTTTTGTCAACAGTGTTCAGGGTTGAGGAACTCTTTGGACTTGTTAAAGATTTCCTGAACCCTTTCATATAGTTCATTTTTGACTGTGTAAGTTCGACATCATCCTCAAAGAAGCTATCCCCACAAGGGATTGGCGAGTCAGATCCTAGTTGCATTTTTGTGGCACTCGTCTTCTTGATGGCTGTACTTGTCACAGGCAGCGGTGTCTTCATCATGCTGTGATTTATATCCGGTGTCTTGAATGTAGTACAAAATAGAGAGGAAGATGGTTGAGGTGAGAACAATGTCCTGCTTTCTGAATTAAAGGTCTCATTTTTCAAAGATCTACCAGCAATGCAGTCACTATCACGTCGTCCTACACCTGATGCAGACTGTGGGCCAAGGCGTTCTTTGAGTTGTTTCCTGGACATGTAATTAAAAGAACTTATGAAGAAAAGACTACCTGCAGTAAGGTAAAAACTATCCATCTTCAGTGACGTTTGTGACTCAATACTCGTACAATATACAGTGAGCAAGAAAGTTATGTCCTTGTAACAAAAATAATTCAAACAAAATCTATAGGATAACAACACTGACATGATATAGCCAAATCATCAAGACTCCATGAACCCCATTAAACTCTAACACTGGAGGTATGTGTGTGCGTGTGTGTGTGTGTGTGCGTGTGCATGTGCATGCATCTGTCTTTGTGTGTCTGTGCTCACTACACAAAAGAAATGAAAGAAGATGACAAATATTCAAATAGTCCATTCACACACATTTGATTTGACAGTATTGATCCAGCAAACATGATATATGTGTTGAGTCATACTAACCTCAAGCTATATTGGGTACCAAACAAAACAAATGCCATCAAAGTAACTAGCTGAAATGAAATGTACTGATAACACCTCTGTTATCATCACAACAGTGGCAAGCCAGTGTATCATAGACTAGTACTTTACCTGAGATACAGAAGCTTCTGTAGTCTGTCGTAGTCACGAGATACAATGTCCATGAGGTCAGCTGAGCTGACTTTGCTGATGATGTCGCAGACCTCATCCATGACATTAACCAACTGCTTGTAGTCCAGGTTGTCCGGTGTGATCTGGTACAGTCATTACATATAAGTAACTAAAACTCCAACAGGCTCTCTACCTCGTCTGAAAGTTCTGACCCCTATTCCACAACACGGTCTTAGTGCAAAGGTTAACGTAAATCCAAGCCTTCAACATAGGCTTACAATCATCATAGCATTAAGATCGCTTTCTGGAACGGGGCCCTAGAATGTTTACCCTACTTCCAGAAACCAGATATACACACACACAACATAACAGCCACAGCTGAGGAGCTCTCTAGAAGGGAATCATTGTATTCCAAGACAATAGAGGAACATTGTTACCATAAATAACACCTTACAATATCTAATTGTACATATCAAACTTGTTGAAATGCCAGAACTGGATGCTGAAAAAAGTCTACTTACTTTCTGCTCCATACTGTTTGTAACACTTTGAGATTCTGTAGAAAAAAACCCAACCCTCATACAATACATTCATTGTCACACACTAATGCATTCTGGATCAAAATTTGCATCAAGGAAACAATACACAGATACATTATGTATGGTTCAAATATTTCCATGCGTATGTTAACAATGTTAAAAACAAAATACTGCATCAGATCAGTGGTAGAAGATGTCCACTGCATTGTTTTCTTAAAATGAATCTCTATAGATAAGTACACAGCTACTTTACTACACTAATACAGCTTCTAACATGGCATCGTTTGGAAAGATGGCCACAAACCTGTTTTAATAGGTGTGATGTTGAAATTTGTCTTCAAAGTGGCTGCTCTTTGATCTGTGCAAGGAGCTTGGTTAGAACTCTTCATAGGACCTTGAGCAGCATGAAAACTGAATTTCCTGTCTGCAGCTCCTTTCCTCTTTGGCACAGGCTGCACCACTTCCTGTTCCTCATCTCCACTATCACTCATGATAATGGGGGTGTGGCGGGCACGCTTACTGATCGGCTCATCGTCATCTTCAGAGTCCTGTGGTGGAATAGAGTCTCATGAATCACAGCTATAATTGTGGTATGATACATATGGACTACCGCTAGGTAGAGAGAGATACACATATAGGATATATTGAAATAAACAACAGCAGATTACCATAACAACATCAACCCTGTAATCTGCCAAAACACTACTAGATGCAATAAACCAGAAGTTATAGGTTATATGTTTTCTTACTTTCTCACCAACTTTGGGGGCTCGGGGGGGGGGAGCTGGCTCAGGCGCCAGGCTAGTGATCCAGTGTTGTGTCCGGGTGTAAAAACTTTGGAGTCAACTTTGTGTGCAGACTCTTTCAGTGTTGTCACAACCCCTAGTGTACAAGTACACAACCCTGTGCACTTAAAAGAACCCGCAAATCCGTTGGTATATAACCAGATGGTGGCCACATGAATACCTGCAAACACCTAGTTGCGGGTACAGCAATGTGCAGTGGACTTGGACAAACTAACCAGTATCTGTACTAATGTTTGAAGTCCTACCTTAAACATGTCTTCCATGAGAGAGTTTGAGAAGGAGGATTCATCCAGGTTGGGGCTGCCGTTGCTTGGTAGGGGTAGCTTGCTCCCAGCTGTAGAAGCCCTGGAGGTGGGGGTGCCAGGCTGTAGGCAGAGGTCACATTCAGTAGCAAGTTTTCACATTACTCAGGAAACTGGATTCTTCATCATGCTCATATATATCACTATCAAACTGAGATAACTACTGTCTCATATCGTGAACATGACACAACAATATAGTGATGTACAGGTGCATGACTTATTCAGATAATGCTACTGATTCCGAACACTTGGCAGTCATTCAGCAACTAGAAGGCATGAGTCATACATGTATTCATCTCTTGAGAACAAGTTCATGAGAACAAGTAACAACTGCATATTACCCCATAATGGAATTACACACAAATGCTTGGTCCTATTTTTGGTACATAATTTTTTTCAGTGGACATAATTGTATTCTCCTCACAAAACATTATTACCAGAGACAAAATTTGGAACTGATGCATGGATCTCTATATTTCTAGTTAAAGCAAACAACATAATTAGAGATGATTAGCACGTCTGACTTCAGCATCTAGTTCTGAAGGGAACAAAACTATATCACAAAACATAAATAATAAAAGAGGAGTAAACTGGGTGAATGTAATAACAAGTGACCCTCCCTTAAAGGTATCCATGTAAGAGCCCCTAAAAGAAGCAGTGTCTATTTTACTTTTCAGATGAAGTGGGCCCTGGGCCCATGGGTAATGAAACTAAAGTACTGTCGGAAATAGAAAAAAACTGTATTTTCTCATTTATCTCTACAATTTATGTAGTTGATATGTGCAAGTGTGAAATATCTGTTAAAGTAAGTTCAGCCTAACTACAGTCTCAGTGGTAGGGACATAGGAAACGTAGAAAAAGGACTTTACTGAGGAGAGATTAGTGCAGAAATGAGCAATGCAGGTTTTTTCAAAGTCCAAAACGATGTATTTGGAACAGAACATGGCTTTATGCAAATAAGTGTGCGACAATATATATTGTATTACAAACTTCGGGACACTTTTTAAATGCCCAATTTGAAATTAGACGTAGATTCATTATAAACGATAGTTGGCACAAAAAATAATAACTTTCATGCTGAAACTAATAAGGATGTAGCTACCATGGAGTCTCACTGTCACTATAAAAAGAAACAGATAGGAGGGTTCGTCTCAAAAGCAAAACCTGGACGGGTGTCGCAGACAATCGTTGGGGTCAGGCTGGGGGATAGAGATATCAGCTAAGATAAGAGAATCCTTTAGGGAAATTATACTGGGGAAGTACAAGGCATGTCATAACCATTTACAAATAATATCCAGTCCTGTCGATCTTCGCGATCGGGTGGTCATGCCACCTATTTTGAGACATTTAATACGATGCGCTTCTATGGTTATCAGGTATCATACTCTTTTACATATCTCAACATAAACTTCATGAAAGAAAAACACGTAAGATGTTAATCAATAGATGAGGCATAGTCAACACACATGAAAAAGCACTAAATATCTTTGAGATGACCCCTTGTGCCTGTAGGCAGCACATTTATTTCATGCCAGGTGAGTCGACGGTCCATCTTCATATCTGGCTGAGCGACCTTATTGCCATCTATAGTCTGATCTATTGTTTTCAGCAGCTATTCGTATTTTTTTCTAAGTTTTGCCCGATTTTACGAGTAAACATGCTTTTCTGGTTATCCTATTACGCATCCCACTGAATGCCGAGTTAGGCCGAAGTGGGTTATTTCGACATATGCTATTTGCAATTGTGTAAGTTTTAGGGATACAGAGTGACAGCATAAAAACAGGGTTTTTTTCTATTTCCGACAGTACTTTAGTGGCACACCGTTAATTTAATGAGATGACCATAAAAGTTATTATCTTGTAACCTTATATCGCAGTGACAGTCTGTTTTAATTTCAAACAAGCATTGTCACTAAGGTGACATAATACCCCGCCGCAAATTATCAAATGAAACTTAAAAAGTAATTAAAGTTTAAGATGAAGTTAAATGTCAACAAAAACATGACCAGTCAACCTCTCTTGATATCTGGCTCTTTAGTTGTTCAAACAGACAAATATTTTCAAGACTGACTTTGACCTTGACATGAATATCATAGTGTATGAAATATGCAAAAATTGTACTAAAGAAATTGCTTATTGAAAAACATTCAAGGGAAGTCTTGAAAGTTTATGAAGAAAATCCAGTGAATTCAGGTTAACATGCTAAAATCTTCAAAGTGTCGCAGTGACCTTGAAAATTATGTGAAGGTCACCAATATTGACTGGACCCTGCGCCTTCATTAGATGAAGCTTGGTGTCAAATATAAAAAATACCAGTGAATGGTTTTTGTGATATCTTGCTGACCATCTTAACATGCAGGATAACATACTGAAATCTTCAGTGTCTTCGTGACCTTGAAAATTACGAGAAGGTCAACAAAATCGACTGGGCCCTGCGCCTTCCCTGGATGAATCTTGGCGCCAAATATGAAGAAAATCCAGTGAATGGTTCTTGAGGTATCTCGCTGACAAGCATAACATGCAGGTTATATGCTGAAATCTTCAGTGTCACCATGACCTTGGAAATTATGTGAAGGTCACCAAAATCGACTGGGCCCTGCACCTTCCCTAGAAAATACTTAGTGTTGAATATGAAGAAAATCTAGTGAACGGTTCTTGAGATATCTCGCTGACAAGAGTAAAACGTTAAAGTCCCCTTGTGGCCTTGAAATTAAACAAGTTGAAAATATTAGCAAGTTTGGCTATGTATGTTTATGCATGATTGTTACGAGTCATTTTATTTTTATGGCGCGTCAAACGGACCCACCAGGTCATGGAATTGTGTCATTTTTTACTACTATGCATCAATGGAGCAAGGGCGCGGTCTAAAACAGACTCTGAAGAAGTGACTAATGGATTGAGTGGTCAGGTTTGGTCATATGGATGAGAACATGTCATCGTATCTAAAGACAATTTAGCATAAAAATCCTGAAATATTGTGGAGTAAAAAAGTATGTAAAACAGCAAACAAAACACACAATAAGATCTAACTTATATTCTGATTCAACTTAGTATGTAACACGAGTTGTGATTGGTCAATGCTATAAATTTAGCTAAACCTGTAGAGGTTTCCAATTCTTTGAAGAGAATCTTCCTTGTGGTACATATATGCATTTTCTGCAACTGAAAATGTCATGTGACAGTTGTAACAATGTTTTAATAAAAGATTGTACAATAAATAAAAAAAGCCTTTATATTTACTATACAGCCCCCCACCACGTGGAGTTACCTTTCCACCACACATGCGCGGTCAACCAGGTAAGCAGCCTAGCCCGAATCATCATTCCTTCTGCTGACAAACTGTCAGTGAACAGAACTGCGGGGTGGGCGGACCTACCCCAAGGACGATTCTCTTCAAAGAATTGGAAACTTCTACAGGTTTAGCTAATTCTTTTTCATAGAGATCTTCCTTGGGGTACATATATATGCATATACACAGACTCCCAAAGACCGAAGGCTAGGGAGGTGGGAATTCTGTTACTGTACAATAAAATAGCGATATCGTAACCAAACATGCTACTTACGCCAAAACACTCACCTGGTCACATGGCCCACAACTCGGCGAGAGGCATGATGGGTGGTGACTCGTAGGGGAGGAATGTACTCAGATTCTGATAGCCACTGCCCTAACCGAGTGAGCCTTCAACCCCTCGGGGGGAGGCTTACCCTTACCCTTAGCCGGAGAAGCTGCACATATAACAGAAACAAGCCAGCGAGAAAGTGTCTGTTTACTGGCAGTAACCCCAGCCTTCCCGCCACTGTATCAGCAGAACAGCTGGGTACCTGTACGGAGGATACCCTGTGTTCATTTGATATAGACCCAAAGGGTCTTGCAGACATCCAACAGGTGAGCACTCGTAGGAGTGGTCCCTGATGTAGAAGGCTGGGTAAGAGTGTGAAGATCAATAGGAGCTGTCACATGGAAAGCGTGATCGATCTTTGGACAGTAGCTATCCGGGAGGCGAATACTGACAGTCTGGATGGAAAAGTGTCAGCGCCGGGTCGGACGACATTGCGTGAATATCACCGACCCTTCTACAGCCACCAGAATGGCTGTTTTCCACGTTATCAACTAGAGTGAAATAGCCGGTAGACGTGAGAAAACAGTACTGGACAGCCAATCTAGCATGATTGACAAATCCCAAGCTGGGCTGGTTTGCCTGAGAGCAGGTCGAACCCGATCCACGCAGGCTAAAAAGTGCTGTACAAGAGGGTGCTGCCCCAGAAGAGCACCATCGACACGGGTGTGAAAAGTGGAAATAGCAGTGGAGCAGCCACGAATGGGCAAGGCCACCAAACCCTCCTCCAAATGAGACTGAAGGAACTCCAGAACTCGGACTAAATCCGCAGGAAAGGGATCTGCAATCCCCTTATCTGAACACCAGCGCGCATAGCGGGACAACCTATCCTCATATTGAACATTTGTCGAATCCCGCCTCGAAGCCAGAATTGTGTCTGCAACTGCGCCAGGAATTCTGCTTGCTTCGAGGCTAGACCTGACAGAGTCCAGGTCACCCACTGGATCCGCAGATCCGGGTGTGGCACCCCGTTCTGAGTGAGAATGTCCGGTCGTAAAGGCAATAGAACAGGAGGCTGAGCGAGAAACCTGAGAATTACCGGAAACCAGCTCTGTGACGGCCATAGCGGTGCCAGTAGCACAAGTAGCCGAGCCGGAGAGCACCCTGGGGATCAGCGGTAGAGGTGGGAACGCCCACAGTAACCTGTCCGTCCAATCCAGCAGGAAGGCGACAGAGGCCACGCCTTCTGGTCCAGTATTCGAGAGCAGAACACTGGTATCTGATTCGTCCCGCCAGACGCGAACAGATCCACCTGGAATGACCCGTACAACTGGGAAGTAACCCCTAATATCCACCAATCGAGCTTTCACTCAGTTAGGCCAGAATCTGGCTAGAGAGCTCGTCTGCTCGAACGTTCTCCAGCCGCGGGAGATATACCGGAATCACCTGACAATCGTACTGGTCGCACTGCAGTAGGAACTCCCACGTCTCCCGAAGGAGGCTGGAG